AAAGCGTGTTACAAAAACAGTCAATAACATCACTGTCACCAAATTCAGTTCACACACCACTGCTGTCCTGCTGGTTATACTACAACACTTATTTTGGAAAAAAACATTTTTTTTAATTGTATATACAATTGTAGATGTATAATTTTGATGATTTTAGTATGAAAAATATTCAATAACTTCACTGTAATACACAGCATTGTTCCCAAATTCAGTTCACACATCACTGCTGTCCTGGTGGTTATACTACAACACTTATTTTGGAAAAATGTATTTTTGTATAATTTTTATGATTTTTATTAAATATATTCAATAACTTCACTGTAATACACAGCATTGTTACCAAATTCAGTTCACACACCACTGCTGTCCTGGTGGTTATACTACAACACTTATTTTGGAAAAATGTATTTTTGTATAATTTTTATGATTTTTATTAAATATATTCAATAACTTCACTGTAATACACAGCATTGTTACCAAATTCAGTTCACACACCACTGCTGTCCTGGTGGTTATACTACAACACTTGGGTAAATATCTTTTTGCATAATTGCTAGGATTATTATTTATGAAAAATATTCAATAACTTCACTGTAATTCACTGTACTTTCGCCAAATTCAGTTCACACATCACGGCTGTCCTGATGGTTATACTACAACACTTAAGTTATTTTGGATAAATATCATTTTGCATAATTTTTATTATTATTTATGAAAAAAATATTCAATAACTTCACTGTAATACACTGCATTGTTGCCAAATTCACTTTACTGCTGCCAAATTCAGTTCACACTTCACTGCTATCCTGATAGTTATACTACAACAATTACTTTGGATAAATATCTTTTTGCATAATTTTTATGATTTTATTTATGAAAATATTCAATAACTTCACTGTAATACACTGCATTGTTGCCAAATTCAGTTCACACATCACTGCTGTCCTGTTGGTCATACTACATCACTTATTTTTGGAAAAAAATATTTTGGCATATTTTTAGTAATTTTATTTATGAAAAATATTCAATAACTTCACTGTAATACACTGCATTGTTGCCAAATTCAGTTCACACATCACTGCTGTCCTGGTGGTTATACTACAACACTTACTTTGGATAAATATCTTTTTACCTAATTTTTAGGATAATTATTTATTAAAGATGTTCATTGACTTTAATGTAATTCACTTATTTGGGGGAAATTTATTTTTGCATATTTTTATCATTTTTATTTATGAAAAATATTCAATAACTTCACTGTAATACACTGCATTGTTGCCAAATTCAGTTCACACATCACTGCTGTCCTGTTGGTTATACTACAACACTTATTTTGGATAAATATCTTTAACAATGCAGTGAATTACAGTTATTTTTCATAAATAAAAAACATAAAAATTATGCAAAAAGATATTTATCCAAAATAAGTCAAGTCAAATATATTTATATAGCGCTTTTCACAATACAGATTGTATCAAAGCTGCTTCACAGTATCAATCAAAACAAATTAACAGTGTTTGTTTATTACAGTGGTGTGGTGTGTGAACTGAATTTGGCAACAATGCAGTGTATTACAGTGAAGTTATTGAATATTTTTCATAGATAAAAATCTTTTTAAAAATATGTTGAAAATCATTGGGGAGATCGAAAATAGATCAGACAATATATGTTTTTAAATAAGACAAACATTTAGTGTTCAGGAGCATTGTGTTCACATAATTACACGTGTGCTTGCAAAGATAAAGGCTAAATTGTGTATATTATTTTTATTGAGGTTTTCAAACATCAAAAACAACAAAAAAATAGACAAAAAGAACCTTCATAAAACAGAAATCTGTGCAATGTGTAAAATGAAACAAAAGTACTATAAAAAAGGAAGACATACACAAAGCCAACCTCTGTTACAAAGTGTAATCGCAATAGTTACATAAAGTGATTATTACAGATCAGGAAAACATAAATAAATAATTAGTCCTTCTGATTTGACAAAAAAGTAAAAACTAGTTCCCACATCTTATCGAATTTTGCAGGGTTCCCGGATATGGAGTATCTAATTCTTTCGAGATGTAACGTAGAAGTGAGTCCAGTTAGCCAGTCAGAAAAGAAAGATAAAGGCTTTGGACCTGTGCATGCATGGATATGCTCACTCACACTACCGTGCACACACACACACGCGCACACACATTCATGTAAACAAACAAACTATTTTTAGTATTACAGGCTTTCTTTCTCACAGATCACTTTATCTTTAACTTTATTGTTAGATCAATGAGCCCTACAATCAATCAGTTTCAAAAACATACGAAACCTGTACTAATTAAAAAAAAAAAAAAAAAAGTTGACAAAAAGATTGAATCCAATATTTGGTGATAAAGCATAACGAGCGATTTACAAGCATTTTTTTTTTGTAAGCCGGTCATTTTTGACCGCGAACTCCACAAGTGGGACTTTGTTCCATTTTGTACAAAATTAAAGCATTTCAAAACAAATTTCCTGGTTAAATATTCAAGCACACTAGTGTGATATTCCCCATATTTTGTTGAATATTGACAAATTTATCCACAAATAAGGCTTTTATTACTCCAAAACTGAGGTGCATGAGCTCAGATCAATGAGGCCTAGTAGGCCCACAATTAATCAGTTTCAAAAAGAAATACAAAACCTGTGCCAATTGACAGACATGAAGTTAATTAAAGATTGAATCCAATATTTGGTGATAATATAGCATAACAAACGATTTACAAACAATTTTTAAAAGTCCGGCCATTTTTGACCGAGAACACAAAAGGTGTTACTGGGTTTACAACAAAGCACAAGGGTTAAGCTCCACTTTATTGACTATTTAAGGTGATCTAGTAAGAGTCTTGAATATATTCTCTCAGACACAAGCAGTGAGAGTTGAAGATCGACTGTGACAATGGAGACACAAAGGATCCTCATGAGGAGTTTGGCTGTTGTGTTTTTTGCATCTGTGATCTGGACTATAACAGGTAAAGTGCTTGAATCTGTTTGTATATTATTATATCTGATGCAGAATATTGAGGTTTTCCTTGTTCTTCAGTCTCAGCAGATGCTCAAAATAAGGGGATAGAGGGACAATGCTGTAAAGTCGTCTCCAGACTAACTCGAGCAGAGTTTACTGATCCTATCATCAGTTTCAGGATGCTAAAACATAGTTCTCCTCCATGTGTGAAGGCCGTCGTGTAAGAATCACAGTTCTTTTCTAAAGAAATATGTCATGATTAGAGATCAACAGCATCTGATGCTAGATTTCTGTTTTAACTTTTTCACTCTCTTTAACAGCGCTGAGACTGAACGAGGAGAGTTCTGCCTTGACTGGAGAGTACGATGGGTGCAGGAGGAAGCTAAGCAGTTTTTGTAAGTTAAACCCAACAAGTGTGGTGAAACATACCTGACTTTGTAACAACATAATCTTATGTTCTATATGGAACAATAAACTAGATAAAATTAAAAGGCAGTACCTGTATAATTCTTATGATAACGGTGGACTGAATTTAAAAAATCTTCAAATGATGGACTGTTCCTTGAAAGCCTCCTGGGTTGCTAAAATTTATCACAACAAACAATGGATCACGAGCCAGAGATTATATTCAGCCTTTTCCTTTTTCTCGAACAATATATTTCCCTTTTACCACTTAAAAACAATACATATTGATAAACTATTTCAAAATGCTTGGTTGAATTTCCAGTACCACACTTCAGATATAATTGAAGATATTCAGACACAGTTGCTATGGATGAATTCAAACATTACGGTTGGAGACAAGCCATTGTTGTGGGAGGAATCTGTCAAAAATGGGTTAATTTTTGTCAATGACCTTTTAGACTTATCTGGAGATTTTATTTCTTATGAAAATTTGAGCATTTTTTTTTTTGGCATTTGTCTCGATCGGTTACAATTCAACCAGCTGATTTCTGCAATTCCTAAAACTTGGGAAATAGAATTGCAAAATGGTAAGAAGAATAAATTAATGGTTTGTCTCCCACCAATGAGATGCCTAAAATGGTTGTCTGGTGTAAAGATAAATAAAATAATATATATTTGGAATTTAAATATTACAGGCACTGCACTTTTTCCACACAGAACCTGCCGGTTTTGGGAAGATGAATTTAATGATCCAATTTTGTGGAAAGATTACTATAGAATAATTTATAGAACTACAATTGATTCATATTCCAGAACATTTCAACTTAAAATCTTTTATAAAATTATTGCAACAAAAAAATATTTACTCAATTGGCAGATAGAAAAGGATCCCTGTTGCAGGTTCTGTGTGGATGAGGAGGAGGACTTGATGCATTTGTTTTATTTTTGCCCATATGTGTCTAAGTTTTGGGTCAGTATACAGTCATGGTTAAGGTCTATGGATATTGTTTTACGAACCACACCTCAGAATATTTTGTTATGTGTCTTTGAGGGTAAATGCACACATTTTTTTTAATATGATTATCTTGATGGGTAAAATGTTTATTTTTAAAGCTAAAACTATATAAAATTTATGTATAAAAAATTAAGAACAGTTATAGCAACAAATAACAACAGAATAACTGAGCATGAAAAGAAATGTAATGTCTGCTTACTTGAGTTAGAGATATAAATAGGTGTACTTAAGGCATGCCATGTGTTATGTCATAAATGTTTTGCTAATTGTATTGTATTTTGTTTATTGATTTTTGCTCAGTATTATTGATTTATTCTAATTTATAATTTATTCGATTTATTGTTTGCTTGTGCTTCCTTTCTATTTATAGTTTGCTTTCCAGTCACAACACTATGAATGTGTGGATGATTGTGGTTGTGATTGCGTTATGAATGCATGGGGGAGTGATTGGGGGGGGTGGGGGGTTTGAAGCTTGTCTTGTTATAAAAAAAATAAAACAAAAAACAATCTTATAAAGTGTTGCATGTTTAGTATACAGTAGTATTCTTGCATTCACATTGTTGTTGTTTTTTACAGCAGAGCTCAAAGAAACAAAGCCTGACTTCCACGCCACCACCAGCATCATCTATCAGTAAACTCACTCCTGAGGGAAGATCTTCCCAATCAACTGACAGATCATGAATCATGAACATCTAAAAGCAAACTCATAATGAGAACACATTATTAGAAATTCATTTATTAGGATTAACCCCTTGAGATGAATCATCTCGTTTTCGAGGGGGTCTCACCACACAGCGTATAACAGTCACTACATTGAGTGTCACTCGACATCTTGAGTGTCGTAAGAGATTGTGAGTGTGATTTTTGATCTGTGATAATTTGTGTTTATTTTAATAACGCTTGATTGACTACGACTTGGATTCTGATTTTAGTTTTGGGTTCGTTATTAATTTGTGTATATATGTGTAGCTAAATATTGTTGTTAATAAAGTTTGTCAACTTAATCAAAACAATTTGACCAAAGAGGCCTAATACCTACAGTGTTGTTAGCATTCCCATTCATGTGGCAGATGCTTTCTCCAGGTGAAATGAGTTCTTTGATAAGAACTCCTTTCAAAAATTGAAAAAAGAAAAAAAAATTCTAGTAAAAACACCTAGTAAAATTAAATGCATAGGTCTATTATTTAAAGGGGTCATGATCTACGAATTAAAAATTCCCTTGACAATTTCAACAATTTGTCAACTTCAACAATTTGAATGTCTCACCATAGCATTATTTGTTTGTATTCGGTACATTTCACTCTGGATTGTTTAGTAAATAAGTCGCAATTTCGACGGAGGCTTTGCAAACAGACTTTTACAATATGGATCTGCCAGCAACATGTAAGTAACCATGTTTATTATGATCCCTATTATAATGCACGTTCAAGCTCAAACCCCTACGCAACATTTTGCCACGGTTTCCGGGTTGAACATGTTTCTTGGAAACGGTGTGCCTTGTGCACTGGTTTTGAACATAGACAAGAAAAATGTTAAATAGTACTTTTTCTCTTGTTTGGTGAATGTCAGCCCAATCAGCAGCAACATGTATATAAACCACGCGGTATTAAAGAGACAGCTCACACAATGGGTCCAAGTAAAGTCGTTTACAAATAGAAGACATGTTTGTCGTAAGAGTTTTAAAGTAAAAATATAGGTAGCATATATGATCAGCAATAATGATAAGCCTAATTATGGAAGCAAATAAGAGACATAACTATTTGAAATTTAACAGCCACTGAATACTTATATTTTATTTTGAAAAACATTTATCTGAATTTATTTGCTCTGAATTCACCTCTTTGAAATTATTTTACTTTGGAAACCATGTATCTGAATTTATTTGTTTTTAAGAATTTACCTCTGAAATTTAAATAGGCCTATGAAAATTCTTGATTTCCATTTTAAAAACCCGAATTTCGATGAAGACACGGGCACACGGCCCTTCAAACAGATAAGAGCGTTCGAATCAGAGGCTAAAATATTTTAAACAAACATCATGCATTAAAATAAGAAGATATAAACTCATTTGCTGTTTTGTGGTGAGAATTTCCATCTTGTTGTTCTCTGAAATGATCACACGCTTTGTGGACCTGCTGTGGTCTGTACAACAGCACATTTCTCCCATTAGTGGTTCACTGTGGTAAAGCGCTATGTGTGGTTATAAATGTCCATTTTGACTGACTATGAAAAACAAGATGTGGTTGTTGGTCACTAAACTATGGTTGGCATTAAAAACATTTAGGATACTCAAAAGTCATTGCCTAGACATCACCCACAAGCAAATGCATCCAAAAGAGTTTTAATTCTTCATTTCAGTTTTGTTTGTATGCACTTTTTTTTTTAGAAGTGTTGCTTTTGCTTTTTTAACTGTTAGTAAATCTCATTTTAAAAAATACAAATAGAAAACATTGATAATAAATATATCCATTAAGCCAATGTTGTTAAAAGTCAGAAAGAGGTGCGTTATGATGCCATATAATCACAACACATCATCATCAATCACATCATATTCAGTGCAAATTCAATAATTTGCTAATGTGGCTGGGAGCAAAACATGTTAGGTGTATAATAATTTTTGAAATTATGATTTAACAAATATTATTCAGTTGTGTATAAATAACTTCAGCCAATGTATATTCCTCAGGCCTCATCATAACATGACCAAACCTTATTTTACCCTGGAAAGCAAGAAGAAAGAGAATGTGATCAGCTTAAAGATAACTGAATCAGAATGTCAGAATGAGCATTATTCGCCATGGAATTCTTGGTACATACATATATACATTTATGATACAAGAGCAGAAAGAACATTAAATAAGACAAAGGAAATAATAATAATAATAATACATTTGGAACTGAAGACTTATGTGCAGATTTGTGCATTATGTACAGCTATATATAAATAAAATATGTATATATATTTATTGTCTCTCAAATACTGACAATTAGAAAATCTGCAAACTTAAATTACAGCAGACTAATGTATGAGAGATTCTGACCTGAACACTATTGTGAATCCAGTCCTGGTGCAGATCATTAGTTCTTGCACAACCTTTAGCGAAAACAATCATACAGAAAGAGTAAATATAATGTAATCAGTGTTGGGTGTGATGGATTACTCTTAGTTTTTCTGAAATGTTATTACAGTTACTACTGATGTAATAACATCAAATAATCTAGAAGAATTCTATATAAAACAATAGTGGATTTAACATGCAAATTTAACATCTAATGTTAAAATGTAACCTCCCTTTAAATAGGGAGAAGACGAATTTCAAGAAAAATGTATGTAATTTTATATTATTTATTAGAAAGAATTAAAAGAAGTTTTGTGTCTTGTATCGTTCAACTTCTGAGGCTGATTTAGAAGGTATTAGTAATACTGTAAGTAATGGAATCATTTTTAGAGAGAGTAATTAGTACAGTAATCTGATTAATTTGTTAAAGATGTAATCAGTATAGCTATAATTATTTTAGAGTAACTGAATGTAATCAGATTACTTTAATGCTGTCTGATGTTATCATGGAAATAAAATCATGTTTAAGTAATATTAACCTTTCTGCAGTCGTGTTCCTCTCCAACACACACAGACACTTGACCCCAGTAACAGCAGCAGAAGCACACAGACGACAGGCAGCCACGGGCCGATACTGAGGATCACTGAATCATGACTTAAAATATCTGTATCCTGCTGATACACATCTCCAGTGCTCACATCTACACACATGACACAGAAAAATACAGATTTCTAATTCAGTAATTCGGTTTGATACATGATGCAAAATAAATAAAGTTAACATATTTGTCTTTTAACCAATTAAATTAAAAATACACTAGGAAAGTGTTCGATGAAAAAATCTGGGGAAAATCTTACCTTCATATTCCAGTTTTGTGCAGTGAGTTTGCTCAATCATACATTCAGTGCAGCAGTAGAGCATCAGATCAGTGTCTGTGATGTTCATCAGAAGCAGAGAGTGAGTGTTTGTGGATGAACTGAAAGCTTTTATTCGCCCAGTGTAACTTGGGTGAATATAGGAGGGTTCTGGTTTAGAGTTACCTCCATACAGATGTTCTAGTTTCAAAATTCTGACAAATGTTTGGTTTCCATTTGTAATGATCCATGTAACCTCTGTATCATCTTTAATGTTACAGGGAAGTGTTGTGTTTCCTCCTGGATGAACTTTCACTGATGATCCTTCAGTGAGAATCAATGAGATGACAGTGAAATCTAGAGATGAAACAGTAACCAATAGTTGACAGCAATAACTTGACAATCTGGATCTGATTATTGACATTTATTCATGTAGCAAATGTTTTTAACAAAAGCAACTTACAAACAAGAAATATCTCAAGCAAATTATCATACAAAAGTAAAATAAAGACACTTGGATTTCTTGATAATTTTATACTCACATATAATTTGTATCAGGATCATGTTCTTGTTCTTTTTTTGTGATTTGTAGCCATGCATTTACATCTGTGATTTTGTGTGATAATTTTTTATGTGTGGATGCTACAAGTAAGAGCTAATTCGTGGTTAGCTGTGCATTCAGTTATTTTATTGCAGGAAGTGGAGGCAAAGAACAGTGATCAAACTGACTGAAACTACCAGTGCATTAAACGGTTTTAATGCACTCCCAGCCAATCAGAATTGAGTATTCAGTATCCATGGTCAATTTTTGGCTAAAAGCTATTAAATGATGTTGTGATGTCATTGCGTGATATTGCATGATATCCAGGTATTTCTTAAAACAGAGATCACCACTCACTCACCATTTATACAACAGATAATTTGGTAACACTTTAGTATACTTAACCATTTGATACAATACCTTTACTTACATGCTATAGTGCACTTACCCCAAAGCTAAACTTTAACCCCTTATCTTAATCCTCCCCTTAGTTCTAATCATACCTTAAGCTCATTGGCAGTAAATGTGGGAATTTCCCAGTAACACAGTAACAATAGTTCATACTATTAGGTATTTAATGTTAGTTAAGGTCACCTAATATAAAGCGTGACCGATAAGTTTAATGCCAACGAGTTTGCAGAGTCCCAGACAGATGCGTTTAAACTAATCGACACAGAAATTCAGAAGGTGATAAGAGAAAAATGATGAAATCATCTACAAAACTAAATGTGCATGCAATGGACAGGGAGCAGCGTAGTGATTGGAGACAAACATGGGAGATGAAAAATTCAGATTTATGGTAAATAAAACTCAAAGAGTGTGTTTGAACTATAGCAGAATTTGTAACATAAAATAAAAATAACATAACATAAAATGCTTATAAAGAATACACATATTTAGTATAGTGTTCTACACCATTTTTAGTGGTGCTCTTGAAGTAATATTCACATGTATGGATCAAATTGTGGCACATAAATCAACCCTGGGTCAAATCTGGTCCAGTGGGCTGGGTCAGGGTGGCTTTTTTGATTCAGGCTAGCAGGCAGCCTTTCAATATTACACTGTCTTATTGTCTACTCACAGCCTAGTAACCATTTAGAGCACCCTAGTAACCGTATAGCAACATAAACCAGCCATAGCTCAGAGTCAGAATATCATAGAGACATGGGATAGTGCACTGTGGCCCATTGTTCTGTACACAGTCAAGGGGGAAAACTGATGATCATTGTAATATTGACACCTCTCGGTTACTTCAGAAAATGTACCTGTTGTAAATGTATCTTTTTGCGGCAGCAGCAGAACTCAAAGAAATAAACCAGCTGAAACCCATGTGTTCTAGCTCCTGACTTCCACACAACCACTAACATCATCCATTAGTAACTCCAGACAAGAAGTCTGATGTGCATCTAAGTGACTGATTTGTACGAGAAAAAAGGGGAAATGTTGATTGGGAAATGATGATGTGCGCTTGAACAACTGTAATCTGAAACTACAAATAAAGCATGATCAGCAACTACCGATTTTGCTTGGTTGATATTTTCGAGTGTGTACAGGCTTTCATAGGGCCTGTGAACTTGAGTGTTGACAAGGTTAATGTCCACTCTCCAGAGTACAAGTACTTTTCAACTTTTCTGGTCTCCTCCACAACTTTTTTTCAACTTTTCTGGCCATCCTCCGGCATCTGGAAAGTGTATACCCACAGTCCATGTCACCGTTCGCGTCATCAAACCCAGAGTGCAGCCAGCAATCACCCCACACTACGGACACGACTCCAGAGCCTTGTCCAGACAGGGAGTTTGCGATTTTTACAATACAGATTGTTTCAAAGCAGCTTTACAGCAATAACAGGAAAATGATGCAACAAAGTTTGTTTCTGCTGTGCAGCAGATCTAGAAGAAAATAGCGGAAGAAAATGCAGAAGCTCCGTCTTCGCTGGTTCCCTTCAGCCCATTGACTTCTCCCCTGACACTTTACTGTGTGGACAAGCCATGGTCTTACAGTCGTCAGGGTTTAATGCTGCCTAAAATCAAGTGAAATTCACCTTTCTGCAATCCTGTTTCTCAAAGACACCAGTAGCAGAAGCACAGAGGACAGGCAGCCACGGGATGACACTGATGATCTGGATCATGATGACTGATATTATTTGTATCCTGCTGCTCTACATATTCAGTGATCTCATCTACACACAACAATACAGAAAATGTATAGAAGATTCCATGCATGCCATTGCTTAATATGTTCATTTCATTGGTATATTTAAGTCGGGGGAAAAGCCTTAAATGAAGTTTTGTTTTTGAAGTACAATTATTTACCCTCACATCATTCCAAATCCATATGAATTAATTTTGAAACATTTAATTAGGCTTAAACCCAAACCATATTTCGCCACTAACAGTGGGCATGACAATTTTTTCATCAGCACAGTCCACTGATGTCCACGCACACTGTCCATGTGTAGCCCAATTTTTCCTGCTGTGTGGATAAATGTCTTCCAGGTTTCTAACAGAGATCACACCCTATACTCCCTATTTAATACATCAGATAATTTTACTGCCGATAAATTTACTGAGTCTCAATCAGTAAACATGTGTTTACTGAGTTTGTAGTGGCAAACTAAACTATGAAGCACACATGAAACAGAACAATGATGAAATCATCCACAAAAATAAATGTGCTTGCAAAGGACAGGGTGTAGCCCAAGTTCCGCTTTATTGACTATTTAAGGTGATCTAGTAAGAGTCTTGAATATATTCTCTCAGACACAAGCAGTGAGAGTTGAAGATCGACTGTGACAATGGAGACACAAAGGATCCTCATGAGGAGTTTGGCTGTTGTGTTTTTTGCATCTGTGATCTGGACTATAACAGGTAAAGTGCTTGAAACTGTTTGTATATTATTATATCTGATGCAGAATATTGAGGTTTACCTTGTTCTTCAGTCTCAGCAGATGCTAAAGAGAAGAAGGTGGGGACATGCTGTACTGTCGTCTCCAGACTAACTCGAGAAGAGTTTCCTGATCCTATCATCGGTTTCAGGATGCTAAAACATAGTCCTCCATGTGTCAGGGCCGTCCTGTAAGAATCACAGATCTTTTCTAAAGAAAACATGTCATGATTAGAGATCAACAGCATCTGATGCTAGATTTCTGTTTTAACTTTTTCACTCTCTTTAACAGCGCTGAGACTGAACGAGGAGAGTTCTGCCTTGACTGGAGACAAGCATGGGTGCAGGAGGAAGTTAAGCAGTTTTTGTAAGTTAAAACCTGATGAAAACTGAATTTGTAACAACAAAAAAATGTTTATTAACTGTTCACATATTTAGTATAGTGTTCTACACCATTTTTAGTGGTGCTTTTGAAGTACCACTCGCAGTTTCTTCAGAAAATGTATAGAAATGTATCTGTAGAAATGTTTTAATTTCTTTTTTGCAGCAGAGGTCAAAGAAATAACCAGGTGAGCTTGTGATCCAGCTCCTGACTTACATGTCTCCCGTGTCGTCCATATCACCCATGTCATATCATCTATGACATCCATTAGTAACTACTGTATACGCAGGGTGACGCAAGAATTTGTATAAGAAAAACATGGAAATGTTTGATGATGTGCACTGAAACTAAAAAAATAAACTCTGATGAGCAACAACTGGTTTTGCTTGCTTAATGATTCTGAGCATGTGCCAGAATATATAAAGGGATATATTTCCAGAACTAACATTTAAGTGTTCAAAAATGTTTTTGTGTTTTGAATTTTGTTGTTTTACAATTAGAAAAATAAAGGTTCACTGGGGTTCCGTACTACATACCCTATGTTCTTGACTCAAAAAAAAAACTAAACCTAAAATCCAAAAAGGTTCTATATTGCATATACTTTCATATATAAAGGGTTATTTTCATTTTTTTAGTTAAAGGATGCTTACAAGCCGTTGAATTCATTAAATATTTGTATATTTAATATTAAATTATTTAATATTTTATTTAATATTTTCAAATTTATTTTTGACTTTCATATTTATGCTGTTGAATTAATAAAATATTTTCATATTTGATATTTTAGTTAATATTTTCATATATATTTTGAACTTTCATATTTAAAGGGTTATTTAACGGTAATTTATTTTTCTAGCAATAAAGTATGGTTTACGAACTGAGTTCATAAAATTTAATTTAAATAAAAAAATAATTAAAACAAAATTCATTAAAATGAAATCCATAAAACTGATCCCATGATGGGAACCCCTAAAATATTATATGTAATAAGCTGACAGAACCTTTTTTTTCTAAGAGTGCAGTTTTTTATAAAATGCCACATTACAGCTATATTACACTGCATAAAAGGGAATATTTGAAAAACCATAACATGGGCACTCTAGCTTGAATGTTACTCAACACCCTTGGCTCATTAGTATTGGGCCTCCACTCACTCACACCATTTCAGAGATCCACTCTTGACATCACACATTAACCTGAATGGTTACAAGGTAGTTTGTGATGTCAGAAACACCAGCATTTCCAACCCACGTTTTTGAGACTGTCTTATGGTTCACTGCAGTTTAAAGGAGAAAATACTCAGCATTGGTGCTGACTTATGATTTTGCAAATGGTTTGTCTTAAAGCATATTAAAAACACCACATAGATAGACAGTAAACAACATTAAAAGCTGGATTTTCACCACAGGGGGACTTTAACACAACACTTGGTATTAAAAATTCCTATGTGCTTTGAGTATGGTGAATTGACATGCACTATATTGCCGATAGAGGGGGGCAGAGAACACAGAATAAAGTCAGAGACGAGCATTTTCCTAGAGAGAGAGAGAGGATGGAATAATTCAGGCTTCTTGTAAGCATCTTGCTGTTCTCCACTGCTCTTCTTCCTTATATCAGCAGCTAAGAAAGCAGCTAATATGTTTCAATAACAGAACAAGAACTTATTCCCTCTGGCTTGAGGTATTCCATGTCTCAGGAGTTTTTGTGCCATTCATATCTGCCTTTCATGCCTTGAAGAATAATAGGAAACAGCAAATTACACAACAGTGGCCATAAGAGAGGAACTTTTCATCAGCAGATTAAAGCCAATACTCATTAACACATCATGTAAATATTTTATTAAAATAGCTCTTGTATAGTTTGAAGTAGGGATAATTATTTCTCAGAATACATCAGTTAATTGAATGATACATTAAAATGTTAAAATTCACACCCACACCATTGCTATTGTCCTTGGCAAATCTCATAATTTATACATAGCAACCTTCTGATACAGGAATATCAGGAATATGCACGTCAATCGTCGTGTCATTAATCTGTGTGGTGACAGAGTTTCGATAGAACAATCGTCTCTTATGGATTATTACAACAACTAATCTAATAGAACATCTATAAATTGCATTGCTCCACACCAAAGGTCCTAATTTGTGTTGAGCATTTAAGAAACATCAACAGCCCGTTTACTCTCTGCCTCGTGGATATTTTAGACCCGTCCCTGGAGACGGAGCTCAGAGTGTTCTTTTTTCCTGGTCAGGAAATTCATTATTCAAGGTGTATAAACCCCCCATCTGCTGCCTGTCTGGCTTAAACACACCACTGTCTGTCTGAGCCAGTGGAAATGTTTGACTCCATCACCTCACTGTAGCAGAGCCACAAACAGCACACACATTCATAAATTCAACATCACCTGTTGTTTATCTGATATTTATCCCTTCAAAGGCATCTAAAACATGCTTTATCTTGATATATCCAAAAACAACAGTATTCATATGGTACATTTCCAGTAAGCATGGCATTATCTTTATTCAATTCAAAAAAGTATGGTATTACCATAGTAAATTGTGGTATTAGTACCTAGTCCAAAAACACTACATTGGTATATGTCCAAAACATGGTAATGGTTTGCATTTTTTGTGTGTGTTTATCAGAATTGTTATACATATTTTATATTCCCATGTTTTTGAACATGTACCATTTGTTTTTTGGACAGAATGTAGATTTTTTTTTAATTTTTTTATAATTTACCATTTTAATACTGTATGTAGTTTTGTATATGTATGACGATAATGCTTTTTTAAATGTACCAAGCTAATAGCACAATTGCTGTACTATGGTATATCAAGGTACCATAGTATTATCGTCTGATATAATGTACTGTAATGGTAAACAAAAGCCATCTCCAATTTAAAATAGTATGTACAAAATTGGTGCAAATGTTTGTTGTTTTTGGATGTGGCTTTTTTTAAGGCATCAATATCAGCATATAAACTCCTGACTCACCTGGGCACGAACCTCCTCTCAGAAAAGAGCAGTTTCTCAGTGAGAGGTTTCTGCTTATAGCAGGAGATATCGATGAGGCCAGCCTGAGCTCCAGAGGAGAACAGGAAAGAAGGAACACCTTGCTGTGTGGCCACATTGACAAGCAGGGGGCAAATGCAACAGCACAGCTGTTCCTAGTGGACAACATGTTTTCAAAGACTCCCAGACATTGTATGTGTGAACAGGGGTCAATGACCGGTCGTAGCATCCCAAAAGGCCATTTCTATCCTTCTAAAGCTTGTGCCACCCAATTACTGATACCAGTCAGCAATTTGGACGGTGTACATTTGAAATGCCTGTCTATTTCCATCCGATGCAAGGATTCTGAAAGCAGATTCGCAGTTCCCAAGAGTATAGCGTGTGGAGGTTTCCACTTCACTGGCTTTTGAGCACACGGTTCGTACTGTTGCCACATCCACAGGCTGACAACTCAGCTCTTGTCACAGGATTGGATGCATGTCATTTCGGCCTAATACCCATGTCAAATGCTTTAGCTGAGGCACAGAGGTCAACAGCGCTGATAAGTCGGGACGAATCGTGATGGATCATTGCCAAAATTAAGCATCTGGAGATTTTTTGGGTGAAGGGATAAGACACAGGTGTTCATTAGCAAGTCAGAAGCATTTGATATGGTCTAATGTAGGAAAATAACTTTCACTTTGCTCATTTTCGTGAAGTTGTGACAGGAATACATTAGCACAACATTTACAAATTCCATTGGCAAAATTGTAGCTATCAACTGGCTTATTTGAAACTTTATGAAGAAAATGTATGTTGTGTTTGCCTATGCGAAACTCACTGAAAATAATAATGAATGAAAGCTAATTCGAAATGTTTACAAAAAAAAAACTAACAAAAAATGACAAAAGCACAAGCTTAACATAAATTAAAGCTAACCACAATTACGACAGCATATTGTATATGATTTTCATGTGATTTGGGCTGCAGTATTTGGACTAAGAAAGGATGCTTTCATGAGAAATGCTAAGCTGTTTTAGCGATTAGCTTATTCTAAAATGCTACAAACAACATATTTCTGCTTCATCGTATGACCAAAATCCCCATAAGCAGATCGCAATCATAAGTTATTACAAACACTCGATGGTGGTTTAAAGTGAGTTATGAGTAAAAGCGTAGTAGCTATTAATTCCAGGAATATTCATGGGATTAGCTTGATGCTAATTGTAGCTATAGCCTAATCCACCTGTTACCAGACACGATTTTATTTCCTTATGTATGTTGTCAAAAGAATTCACATAAGGTCATAAGACAATGTTTTGATTTCTAGAAAGTCTTTTGAAAATGGCGGGTATGTATATCAGGATCAAAGTGGATGGTAAAGTTATATTATGCAGTAACACGATTTCAGTAATAATATTAGAGTTACCTGGGCAGTACTGCGTTACAAGTAATACAATACAGTAATACAATGACTTTTGCAGTAACTAGTAGTGTAACTATTTTAGATTTCAGTAATATTACTAAAATTTTCATTTATTCATAGCCTACATTGTTGCAACAACATCTAGGCCTAGGTCAAGTGCCATTGTTTAAATGCTTCAGAGTTTCAGTTATTGTGCTTTTAAATATTATGCCATGCCATCTATGTATCTTCCTGTCAAAATAAAAACTTTTTTTAAGTTTATCGTTTTGAATAGAGGTTGATGAAATTTACAGTAATGTCCGTTAGTGTAGCTACATATTGAAAAGCGGTAAAATTCAATCATTTTAACATGGAGCCACATTACAAAAGAAAAGTTTATTAAGAATGAGAATATTGAAGGATGTTGATATAGGCCTATCTTTACTTTTACAGTTGCAGGCTCACAAACTTTGTAAAAAATACTATTTATGGCACTCATGAATGTTAAATTGTGTTGATAGAAAAAAAAACGAGATACATTTCTAGTTTCAACATTATTTGTTCTTCAGAAAATGTGCAACCATTGAAAATGTGTACCAATTTACTCATGGAGCCGTGTTAACATCCCTATATCTCTGAAAAATCAACCATATTGGGCCTTTAAAATGCATAAACCAAAAGAAAAGTTTGTTAAGAATTAGAATCTAAAAGGATATTAAGATATCTTTAATAGTAACAGGCCTACAAAATTTGAGCCTGGAAACTCTGAAATTTGGTAGATTTTGACACGAATTGACCCAAATGTGTCTGAGAACCTTTTATACATCTTTTTTACACATAGGCCTATAACTGCAGACACTGCAATGACATGCACTATGTGTACAGAATAAATATTTTGAGTGTCCCTTATTATGTCCCTTATTTTCCTATAAAAAAAACACGATTGTCCCCTATAATTTCCTTTCCAGAAGTTGGCAACCCTAGTTACCAACCTAAATAATAGCTGTTTACATTACTTTTGTTGCTTCAACCCCTGACTTGAAATCAAACAATCCAATCATTCCTAGATTAATATTTGTAATCTTTACGACTTGTGAGTGCAGTGATGTCACCATGCAAGAACACTGTTGTCAAATGTAAGTTGTGGCATTACTCTGTAATTAGTTACACTACTAGTTACTGTAACACGTTACTAGTAACCCATTACTGTCCAACACTGAAAACGACACTGGTTGGATTGGGCAAAAATGATTAGTTAATTGCAGGAAATCGCTTGCAAACACTGCTAATGAGCAACATCTCTGCCATGGCAGCCCGCCATCCCTTATTCCCTAATCTTCATTCAAACAACTGTTACACTAAAGGCTGCGAAACTCCATAATCAGGCTGCGTGAATTACCGTGAAATTTCATTTGTGACATTCTGTCAGTTCAATTGTTTTTACGGAGTTGATGGCACATCTAAACATATCTTAGGAAAAATGGTGAAATAACATTCTGCTAGCTAGGGTGTTGCATGTAGAAACAGTGTGGATGTGGAAGTCAGCGGTCTGAAAATGAGAGCTGTTATTCACTGTTACTGTTTTCTCTGTCTTCAAGGAGAACCATGTTCACTCCTTTTTGAGTATACAGGAAGGCGATAAGACAACAGACTACAATAGGACAGGAAATGAGTCAAAACAACATCATCTGTGTGTGATATAATCTGTGTTGATGGTGAAGCTGATTTGTTGATCGGCAAGGGAGAAGTGTAATCGTATTTCACTGCTCCTTTTTTAGCATCCCATTTATCGTTCCCTTCACAAACCAGGATCATAAAAACAACCTTATCTACTATATCGACATCGCACGTCTAAATTATTTTGCCGTATTAAGTATATCAATTACCGCAGTATGAATCGCTGGTAGAGTCATAATAAGTGGTGAAAATTAATTTCAAATTAAATCAGCTAAATAGTGATTAAAACTGACTGAATACAGTTTAAGAACGTCCACATTTAATGTAAAATCTCAATACAGTTTACAAGAAACATTCAGCAAAAATGTAAAGAAGTGCACAACGTTATTTACATCATGTCAAACACGCCAGATTCTTCACGGAGGCATACTGTCCTCCACAATAAACCCCGGAAACCCTCCTTCAATATTTCGTTTAGACGACACACAATTCCTTTCTGCCAGGTCTAATTAAAGCTCCATCTTTTCTTCTCCCTCTGACAGTCTGATAATGATGCTGAATGCCCCTGCCCATGGCATCTGTGTCACTTTAGATGAGCGCAAGCTCGCACGTGGTGTCCCGGGGACCTTTCGCTCTTCAAGCCCGGCTGTAAGAGATCCGATCTCCTCTTCAAGCCATCGTGCAGTCTGTGGACCGCACTCCCCAGAATCTGTTTGCGACAATAACGCAGAGCGCAGCTCGCACTGAAATGTCACTTTCATACTTGCTGTGTTTTGTCAGCTCACTTGACCTAAATCTGCGTCCAACTGTCTGCTGGATTAATTATCTGTTTTTCAGTTGAATGAAAAGAGCACAGGCAGCAGGATTCATTGCAGTGAACAATTCCCCAACCCCCCTGACAATGTGAGGCAGAGCAACACAAAAGCGAAATAATCAGAAACGCCGTCAACACCTTCCATTGAAATGACTGATCAGTGGGATATGAAATCAAAGAGTTTGCGAAGTAATAACAGCGAGTCGCGTTTGGTTTATCGCTGGATCTTTTTGTAGGCCAGCTTAATATTTATGCCACCTACTCGTCGATAAAACTCATTTCATTCATAAGACTTTGCTGAATCTCCCCGCATAATAATGAAGAAATGAATTACATTCACATGCTAGAATATACATATCCTGGAAAAAGTATAATCTTATATCTGAGAGAGCTCATACTGTGGCTTTTCTCCAGAAGGTAAAAAAAAATCCCAATAATGACAAAATGGCATTATGTAATGCTGCAGACACAAGAACAGTTCTATAAAAGAGCAAACATTTTTGCTTTTTCTTACAATCACCACTTTTCGTTTGAGTGCACGACTGTCTTTTCAGTATAGGTCAGTGTCCGTGTGTATCTGAAGAAAGACATATTCTCCTGAAATAAGTCCGAGGCTAATCTGGACGCCTCCAGCGGTAATGTCCTCTTTGTTAAAACCTCACATTTGAGTTTGGTATAGAGGTGACCCACTTCTTGAATTCATCCAAGACATGTTCTTGGGGTGGCGGTTGTGTTTTCATGTGTTGATAGCATGTCTCCATGAGCCTAAGCAAATGGCTGTGGGTCTTAAGTAGCATTTACATAACACTATTATATAATTTGGCCCTAATGCTATGAAAGTGTTTACAAAAAAACAATATATATTGTGATCAGAATGATCGTTTTTAATGCACCAATACTCTCACTCAGAGGTTTGGTTTAACGTTATTTTGGTAGGCAAGCAAGATTTTGCATTGATCTGACACACTCATGCCTCATAGAGATGCTGAATCCTCATCATGTCTCCTGCATGTCAATCTCATGCTTCAGAAAGCCTCGTCCTCTTCAGCATAAAGCTTTTGAAAAAGAAAACGAGTTGTTAGCCGAGGGGCAGTGAACTAAGAGCATGATTCATATAGCGCCGCTTCTGTTCTTGGGATGTCTCACACCACGGTGGTCTCAGTCTGTAGGAAAGACTGGGCTCTGGAGTTACGATGGAATTGGGCCATGTTTTCCGTGCCATTTCTGGATATGGACGAACTGTGCAGACGGTAGTCGCGGCCGATGTAACGCTTTAAACGCAAACTCCTCCACTTTCTCTTGAGTTCGCTCTGGACCTGCAGAGCAGTCAAATATAAAACCCATTATCATTAGCACAGCCATACACAGCGTGGTAAGTCAACATGAAATCAAAATTGAACCAATTTATGTACTCAATACACATTCCTTGATTCATTGTAATTCATTTATCAGTGCAGTAATTTCAAACAAAAATACTTGTCTTTGTAATTTGTTCATCACAATGTAATTACTTGCTGCTCCACCTTTGAAAAAACTGTCACCAATCCCTCTTATTTTTTAAGCCCTCACATCTAACAACATCATTTAGACAACTTTTCATGATTCAATCAATCCCAAATTGATAAAATAGGGTCCAGCTTACATTTTTTCAAAGATTATCCTCTTTATGTCAGACATTTATTACATAATTGGCTGGATTCACAGACACTGCTTAAACTAGTCCCAGACTAAAATCCACGTTTGAGCTGTATTAACTATAAGCATCTTGCACTGACATATATTAAAATAACCTAAGCCCTGTCTGTGAAACAGACACCTATGTGTTGTGAATGTTTCATATTGACTTTAACTAGGAAGGAATACTACGGCTCTGTTCCAAAACCTAGTGAGCTGCCTGAGGAGGAGATAGCATTTTAAAGCATCATAGGCACGGAAATGAAGGGTGCTGTGACTTAATCATATTGCCTTTTAAGATACTTTGTTTTACAAACTAATAAAAAATCAATGGTGTCCAAGGTGAGAGAAATGATGATTATAAATAAAGAATGTTTAATTTGATATAAAAAAGCATTGCTAAAAACGTTCAGTGTAATTAAAATGTATTTATTTATCCCAATAATGTGTGTGTGCTATGGATTTTAATGCTTATTGGAATATCTTGCTTATCTTAGCTACATGCGAACATCAAAGTCTAGAGCTATTTGTGTTGCTGCTTTTGTAAAGTGTTCCAAGTCGCTCACTTCTAGGTTTTGGAAAAGAACTGAAGTGAGATATGTCGATAAGATTGATAAGATTGCACACTGACCTCACTATTCAAAAAACAATACAAAATCGCAACCACCAAGCCCTGTGAAAGGAACATAGAGAGTTAATGTGGTACAACATTAATAAAGCATCATATTCCATTTAAAAATTTGGAGTCAGTAAGATAAAAAAAAAAAAAAAATTGAAAGAAGCCTTAATAAAGTAGACCAGTTTTCTACTTTATTATACAGTGTATACTATATAATATAACTAATTCCTGTGATGGCAAAGCTGAATTTCCAGTCGCAAGAAACATTTTATTATTATGTAGAGAGTTCAAAATAATCGCCTGTATTTGAAATAGAAATCTTTTGTAACATTATAAATTTCTTTACTGTTACTTTTAACCAATTTAAAAAGTGAACACTCAGGCATATTCCTCACCTGAAATGATCCAAGGCCTAGGTCAAAGAATATTTTGTAGTTTTCCATCTCTCCATTTTCTTCTATGATGTAAACGAAAACAACATAGTTGACGCCAAAGAGAGGGATCAAGAGAAGTGTGGATTTGGCCAACCTCCTGAAAACAGAAAGAGGAGTAACAGGATTTGTACGGAGTGATAAGGAGGGACCCCCTGTTATGATAGCATGGCAATTTTTGTCAAATGGAGAGTCATTACCAAGCATACAATGGAGAGCTCCAAACCGAAATCGCAACTTTAGAAGAACAAAAAGGGAAAAGTGCATCTGGGAGAGCCATCAAATACACAACAGCCTCTCATGCATTAGCGACAGGGCATTCAAACATAGAACATGCCACTCTCAGCAGAACAAAAACTCAGATTGCTAAAAATCATGACATAAATATTTCACCCCCATTTCAATGCAAATATATTTAGCACTGCACAAGAGATAGTGGAAGCCTTGGATAAAAATGGAAAGCAGTCATCCATTTCCATCTATTTTTCAGAGATTCATGCTAGAATGCAACTCCTGGTAAATTTAAAAGGGAGATCTCAGCTATGACCTGAATAGCACATAAGAGGATTCAAACATGGTGGCTGATGCCATGTTTGCAAAATAGAATATTAGTTGGCATCCATTTGCAATACCTGTACTGAGACTGATCGTTTCCACCAACATCAGGACACCTCAGTTTCTGGACCAGGATTCGAATGATGCTGATGAACAGAATAAAGTTGAACTGTAGAACACAGAAAGGAAGAGAACAATATTTTATATCATTCCTCTTTTATACAATGACATTCTCCAGACTAAACATTACCACTGAATCCTGTTCACTGGATCTGACACAAGAAGATCTCAAAACATTCTGTAAGACTTGAACTAGATTACAGGATTATTGCACACACTGTAACACGTGAAAACGTGCAGTTGCTGCCTTAAAGGAACAGTTCATCCAAAAATAAAAATTCTGCCAACATTTACTCATTCTCAAGCCGTTATATATGACTTTCTTTCTTCTGTGTAAAAAAAAATGCCTCAGTGCTCCAGTGATGACCCCATTGACAAAAATATATTTTTATATCTTATCCACAGAAGTCAGACAGGTTTGGAATGACATGAGGGTGAGAAAATGATGACAGAACTATCAATTTTGGCTGAACTGTCCCTTTAAGGAGTTGATCTGGCCTTTAAAATAACACTACAAAAATAATATCATGTGTTTGATTCTTAGAAAACATTGAAAGCACTAAAAAAAAAATTTGATTTGGTCTGCCAAATGCATAACATCAAATGTAAAATGATCATCTCCAATTTCCATCTTGCTTAAATCCATCAGACAGATAGTAAAAACAAAAGAGGGCACCTGTTTCTGTTCCTCATAATTAATCCTGCCATAAAAACCCAAACCAAAACAAACAGAACATCTTGGCCAAAGCTTCATCGACCAGTGGGATTCTGGGTAAGAGAGACATAGATACATGGTAGATGGTGCTCTGTGAGAGTTATCTAGATACATGAATTACCAGAACCGAGTGTGTTTGCCAGAAAAACATATGACGTTTTTTATTATTATTGCATTCCTAGGCTCCAGAGGGCTGAGGAACATTTTGACCTGGATGTGTTCGGGCAAAGCTGTCAAACACAGCCATCATGCTGTCCAAAGACATTTGATCTTTTGCAGGTGAGGGTTTACAAAATGGAAATGGCACATCGGACACAAGAGAGAGCCCTGGCACGTGTGCTGAGAGAGGCACTTGTGACAGCATGTTTGCTCGCTCTTCCTGACATGCCTGCGCTCACATCTCATCCAGGACATGGAAACTGTCCGTGAGACTCAGCACATCCCAGTGTCTGCTTTGCTGGCAGAATCCCTCCCTGCCTGACATAATGCATACAGTATGAGGCTGGTCTCAGTGTGTTTATAAGTACTGGTGTGAGGTTATACTCACAATGACAGATGCCATGATTGGCCAGTTGATCACCCGCCAGGGAATCGGAGCGTCATTTCTCTCCCAGCATCTATTAAGAGAAGACATCAAAGAGTTACAAGTGCTTTCATAACAGGAGTAGCAAATGGGAATGCGTTTCATCTTCTTTTGCCTCATTTTAATCTCTCAGGTTTAAATATCCGCTATTAAGAGTCTCATGTGAGTTCTGTCACCGTCTGATTATGCTGTGCTCAACTGCTCACCCTGTATCCTCGAGGTAAATCCTACACACAATCCATGGAATCACAAACACGGTGGGGAATCCTGGGGGAAGGAGAGGGAACGATATAATATCAAGAGACTTTGTGCTGACATTCCTTTATGTGTAATCAATGTAAATATAGGCTAGAGAGAGAGAGAGACAGAGACAGAGACAGAGACAGAGACAGAGATAGATAGATAGATAGATAGATAGATAGATAGATAGATAGATAGATAGATAGATAGATAGATAGATAGATAGATAGATAGATAGATAGATAGATAGATAGATAGATAGATAGATAGATAGATAGATAGATAGATAGATAGATAGATAGATAGATAGATAGATGGACGGATACAGTAATAGATAGATGGATAAAAAGACCGACAGGCAGACGAAAAGACAGACAAACAGACGGAAAGACAGACAAACAGACAGATAATGTCATGTTAGGAAACAGCATCTCTGCTCGGACATCTGCTTAAAAATCTGTTAGTTGACTTTCCTATTGGGAGGTGGGCCACTATCTCTAGACAGAAGAAGAGCTGGAGAGGAAATGCTGGTAAACAGAACATGATTAAAGAGGCCATGTTAGTCGTCACTGTCATGATGAAAGAGAAGCTTAATGAGGTGTTGATATGATGAGTCTAGCAAGCCACGCCCAAGCCTGTCCTCTAGAAGTGAATGAAGATCCTGCTCTCCTTTCTCTCGCCTGGAAACTCCAGGGACGCAACAAACTACAAAGACATACCGTACTAATACATAATGTAAGACAAACAGCCGGAACAAGACCGATGGCACGTCATGTTGTTCCCTTCGCTGTTTTTCCTCTGAGTAGTGAGCGACATCTATTCAGAAGTGTTTGAATGAATTAAGGAAGAGACATTCAGTGCTACACCGTGAAGAGGTGTGTGTTCTCACATGATTTTCTATGCACGCATCTGTTCATGTCAGACAGGATGAAAGCAAACGCATTAAATGCAGTGGGAAGTGGAACATTTCTAGGCTTCAGACTCAAATGATCCTTTATTTACTCAATTTACCTGCTTGAAAACACTGACATGAAAAGCAAGACTGAAAAATAATTTAGAATTTATTCTAAAGGTTAACAAATGATTTTGGAAAAAGGAAACAGCTCATAAAGGTCAGTGTCAGTGTTTCAAATGAAGACTCACCCCATCCAATGAGGAGATAGATGATGAAGTGTCTGTTCTCGGAGAAGATGACCATCAGTAGGGTATGTAGGTACAGACCTTCCACCAGCAACCAGTAGAAGTTTGCCATGATGAAGTAGTTGAAGATGATCAGGCTGGCCTTGCAACCAATCTAAACACAAGCACAGACAGCTGCATACATATCTCTGAAACACCAAGACTGTGGGACAAGCAAACATGTGTAAATATTTGGGGTTTTAGGGTCTGCGGTGACAGAAATAACCACCTTTTAAAACTGATGAAGCTTAAAATGTGTTTAGTTGACTATGCATGTGTTGGCTTAGCTCAGTTCAGACCCTTAAAGGTGAAGTGTGTAATTTTTTCGATGTTAAAATACTGTCTCATATCTCAGTTTAATGTGCTCAGACAGCTGAAAGTAAACCATTTGTAAGGTTGGCTTCCTGAAAAGTATTAGCCCTTTCAAACATTGCTGTGTTTGTTTGATCTGTCTGGTATGCCAACTTCTGGTTTAATGCTTTGAGATTGAGTTTGGGATTATGGGGTGATGTGGTGTTGGGAAACAATTAGTATTTTTAGTTGTTTAGTGTCACTAGTTGTGCAGAAATTACACAGTACTGTTCAAAAGTTTGGGGCTGGTAAGATTTATGTGAATTTGTGAAACAGTGACGTCATGCGCATGCGTACTACGTGTTCAGTCTATAGGCACGTAGTGCTTCTTTTCAAAGTGACATTGCCAACTACTGGCCTGGAATGCAAAATGCGTTTTTAGTCATTTATGCAGATCTATGTGAATTTTTGGTATATTATTGCAATGTAAACGTACCCTTAATTACACGAATTTACTTCTGTATGGATGGAGTCACTCACCAGCGATGGCTGCGTTGTACATTCTACATTCTCGTGGGAAAACAGAATGGCATCTTTGACCAGCACAGCGATTGCCCTCAGTATGAAGGAGAAGAACAGGTTCAGATGGATGTAGTTCCTGGTGCAGTGGAGTTTTCTGTTGGAGCGTGACAGTACTGTAAATAAACATGGCCTCTTTCTATTTTAATTGTGCATATGGTTAGTTTGTGAGAAAAATGCAAAGACGTCTTAAGCACTGTTCCATTCATCACATCTCCAGACATATTCTTAAATTAATAATTTCATTCCAGCAAGATAAACACTATCGGGTTAAAGCCGTGCGCCAAGCATAATGTTTATCCTCAATGTCAAAAAGTTTAAAATATAGTCGTTCAGAAGCCTGCCAAATGATTACAATTAATATAAGGCAGGCTCATCCATCCATACAAAGTGTGCTGTAATATAAAGCAGACTCAACTACTGGAACTATTTAAGACTCTGTTTCAAACCTGAACAGACAGAGGATGGTGCTGCCGGTGATAAGTGCGATGAGAGAGAGGCTGTGTCCGAGCGTGTAAAGGGCCTTCATCACCGTGTAGAAAACAAGCTGGACAGAGAGAGAAACAGAGTGTGAGAAACACTTGTATTTTCAAAATTTTATTTTCAGTTGATTAAGTCATAAAATTCAACTATTCACTCCAAGGCATGTACTTTGTCTGAAAAAAAGGACAAAGGTTTTTGATTCAAGTGGATTATAAGTGCTTTTAAATGATTTCAAATAACTTTATATCTTTGAAAATAAAGTTGCCTGATTATTTTAGGCAAAAAAAGATGATTGTAGGTTGGCCTACTGTAAAAGTATGTCTACATTTGGCTAGTTTAATCATGTTGCACATTTTCCAGAACATTTAAATTCTGTCATCGCCCACCCACGCTCATGATGCATAAAAATCATTCTTTTTTTCCCAGTAGAACAAAATGTCAGGGCTGCAATTTATACATCACACATAACAGAAAGGCATGATTAACACTGGCTGTCCAGTTGCAATTTCACTTGGTTCATTAAAAAATAATTCTGTATGATCATTTTACTTAAGCTGGCTTCACACTTTACGATTTTGGCCACGATTTGGCCAAATTTTGCAAATCCTAAAAGATTTCTCTGATCCTAGGCAAAACTCTGAAGTCTTTGATCATTAGTTTGACATGTTCACAGACAGCCGATTAATGACAGTTGCGATCAAATTTGACCTCTGACGAAATTCTGGCAGTGTCAGAAGAATTGACTCAGCCCTGCAGTGTGACTTCTCCTACGATGACCGTCAAATTAAATTTGTTTTTTAAGACAAGCCATGACCAAAATTAACGTTAGAGATTTCTTTGTAGAAACCATTTCAATCCCTTGTAATGCAACTCAATGTCACCGAACTTGTCATTGATTGATGATGTAAAACTCTAGACGAGTATTCTTACGTGGGTCTTGACTGTTGCACAATCTGACATTAATGACAACTGATATTGTACAGTGTGACATGGCTTACAGCGGGGATCATAGTCTGACGAGGAACAATAATAAAGAACTATTATAAATCGCACAGTGTGCACCCGGCTTTACATGAAAAAATTAAAATCTAAATGAATATATTAAAATAATATTGGGCTACATGAACAATTTCAAGTTAAGCACAATCTGTAACCCAGACTATCCCATTTTACACGGTGAACCTGATTTCACCAAGTGCAACATGTTCCTGGATCAACATCTTTGTTGATTCCAATCAACCGATCAGATTAGACAAGTTTACAGTTTATGTCACGTTTAGGCATACAACCAGTGTTAGGTGCTTCTACATCAGTGTTATTCACCTATCATTTCCCTCTGATTTTGGGTAGGGTTAGGGGTAGGGATATGATTAGGACAACATTTTCAGACAGGAATGTCTGAAATACACTTTAAGATGAACAAATACGCTTTTGTAAAATAACATCACATAACATGGATCACAGGGTGAATAATAACCTTGGAAAAGGCTTGTTGGACAGGCGGTGGAAGAATGATGAAGCTCAGAAAGATTCATCCCCCATAAACAGCATTCTTTCAGTCTGACTTACTACATGGCACACTGGAGCCAGAGCACCCACTCATCAACATTAACAACACCAGGAACATTCCTCCTGCACTACTTTAAACATAAAGCTGAAAGAAACATTCAGCGAAATTCTCACGAATTCACCGTCAGATGAATATTTGACGACTTTTGGTTTATCTGTCCGTTAAGAATGTTTTGTCCTTGTACGTGTTTTTTACTTTGGTTTCAGAGCAGTGATACATTCGTGACTGTATGACATTTAATTACAAAAATAAAAAAATATTTATAATGTATTTTTTTGTGTATTTGATAGTTCATAGCATTTTATGTGTCATAAATAAAAAGTTTGCACTCTTTGAATAATATGACAAAATTATTGGAAAAGACAAATGTTCTGTTTACAAATAATATTTAGATTTTTCTTTTAGATTTTATTAACGCAATTGGGCAAAGTATAATGCATTTAAATAATATTGAAATGGTTTATACTTATATTTATTCATATATATAAAAAAAAAAAAAGAATGAAGGCATGTTAACAAGTTTCCAAGAGAGTTAGTTTAAACAAAAAACAAAAATGTGGTGGAAAAAAACGCCCATATCAATACAGAAGTAAATCTATTGGTTGACATTTCTTTTGTTTTGCTATCTTTCATACTAGGTCTGCAGGTTAACTGCTGTAGCAGTTAAAAGAAGGAGACAGAAACCAGCCTCTGTGCTGGCTTTAGATGAGATGAGGGATTGTTTCCTTCTTCAGACAGTGTCTTATTTATTGTTGGATGTGATATGTGTTTCAGGGAATGCCCATGGAAAACATCTGGAGAACTTCAGATTAAAAGCGACACTAATATAGCACTTGGACCTCAACATGCGGTGCAAGGCCTAGGAAAAGGTGAGCATTGTTTAGACGATGTCTAAGTAGTCTATTTAGACTTTAAGGGGATGTGTGTTATTTTTTTATGTTAAAATACTAGGTTGATTATCTTGAAAAGTGCACTATCAAACAGTGCTCTGCAGTATTTCATCCCACATAGCAATGCTGGCTCTACAAATGACATGAGTTCCAGGGGCGGTATTATCTGATTTTCTGACCAATAGCAGATGATGTTTGAAAACTGTTTGAAAACAGTCATTCATTCAAAAATTCTTTAATTAAATTCTTTAATAATCATCTCTTTAATTATAAAGTGATGCAGAAATTACACAACATCAAAGCCAGATGCTTTTATAAGCCTCTGTCTCCTCTAAAGTGATTAGTAAATGATTACATTTGAATACAACCTTCAGTCTAAAGTACTAATTTAAGGGTGAAAGACAAACCGGTCTATCCGTACATCAATCAGGCAACCCTAAAGGAATAGCAGGTGTCCTTTAAAAGAGAATCAATACCACAAGTTTAGAAGATCAATGTCCAATTTAATTCATCAATGGGCTTGTTTTAATTTATTTGAAGGTGCCCGGGGCAGGACTTCTTTGAAACGAAGCAGGATGGGACTCAAGAAATCAGGTTTGACTCAAGGTCGATCAGTGTTCTTACTAACGCCTTAGGAGGACGACTACAGTCATCTCTGCTAATTTCCCAGAGATAACTCTGCGAGGATGGGAATGTGCCCTCTGCTACTGTCTCTCTACCCTTCAGGAAATTGCTTTAATGTTTCATTTCCCCTGACACGGGATGAGAATGAAAAACAGCGAACTGTCCCCTCATTGCTCAAACGAGCAGTGCAGAGTCAACTGGGCACCATCCCAAACCACACCGCTGCCAACCATCCTACCGCGGAGCACGTGCTGAACTCTGGGTGATGTCAAAAGTCCATTGACCATAGTTGTGATGGAAAACATTACTAGGGAGATGTACTGCCTCTCTAAACATTAAAGAACAATACGCAAGTACAATACAACAGGATTTTTCTAACTCTTTTTAAATGAAAGTGATTGTATGGCCCACTCTGATATATGAGGGTGTTTATCACATCAAAGAGGTTAGCCAATGATAACAGAGCTCATTTACATATAGTGTTAAAGGTGCAGTAGCAAAAACATCCTGTTTAACTTTATGGTTTAGAAAAACAGTGGAAAATTATGGGGTTTTTTTGTGCAAAAAACCCTTGACTAACATAAAACTTGCTTTAAAGTGTATGTCATGAAGTGGTTGAAGCAAGGGAGGAAGCAGGATCCAAATGCAGCACACGTTATTAACTCAGAGCAGGAAACAGGACTCAGGGACAGAACAACCAACATCAATGCTACAACATCAAGAACTCACAAAGACAGGGCTGAAACACAGGGCTTAAATACAGGGGTAAACGAGCTAGATAGGATAACAAGGGGGCGTGGTTAATGGGAAACACCTGGGATGACTAATAGACAGACAGGGAACCACTAAACATGACAAGACAAACCCACACCGTGACAGTGTAGAATAGCCTTAAGTAAATCAAACTTCTCATTTATTTAAACCATTCTATTACTGTAGACAAATATACACAGTTTAAACATTTTCTTTTATTCCGCAAGGATGCATTAAGTTGATCAAAATTGACAGTAAAGACTTTTAAATATAAATTTCAAATAAATGCTGTTTATTTTCAAATAAACTTTATACTCAAAGAATCCTGAAAAAATTGGAAAAAGTTTGGTTACACTAAATTTTAAGGTGACATAGTTGCATTGTGTTTACTCAAATAGGTGCTGAGTAATATTAATTAAGTACATGTACAATAGAGTTATGGTTATGGTTAGTTAGTTACGATTAAGCATGGTTTACTGTTATTAGTAAGTACATGTAGCAATGTGTAACTATGTCACCTTAAAAAAAAGTGTTACCAAAATTTGACAAAAATATTAAGCGACACAACTGTTTTCTACGTTGATAATAATAAGAAATGAAAGCTTTAGCGTAAGTTCTGCCGGGAAGACTCAATTGTATACGTCACTTATTACCTTCTCATCTATCCAATCGTGTTCTAATACTTGTAGTATAAAAGATCGGTACTTACACATGTCTGAGTTCGCAGATGCTACATTCACCTCCATCCTCCCGACCACCACCAGGATGGTCCCTTCCCATACCTCCCAGGGGGTCGGCTGCGCCCCTGCCTTCGTCTTCAGGCAGGAAATGCAGATTTCTATACCCTCGGATTGTGAGCTACGCCAAAGAACTTTATATCACAATACTTGCTTGCTGGGCTGTTAATAAATGCATGCTTGTTACGTTATTTTGCCTCCCGAGTCTTTCTGGTAGAAATGTTTCTTGAGCAGCAATTTAGCATATTAGAATGATTTCTGAAGGATCATGTGTCTGAAGACTGGAGTAATGATGCTGAAAATCCAACTTTGCATCACAGGAATAAATTACATTTAAATTTTTTTTTTTTTACTCAGTATTTTTTTTTGTGCAGAAACCCATTTCCACTTCAGTCTACTATACGTGAATCAAGCCATTGCTTAGATGTCAAACAGGTTCTAATGAAATCCAGTTCAAATCCAATTTATATGCTGGATCATCCCGTTTTTGTGTCTATAGCCTCATACAGGCTGATTTGCACCATTTCAAGGCTGCTTCAGTCACTGCATGCATCTCCTTTCAACATTTAGCCGATGATTTAGGCCGATGTGTCAGCATGCCTGCTCTGATCCTTGGTATCACCTCAAGTCGCTCTGACAACTCACTGCGCTTCAGAGGACTGATTAACCAGCCATAAGAGGCGTTTGCCCTCGCTGCTGGAGACCACGCTTGTCCACAAACACTCAAAACCACACGGTCATGACAGGGTAAAGCAATATAAAACACACAACACATGTGCTGACATTTTTATAGAAAATCCCTCTAATAAAAGCGGATTTCGTTTCAACTTTCTTGAGTTATAGCAGGTTTGAGCCCTGTCATCTTCAAGTATTCGTTTTCTCAATATTCCTCCCGGTGCAGTTTAATGTCAGTTTGGTGTATAACCAAGACTAACATTTCAGCATCATAATTTATTAAATTGTACAATCTTACATTCAAAATGCTTTGGCTGAACTTTCGCTCTTGCCAACTGACTTAATCTGGGACATTTATTCGTCATAATAACTTAAAAAAATACTTAACATTTGTATTTAAATCCTTATTTGGCTTTTGTGTTGAATGCTCTTCTTTCCCTCAGACGGCTGTTTAAGTTTGAATGCAGGGGAGGTTTCATCTGATTATGTTGGAGATGTTTATTTTTTGACAGTTTTTCCATATGGCCTCTAACATACAATGACTTAAGCTTAAGGTTCCCAACGTTCCTATCGTTCCCTGCATTCCCAAGGCTCCCTGCCCCTATAAAACAGCACAGATCTATTAAGAGCATTTATTTGATAAACAATGCCATGAAAACTTAATGATGCTACAAATCTTAGGGCAAAACAGGTCATGGGTACGAGTTAAAAACATCTCATGAATTATGTTTTGACTAAAGGTTACTAAAAATTAGATGGGGATAAAATGTTTCATTTTTCATTCTTATTAGGGAGAGTTGAGTTTATGGGATTTTCCCTGATGCCCCTGTAATGGCAATAAAGAGAGAACATAATTACATTTTCAGGTGTTTCACTATAATTACATTTTATGAATAAATGTAAAATAAGCCACAGTAAGCTCAGTTACAGCTCAGCTCATTAGTTCATTAATAGGAAAATCAGTAACTGATATTTTCAATTTGGTGGTTTAATCTGAGGAACATTGTGCTTATGTGTCACTACATGGAGTTATGGAGGGAAAAAATGTTTTAGGAAGCTTTAGATTATGCACATCATGACTGATGTTTTCTTTATTGCATGATTTGATTTGAATAATAGGCAGCTTGACTTACATCAGTGGTGGTCAGCCTGTAATTCGGACAATATAGATTGAATTATTGTATCATGTTTTATGTCATAGCTCCATCAGCCAATTTTTTACTCAAATTTGGTACTTGGTGAGTGTTAATCACAGACCCTGTTTATGTGAATTAATAAAAGGTACAAAAGAAGGGGAAAAAACATTTAACCACCCTATATAGAACACTTGTAGAAAGAATGAATGAAAACTCCTAATGATTCAGTTAACTCCTCCGCTCTGGCAGTCTGTCTTGACACTGGCTTTGCCATGCTTCACTTCCTGCAGATATTCTCTCCAATCAAGTAGCTCATGATTATTCATATCTCTAAAGCACAATCACAGGATAAAACTGTAAATTTCACAGGCGACTGCCGTTTCACAACAACCTATTTAATGGACTGAGAGAATCTGTTATTATGAGAAACGTTACATGTTACTGGACATTTATATATATATATATATATATATATATATATATATATATATATATATATATATATATATATATATATTTAATTCTGCCATAAAAGAACAAAATCACCTCTCTGCTCTGATTATTTTATCATCTCATTTATTTATTTTTTTGGCTTTCTGGCACTCTTTTCAACTTCAAACGCATCTAAAATCATTTGTCTCCAAATTTGGGATCCTGATAAATATAATACTAGAGCAATTTGGTTGAAAGCCTATGAAAATACACTTGAGCCAGCTGCTCGCTTTCTTTTAAAACTCTAGTGCTTTCCACGACTGTTTGCCTCTGTCAGACACACGCATGAACACACACATGCATTCATGTACGCACTCGCATCTCCAAATGCACACAAACACGGTCTCTGCCCCAAAGGTAGTCCCAGCTGGCAGGGATGCAGGCACTAAAAGGTTCAGGGTCCTGAAATGTCCTCAGCGTCCACACACAGTGGTTATAGCACATGTGGAGAGGGAACAACAGTGCCTTTCAGGCAAAATATCTTCCTTTACCGCTGCCATTTATGCATAGCTCCTTCAGGATAGTTAGAGCAATGATCCTAAATACTGTGTACAATCAAAAGTCCCATTCTGATGGCATCTGTTTCAGGACAAATGACTGTAAAGTAATTCTGGGAAAGATCTGACAGCATAAATTCAGTCACTCACCTTGGTTGCATTCGGGCTGGGCTCAAAGCAAACGCTGTGGATGCTGGGATACACGTCGGACCAGCCTTCCATAGTGCAGTTCCTGCTAATGATCCCTAGAACAAACAGACATCGCTTCGTTAACAGCCAATTTATCAGACTGATTAATGGCAATTTAGTCTGACAACGAGCATTAGTGAGTGTTTTGGTAGGTAACGCTTCGCAGCATTGCACATCGCAGAAAGACCAGAGATATCTGAGAAAGCTAATAAAGTTCATTATTCTAGAATCGAGTGAAGCTCAACAAAGCTTGCCAAGAAATGTTTCACCCAAAATCAAAAGAAAAAAAGACACAATATTTTGCATAAAAAATAAAATAAAATAAAATCATAATTAAATGCATTCTCTCACTTAGTTTTCTACAATTATTTTCTTATATTTAAACCAAAAATAATGTACACTACCATTCAAAAGTTTGGGATCAGTAGGATTAATTCTATTATTCAGCAAGAATGCATGCAGTGACAGTAAAAGTAAAAAATATTTAGAATGTTACAGAAGATTTCCATTTCTCAGTTGTGTTGACTAAAAACACTTCAATTAAAATCAGCAGTAAAAACAAATATTACCACAATGAATACTTTCATATATATATATATATATATATATATATATACATACACTCACCTAAAGGATTATTAGGAACACCTGTTCAATTTCTCATGGCAGTTGCTTCAATGCATTTAGGTCCTGGTCAAGACAATCAAGACAATCTCCTGAACTCCAAACTTAATGTCAGAATGGGAAAGAAAGGTGATTTAAGCAATTTTGAGCGTGGCATGGTTGTTGGTGCCAGACGGGCCGGTCTGAGTATTTCACAATCTGCTCAGTTACTGGGATTTTCACGCACAACCATTTCTAGGGTTTACAAAGAATGGTGTGAAAAGGGAAAAACATCCAGAATGCGGCAGTCCTGTGGGCGAAAATGCCTTGTTGATGCTAGAGGTCAGAGGAGAATGGGCCGACTGATTCAAGCTGATAGAAGAGCAACTTTGACTGAAATAACCACTCGTTACAACCGAGTTATGCAGCAAAGCATTTGTGAAGCCACAACACACACAACCTTGAGGCGGATGGGCTACAACAGCAGAAGACCCCACCGGGTACCACTCATCTCCACTACAAATAGGAAAAAGAGGCTACAATTTGCAAGAGCTCACCAAAATTGAATAGTTGAAGACAGGAAAAATGTTGCCTGGTCTGATGAGTCTCGATTTCTGTTGAGACATTCAGATGGTAGAGTCAGAATTTGGCGTAAACAGAATGAGAACATGGATCCATCATGCCTTGTTACCACTGTGCAGGCTGGTGGTGGTGGTGTAATGGTGTGGGGGATGTTTTCTTGGCACACTTTAGGCCCCTTAGTGCCAATTGGGCATCGTTTAAATGCCACGGCCTACCTGAGCATTGTTTCTGACCATGTCCATCCCTTTATGGCCACCATGTACCCATCCTCTGATGGCTACTTCCAGCAGGATAATGCACCACGTCACAAAGCTCGAATCATTTCAAATTGGTTTCTTGAACATGACAATGAGTTCACTGTACTAAAATGGCCCCCACAGTCACCAGATCTCAACCCAATAGAGCATCTTTGGGATGTGGTGGAACGGGAGCTTCGTGCCCTGGATGTCCATCCCACAAATCTCCATCAACTGCAAGATGCTATCCTTTCAATATGGGCCAACATTTCTAAAGAATGCTTTCAGCACCTTGTTGAATCACTGCCACGTAGAATTAAGGCAGTTCTGAAGGCGAAAGGGGGTCAAACACAGTATTAGTATGGTGTTCCTAATAATCCTTTAGGTGAGTGTATATATATAAAACTTTTATTAGTATTTTGATAATGAGAACAAGGGGTTTGAATGTGCTTAAATGTAATGATGATGACATTGCACGCAAAAAAATTATTGGTCCAAAAAAAAAACCTTCATTTTCTTAAAGGAAACTATAATGACTTATATTTTTCCTTTTGATTATAGAGTGAAAAGATTCTGAAATACATCTTTATTCTGTGTCCAGCCTTTATCTTTAGGTGCAATTACCTTTACATTTCCATCTACATGGTCTGCACTCACTCATTATACTTGTAAATCCATATGGCAGTGATAATGGAATAGTTTTGCACATCACTGATGCATCCAGTAAAGGCTGAGAGGCAGAGGCTGAGTGTGAAGTATAAATACAGTATATTTGTGTTTCATGCACTAAAGTATCTGCGTGTATGCTTGTTAATCCTCTCAGTAGCGATAACAGCCTCCTACACGTTGCACGGCATCAATGACCACCATTACACCTGGAGAAGAACAGCTGGCAGGCTAACAAAGTGTACAGTACATGAACACATTTACACATCAACCAAACATTATAACACCCAAGTCCTTTCCAAGAAAATAAGTAGGCTGAAAGATATATTTTGGAACATCTGATTTAAAAATAGTACTGGCTAGAGTGAAGACCATCAGAATAAACTTTAAAGATAATGCATGTTCAAATACTTTATTCTATCCCAGTTGAATATGCAGAGATTATAAGTTAACAAGCTGTAGGTTGATTTACCTGAAAGCTACTGTAAAATGATGTACATTTGTTACTATATTTATTATAATAAAATAGCAATTTACCATTGATAAAACATTTTTTTTTTGCAATTTGGTTATGTAATAAAAAGTACGGTAATGTGTGTGTGTGTGTGTGTATATATATATATATATATATATATATACAGAGAGAATTTGCACTTATATTTCTAGCATGAATAATTTCTAAACAATATTTAACAGTGATCCATCTTAATTTGGAAGCTATTTCTTTATTTGTTTTTTTTCTTTTTTGTGATTAAAAATTCTAAGTATTCAAACTATTTTGTCAGAGAAAGGCAAAAAATTGGCCTCGGCTTTTATGCGAATTTAATTGGATTAAAAAGCAGAGAGAGGACTTTTCTTCCTCACTTCAGAAACCCAACAGACATTGGACTCTATCAGTAGATCATTGACCTACAAAAGACAACTGAGCTAGATAATACTGTATATTTACTAACATCAATAGTATGTGATTCTAAAAACACTTTAAGTGAAACGACTTCTGATGTGTCACTCAGAGCGACATGCGTATATGTATATTTTAGGACTGAGAGGAAAGCAGAATGAATATTTAATGGCATTCATGGGGTCGAATATGCGGGAGAGCACAACTACATCACTGCAGAGCACTTTGCGAGAGAGAGAGAGAGAGAGAGAGAGAGAGAGAGAGAGAATGTAAACTCTGCTGACATGTATCAACATGGAGATTTATTTTTGTCCGTGTCCAGCCTGAAACAAATCCCCCAAACACACACCCACACATGCTCACACACACCCAGCCATGCAGATCTGAACATACGTGCGTACAGGCACTCAAACACACACACACAGGCCTAACAAAAGGGTCTGTCTGTACAAACAGACAGATTCAGGCTTTATAAAGGTGCTAACTAACCCATCTTTGAAAACCTGGTCCACCTTACTCGTCCTATTCACAGGCATCCGCTAATTTACGTCACCATGTGAGCTCTTATCTTGAATTCAAAGTGTCAGTAGGGTAATCAAACATGTATTTTGTCCAGAAGCATAAGTGCTTTGCAGGAGCACAAAGCGGGACTGCTTTGCTGCTTCTCACTGCCATTCAGGGACACAAATGCAAAGGCGCAGAGCTTTGTGCTGGCAAAAGCCTGACCGACAGCTACTTTCCATTTTATGCATGGCACATCAGTCCAAAACCCTCATGTCTAACAATGACATCAGCAACTAAGACAAGAAGAATGCTACATGTGGAGTAATTTTCCTCCAGAAGGCTACTGTAGAAATGACAGGTGTACTGCAGCAATGTAACACAGGGGCTTTCTTTTTTTCTTTGTTTTTGCAAACGGCTTCTGTATACACACACACATATTTATATACACACACACACATAAACATATAGGATCATGTGACACTGAAGACTGGAATAATGGGTGCTGAAAATTCAGCTTTACCATCACAGGAATAAATTACATGTCAAAGTATATTACATTTTTTGATCAAATGGAGCCTTGATGAGCACAAGACACTTCTTTCAAAAACAAGAAAAAAGTATAGTTCATTTATTATAAAAGATTTATTGTAAAGATTTTTTTTAAATTTTGATTTGAATTTTGAATTTATTTATTTTGCCTTTTATATTCACACAGTGGAGAGTGTGTGCAACTGCACTAATAATTATATATAAATAAATGTAATAATATAAATTTAAAATAATTTTTAGAAATGGTAATTTCTAAAGATAATATTGATAATATTGCTGAGACAAAGACATTTTGCAAAGTAAGGTATTCATTTAATTGTTAATTTCTTACTGTTAATCTCTCTCTTTATGTAAATAAATACTTTTTACACAAAATATGCTCACTTGTCTTTATACTGTTAAAAACCTCTTCTAAAATAATTGATTATCTCATGATTTGTAAATCTCCTGAAACGTGAAATTATAACGTCAAAACAAAAATGTTTAAAATGTAAAATAATGAAAGAGTAAAACATATGTTTTTGCACTTTCTCTCCCTAAAACTGGGCCCCAGATTGAAACCCCCTGATGTAACGTACATGAGCTCCGCCGAGGAAGAGGAATGGGAAGATGAACCATTTACTGCCCACACAACCCCAATGCACCTGAAACTACCTCATACAATGAAAGTAGGTGATATATATTTATCTGATCTACCCCTTACAATCCATTAACCTCTGTCAAACGATTAAAAATACATGCCTCTGAACACTGGGTTGAGAAAGTGCAATGCGTTGCTTTTTTGAGAGCTACTTTGCGGAAGAATAATATCTGGGGTAACAGCTAATGGAGCATAAATGATGCTGATGATGATGACAGTGATTCATCTGTGAAAAGTTCAGCCATACATTAGAAAGCTTGATTGTAAATGATGATCGTGTGCTATAAAACCACAGGTCAGCATGTGTTTCCAGATGTTCTGGGCTAATTTGGCTCCTTAACTCTGTGGATATCCGGCGGCACCATGTGTTCATGTGTTCCTGCATGACCTCTCTGTGCCAGCAGGTTAGAAAGGGCTGGAAATAGACTGATTGGGGAATCAGGGCTGTAAACTCCCACACTCTGGAGCTTGACGGACAACTTCTCTGTGGGGAAGAACGAGTGTGCTGGTTCTGTGCTCTCGGCTTGGGTCCACGGGTCAATGAGCATGTCCGAGCAGAAGGGGAAAGACATGATTCACTCAATCCAGCCTTCAGTTTACTCCCTTACTCATTAATTTACTCACACTCACAATCACATCAGCACAATTCACTCTATTAATTTACAAAAAAAATACCCCTCGAATTGAAAATAATAGCAGCATTATTGTCATATCTGCCTTGTGCACTTGAGAGCTGAACTGATATAATATAATATAATAATATAAACTTAAGGTTCAAAATAGGGGGTTACAGCTTAATGCCATCAGAGAACCTGTTTAGGTTCCTATACACTGGTGAGACCCTTTGGAGAAAATCTTCACACCTTATCAGGAACTTTAAAAATGGATCCTATAAGTTCTTGTAAGACTGTCAACGTTCCTTATGTTGCCCCAAACGTAACCCCAAAAGAGAAAGTTTTTAAATATATATTGAAGTTCCTTTAAAGGACAAGTTCGGTATTTTACACTTAAAGCCCTGTTTTAAGATCGTTTCTGATGAAATAGAACGGTTAAGATTAAAATTTGGACACATGCTGCTGTCCCGAGAATTTTCTGTTTCTGTGGTTGCAATCCCCCCCCCACCCCCCACCCCCACCTCCACAATGGTTGCATAGGTGCACAGAAACAATCCTTCCTAAAACGCATTAAACTTGTGGTCTGGGGTGTTCACTGATATGCTCACACAAAAATCGCTGCAAAAGATGCTTTGTCCAAATTTTAATCTTAACCGTTCTATTTCATTAGAAACGATCTTAAAACAGGGCTTTAAGTGTAAAATACCGAACTTGTCCTTTAATACCTAATGAGATATATGAGGTCTTCAAAAGGGCATCTAGTGGTTCTCCAAATGTGGTTCTGACTTTGTAAAAACCAATATTAAACTTTTTTTTTTATTATCAGTATCAACCGATTTTGGATATCCGTATCATGTTAAGATGGATAAATGACAGTTTGCAAATATTAAAGTAAAAATTACCATCTCTGGTGAACAAATTTTTTAGGGCAGCGGGGCAGGTGTTGACGACCACCTCTCCAAAATCGGCATGGTGCCAGCAAGAAATATTGTCCCACATCCCTCTGCAACCTGTAAGACATAGAAAACAAAATAAAAGCTTAAAACATGTTGTGGAAAATATGCTGAAATAGCAGAACTTTCAACAAAAGTTACCGCAGCATTGCACATGAGAAACTTGACATGTGTTTGACAGGAATCTGGAAGAATTTAGGTTAAGATAAGATCCGCATTCATTTACCAATGTTCTTGAGAGTCTTTTATGAGTTGAGAGTATCTGACCATTTTTTCTGTTTTAACCTAACACACCACAAACACTGCATGGAACATGCATTTAGTTTGCCTTTCATTTAGCAGTAAAGGTACTACAGTACAACCAAAAAAAAACCAAAAAGGAGAAAGTCATTGAATCTCTTGAGACCAGCCCACAGGGACGGGACACATTCCAGCATCTATGGTCAGATGAGTGTTTTGTGAAGGTCTGGACATAAATAGAAAGATGGTCAAAGAGGTTTGACAATGACATCACACCCCCATCCATCGTCATCTACAACTCCAAACACTCTCAGAAACGGCACAGAAAAGAGGGCATGTAGTTCTTTGTGTGTACTAAAGGGATATTTGACCCCCCCCCCCCCAAAAATGAAAATTAATTTACTCCCCCTAATGACTGTATGACTTTCTTTTGTCTTTGGAATATTATATAGCACTTGAACTTGAAATATAATGAATGAGTAATAAGTTGTATAACAATTTAATGGCACTTTTTGTAACTTGAGATGCCAATTGCTCAATCTGTATATGGAAAAAGAGTAACCAAAATAAAATATTTTACATTATAACATTTCTTATTATTATTATCAATGTTAAAAACAGTTTTGCTGGTTAATATTTTTCGTAAAAACTAATACATTTTTTGAGGATTCTTTGATGAAGAGAAAGTTCAAAAGAAAAGCATTTATTTGAAACAATGTTACAATGTACAAATCTTTACGGTGATTTTTGGTCAAAAAGTATTATTTTCTTTTAAAAACAAATCTCACTGACCCTAAATCCTTTTAACAGTATTGTGTGTAAAAAACGCTTTTGTGTTCAATAGAGGAGTCAGGCACACAGGTTTGGAACGGCTTGAGGGCGAGTAAATAATGACAGAATTTTCATTTTTAGGAACAATTCATTTAAACAGCTGCGTCTTCTCTGAAACAGCTGGTGAGTTCTGAGGGAAAATAAGAAGTCTAAACTAAGAGAAAACAGGTCACTCACCAAGCATTGTTTAAGACACAGTAAACATTGCTTCTGATTGGTCAGTCCACTGTGCCCTTTTATGAACCATCAGAAATGTGGGCTACATTAAGTGACCCAAACCGCTTCTCTTTTTTTTTTTGCAATCATCTCCAGAGGGACTCGTCACTCATTTCACCCATTCGAATGGTCAAGACCTGTGTATATTTATTGCCAAATAATTACCATTAATTGGAACATCTGTCCGTTGATGGACACCATACAGCTGTCATCAAGGCAAACCCAAAACTGTGTTGTTCCCACACTTCTGATTTTGTTCTAAAGTGGATGCAAAGCATGTAGAACAACCCAAAACCAACATGCAAAAATAAAGAACAGATTGTCTATGATTGCACATTGATTACACCGATTTAGGCTTCTTTTGTGTTTAAATAGATGTTTAACATTAGAATTGTCACATAAATAAACAAATGCCAAATATGGTCCCTGACGGTTATTAACCGCGGGTTGTATGATTACGGCCGATGACCAGAGATGATACGAGCTGGGAAAATTCAGAAGAAAATATTTAAAGGACCTTTGAAGCACAGGCATCAGTAACACTGAGTCATCACTAAAACATCTGGGATCGTAAAAGCTTCAAAGTAGGATCCGAGAGCTCTCATCATAAAACTATGAGTATCTCTGTTCCATAAAAAAAGAGCTATACCTTCTGTTACCTCATCCAGACTCACTAAAGGGTTAGTTCACCCAAATAATGAAGATTCTGTCATTAATTACTCACCCTCATGTTGTTCCAAACCTGTAAGACATTCGTTCCTCTTCGGAAACACAAATGATGATATTTTTGATGAAATTCATCAAAAACAGTCCACTTTCACAACCTCGTTGTGTTTATTACAGTCATTTTACAGCGCACAAAAAGTATTCTTGTCGCTTCATAACATTAAGGTTGAACCACTGTAGTCATATGGACTATTTTAACAATGTCTTTACTACCTTTCTGGGCTTTGAAAGTGGTAATAACGTTGCAGTCTATGGAGTGGTCAGAAAGCACTCTCAACCCTTAATATTATGAACAAAAAAATACTTTGACTAAATAAAATGACTGTAATAAACACAACGAGGTTGTGAAAGTGGACTAGTGTGTAGATGACTTTACCTGTTTGGCTGATGATGTTTAATGTCCCTGACAACTCTGTAGTCCCATTTAGACACTTGTTAGCAATAGCCTTTTTCAAGACACATAAAAGCTAACATTCATGAGTGGTGTACCATACCCCATACCATACCTTACAGGTGTGTTTTATGTCATAGAATAAAACATTAAAATATCTTGAGCTTGTGTTTACCACAGACCTTATTTTTAAGGATTTAACCAAAATCCCATTAAAAAAAACCCATTGACTTCGGGACGAGGGAACTGGAATTCATTTTGGCCTACAAAAATATGTCATCCCTGCACCAATCTATCCAGAGACAATATAAATATCACACTCAACATTGACCTTAAAAGCTGGAGCCAAAAGCAACTCAACCACTATCAGCCAACAGTAAATGTGATTCTACATCTGCCAGAGCATTTCTACACACCAACAGAAAAACAGTGAGACATTAACTGATTATGTAGGACAAACAATGTGGCGAGAGCTCATTCAGATTTCTTTCACTGTAATGTTTGTGGGGAACATGACACAAACACACATAACACTTTCATCTTACAATGTTTGCCTTGTGAAATGTAGTTTCACGTTCTGGCCATCCGACATACTGTACACAACAGATGCTGTAAGTGGATTTGTAAGATGATGTAACGTGCGTGTGCACATCATGCATACTCACTAATACATTACCTTTGGTGTTTGCCGGAAAGTCGTCTGCCAGTATGCCCAAACATTCCTTCTCGGCCATCTGCAGCTCATACAGAAAGTGACAGTTTGCATGTCTCCCGCTGACCTTCAGGGGCAAAGGAAAGAAAATCAACCTTATGGTCTCAATGCTATACCATCATCAGAGAAGAAGCGAAAAACATCTCAGTCAGTGTTGTTTTTGTATCATTGACAAATATTATTATAGTTTTATTACGATTTTAAAAGTTTTAGTAATTTAGCTGTGTGTTTAGCTGTGTTTAAATGTCTAAATTGTTTGTATTCCTTTTTATTATTATGGGGTAAGTTGTCACAATAAAGTCTGCTATTAAACAGCCGAATTTAGGGTTTCCAGCAATATTTGAACAGTAAAACATTTATGAAACAAAACAATAAATGAAACAGCAAAAATACCAAACTATTTGTTTTGACCAATTAATAAAAAAACATTTAAAAGTAGGACAACTTAAATCTACTCAGTAATATATATTTCTTTTCAGTTTAAGTTATTATTAAACTAGATTAATATTAGAAATGTTGCAGATGTTTTTTTTATTTATTGTTTTAGCTTTAGTAAACTATAATAACCCTGGTCTCAGTGACAATATATATTTGCATAGACATGCACCCTCCAGCTCATGGGATCTACATAAACATCATGAGGTTTGTCACCTGAAGGCAGTGTTGAATTGCTAAGTCAGTTGAGACGGCTTGCTGGTGACATCACCTGAAATGACTGATCAACACAGTTGGATTCAAAGCTAGCGTGATCAAAGAGCCGTCACAAAGCCTGTTCAACTGATGGACTAAAAATCCTCTATTATAAGAACTGTAATGATATCAAGGGAATTAACCAGAGTCACATGAAGTCTTCGGTTAAAGATCTCATCGGCTGCTCAGTCATGGATAGTTTTTGTTTTATACATGTGGGGGAAAATGCGACAAAATCATTCTGAAAGCACGGGATGTTAGAATTTAAAATCTGAATTTTTAAAATACAAGCATTGACGTCAAAGATCGTAAGAACGTGTATTTTGAAAAACACAAGGTCACCTTGTACGTCTTACGTGTTTGCGCTGCGTGTGAACTCTTAATCACTTTTGGCTTTGGGTTTTTACCAAGTGAACAGCACAGAGACAAATCAGAACAGAACATAAGCCTACACTTTAGGCCTGTCATTGCTCATCTCTTTCAAAATCTTCAGCTACATCTTTGACGAGAGTCCTCAGCTGAGCAGAGCTTTCCATTCTGTATCACAGCTAGAACGATCGCCACACAAGCTAATGATATGAGTGATTGTATCAGGATTATTCTGGATCTGGATCATGACTGCAGAGCAAACGCATGCTGGCTGAGATTAACTCAGGCTGAGAGCAATTACAGTCCAAAACAGATTTGACATTCTCACTTCTTTTTTTCTGCTGATTTCTCAGCTTCCACTGAGAGAGAATGGATTCAATATGTGGATTACCAAAAGTCTGAATCCAAAACATCTCAGTATTACTAAAAATATCCAAATGAGCTTCTAGAGTGTTCCTTTCGCACATCTTATTTTAATGACATTTGTGAGAAAAGTGCATCACATGTATCCTGAGAGTGTGTTGTTCCGGTTTAGCAGACTGAGTCTCGTCAGCAGTCGGTCGCCAGGGCACATATCTGACTCATCCTTCTGCTTCATGGGAATTGACATGCTTTTCGAAAATAATTTGTTGGGAAAACGAATAGCAGCTTTGTAGTTGAAAGGGGAGCATCTGGTGCAATAAACATGTAAAACGCTTCCACCTGAGAATGATGCTTTTTAAAAGTAAACTAAGTGACGGATGCAAAAATGTCAAAATGAGATGAACAGTTCAGATAATCAGATAAATGACACTTATCAGAGTTCTAAAGGATGTTTCAAGTAAATATGACCAGCATTTATCTGAAAAGGTCATTTTAAATACCATATAGTCGATACTGCTAGTTTATTATATTTTTTTCAAGTTAATTTCTCTATTGATACATTCACTACTATTTAAAGGTTTGCTCACCAAATCTGCATTTATTTTGTCAAAAATATAGTAAAACATGTGAATATTATTACAATTAAAAAAAACTGTTTTATATTTTAATATTTTTTTCAGCATCATTACTCGAGTATTAAGTGGCACATGATCCTTCAGAAATCTTTCTAATATGCTTGATTTGCTGCTAAAGAAACATTTACTATAAATATTATAAAACTCTTGTTCTGCTTAATATTTTGTTGATGAACAGAAAGTCCAAAATAATTACATTTATTTGAATATATATATATATATATATATATATATATATATATATATATATATATATATATATATATTTGTAATGATGTAAATGTCTTTACTATACCTTGTAATCTATTTAATGTGTCCTTGTTGAATAAAGTATGAATTTCTTTTTCTTTTTTCTGTAACAAATATCATAAGTTGACATTTTCTAATAACAGACCACGTCCTATAATGGGGTTATTATATGGGATAAGCTGTCTGTCACACTGAAACCTGCCATTAAACAGCCTATTATTGTTTTTTTCAGCAATATTTAAAAATATCATTCTATTTGTTTTGACCTACAAATATTGTAATTAATAAACAAAAAACATTCAAACATTTAAAAGCAATAATACAACTTAAATAAAAATTTACAATGTAAAAATGTGACTACTTCCCCCAACCTGAGGATTTTTAACTAGGCCTTTTTGAAACTAACAAACAAAACTACTCATAGAGAACCCAAAAATGTGACTTTTTTTACTCTAAATCATAGTTTAGCCCTTGTGATTTGCCCCGGTCTGTCTCATATATATATACAGGCAGAGGTTGAAGCGGCAGCATATCCAGTGCATTTTCATCTTTAAATAAAAGTGATCTTCAATTTCAGTGTCAGTAATGTCACCCAGTCACATTATTCTGTTTGCAACACCCTGCTGAACTACTGTGCATGCGTGACACACTTTCCTGCTCGCTCATGTTTAAATCCCACTGGAGTAACTGCAACCACAAACTCATTTCCATAAGTTGTTTTAGATCTAACGATTTATTTGAAGGTTATGGAGGAAATTTACTTTAAATGAAACATAGTCGCTGGTCATTTATTTTCACAGAAAACGATGACGAATCACAGAACAGATAGCTTCTGGTTAAAGTATAGATTGCGGGTGGTTAGTGAATAAAATACACTGAAATATTACACAAAAGTGGTGTGACTGTTCAAGTTTAAACCTAACATGATGAATATCATATCTCTTCTGTGGCTTTACAATTTGCTTTTGTGCTACTATGTTTCTCTTCTGACACAGTCAAGATGATTTAATCTGCAAGAAGTGAATCTGGATTCTGGCAGTCCTTTACTGAACTCAAGTGGGTCAACTGGAAAGCATGAAACTTTGCAAATGTCATCATCTGATTAAGTGAGAACGTGTGGTTTCATGCTTGCGGTGAAAAGCAATTGTGCAACTGTTATCAGTCTGTAAGCCAACTTTCCATTTCTCACACTTGAGCATAAAGCATTGCTCTAAAAGTAATTAACGAGAATAAGAAATGCATTTCAAGGTCAAAAGCGCTCTGAGATTTTATTGCTTTGTTTAAACAGTTGTGCTCCACACAAAAAGCTGTGTTATTACTATCATAAACAATGAGGAAATTCTTTAAAAAATGATATTAGACTCTTTTTTTTTCTGATTACTCAATGTATTTATGCTAGTAGAAAAATATCTTCTGGATTATTGTCATTTTTTGCCTTGCACAGGTTGGGGAAAAAGGTTAGACTGAAAGAAAATACTGTTCTTTCTGCCAGTAAATTTTTCATCGCCACAAAAGCCTGTCACATAAATACGATACAATACCATCAAACCCCAGGAGGACAAAGAAAAGTGAAATAATAAAAAAAAAGACATTAAATGTTGCTGCATGAAATTGGTCAGGGATTGAATGGATTGAATTCTAATAGAGCACAACCACACACAACTTCCTCTCAGAGCTTTGATGGGATCTCTGTGTAATATGTCTTCAGTATCTGGAGATACCTCTTGATCCACGGATTGAAAACCAAGTTTTAGGGGCTTTTGGGGGCAGATATTGCATGAGCTTTACAAATCAATGCAAATTAAAAAAGTAGTACGAGAAGAAAAATGTTATTTTGTATAAATATAAACATTGCTGCACACAAAACAATTACGCTTATGTGCATTCTCAATACTAATGACAAAGACTGTAGAGTGGAAAACACATCAAGGACAGTCATCTTGTATCGTAATCCCTGTAGAAGACAGACTACACAGATGCATACAGTATATGGTACAATTGAACATTTCTGCAGCATATACTAAGATTGAGTTTGTGTGTATCTGTGCCTCTGGGGATGCAGCCATATGGACAGAGTGTTGCACTTTAATTAAGGTCATAAAGACATGCTCGCTGATCTACAAGATAAGTAACTGATAAATAGACTTTTGAATAGATAAGCTTAGGCTTATTTAAAATGAGATTAAAAACAGGGCTTGTAAACAATATCTTATATAAGTTTATTTATGGTGCATCGCTTTTCCAGCAATATCCAAACTATTTATCTTTGACATTGGTATTTACAACGTAAAAAAATCCTATTTTTGATCAGTATCTTTTCCAATTTACCTTAGAAATACAACTGCATAAGAGAAAGTATCTTGAATATTAGTGCATTTGTTATTTTTGTGTATTTTCTAACAGCAATTTTTTTATGCATCCAAAGTTTAAACTTTTCGGCTTTATAACAGTAAAAGTGCATTAGGAGACCAATGTTGAAAGTACTTATGAAGCACTTTTGCGTGCACATCTTAACATTTTTGAGGAAAACAATTAACATCTAGCAAAAAAAAACATATAGCTTTTTATTTGTCTGCAAGCCACCAGCTGTACATTGCACAGCAAGAAATTGAGTAGCTCTTGCCCCGATGAATCTTTTCGTGAAACCCCTTTAGGCGAAACACCTGAATCACCACAGAGAGCCTGTTTAGAATTATAGAAATAGCCCTGACCCACTTCTCTTCAAAACATTGTTATGTTCTCTTTTTAGCATATTTAAAAGACTAATTGTAATTTAATTTAAATCTGTATAAGAGTGTCCAGTACAAGAAGAACTGAAAGCTGAAGGTCTGAATGACCGAAGGTTAAGAGACTGAAGGTTGATGTAAAGTGAAGATCAATAAACCAATAGAAATTAAGCACTTTTAACACTAATGGCTGGCATGCTCTGCAAATGACATTTTCTGAATTACCTCAGATTTTTTAAAAATAAATAATAATAAATAAAAAAATCTGACTTTTTGCATTAAGAGGAGACTGTGGCTTTACACTTTTGAATATTTCTCAGGTATATGTTTATACTTTATAAACATACCGTACTAAAAACAACAACTATTGATTACTTGGTGAATATTGAATATTTTTATCGTTGGTGCCAAAGAAAAAAACATAGTTTGTCGAACTCATGTTGTCCCCCCCAATCTGACTTTAAACAGCCTATTTTAAGCTTTTTTTAAATTAAAGCAATTACAAAGCACAAAATGATTCATGAAACAGTTAGTGTAAAAGGTAGCCTATTTGTTATTCTTTTGATAGTAGCTGGCTTTGACATGGTTTCTATCTAGTCCAAGCTTGTCATTTGTCAGGTTGGTCTGTCCAAGCAGATTTCAATAATGGCTCAGCTGGCAGTCCAGCAGGTCTGAGATCAACCTGGTAGACCACCTTGTACCAATAACAAACCATCAATCATGTTCTTAAACCAGCTTGACCACCATAAGTTGACAAAATTTCATCAGTTTTAGAGCATAAAAGTTTTTTGTACCATTTTAATCGCATCAAATACATTTGATATGTCATGACTGTATTTATTTAATATATCTATATAATTTATTAATTTGGGTAACACTTTAGTTTAGGATCCAATTCTTACTACTATCGTTGCTTAAAGCATGCATTACTAGGATATTGGCTGTAATAAATCACACCTTGTTCTGCATTCTACATCCCTTAACCAACTTCCTTTCAAAATAACAGTAATTATGAGTGTATTGAGGCAAAAGTCGTAGTTAATAGTTAGTTAATACTGAGAATTGGACCATAATCTAAAGTGTGACCATAATTAGCATAAAACTGTAAATATAGGCTAACTAAATACGTGACAATTGACAAACATGTCCTGAGAACAGTAGTTCAACCTTTTAATTTAAATTTTCTATCATTATAGCTCTTGTCTGAAACATGCCAGCGTGATTTTAATGTTGTTTGCTAGAAACTGTAGCTAAATATGATAGTTTGGCGGACACAATTCACAGACATTTGTGAAGTCGGAAATGGTTTGAAACCAGCATACAAAACCACAACTAGAGAAAACTCGCATATGATGTGATTGGACTTTTCACTCTAAATCCCATATTTACTGAAATGCAGTCCTTTATGAAAACATTTTGACAGTTGAAACCCGCACACCTGAGGAGGACAAACTCATAACTACCGGTGCAGGTAGTTTACTTACCGAGTGCGCGTGCCAAACTAAGAGAAGAGCAAAACAGTTCACGATGCGGTTCATGTTTATTTCTTGCTGGTTTCATAAATGATATCTCGTTAGCATAAATTCCAGCCAGTCCTCAGTATCAAGAGCGAGAAGTCATGCTGGAGGACAGAAGAAAACACGCCACTTGCGCCAAGATATCCGGTGAAAACAATTCTGAGCGCGCAAAATTCGTGTGTAGAGTGCAGGATGGATGAGCGCGCGAGTGCGCGTGCTGAGGGGAGGCTGTTGTTGATTCTGTTCCTCCTCCTCTCTAGATCATCAGAAGCGCCACACATCTTACACTGCCAGCACTTGGACAGATATTTCACTGGCATTCATTTCAGACACTTTGAGTGTTTATCTGCTTTGAGGTCACTAAAATTTTGGGTGATTTTTCTGATTATGGGCTGGGCTAGTTGTTACACTTTCTACTCCAGAAAAAAAAAAAAATCAAAATATAGGTTTAGTTTTGAAAGTCAGTCTCTGTGTAGACACAAATCACTGGCCACAAAAAAAGTGATCGAACATTTCCACTGCCCAGGAAAAACTTTTGGGTCACTGAACAAATGTTGGGCTTTTGAGCCAACATGCCCCAATTTAAGTTGTCCCAATAGAACCAGCCTTTATTGGCTTCTCAGTAACTTTAAATAGTAATAAAATACTTCATGAAACGGAAAAATGTCAAAAGTACAAAATATCAAACCATTGTTTTAGTCAACAAACTATTTAAAACACCTTCACTGTAAAAAAAAAACATATATCATCAATAAGTTATGACAACATGTGTTTTTACATTGCTTTAACTCATCAAAATAAGTTAAGCATTTTTTTTAAATTACAAGTTATACTAGATTCAACTGTTTTTTTTTTTAAAGTCAGTTTAATGTAATTTAAATTGAAATGACTGAAACATTCAGGTTGATTATACTTACAAATTTAAGGTAGCAACTTTTTTTTTTACAGTGAACTTGCATCAACTTGAGATTTATGAAAAATAACATGTTCTATCATAAAGACAGGATTTATAATTATATTCTAATTTAAAACCAACATACAAAACCACTCATGGGGCAGGGCCTGATGCAGATGCAGCAGTTGCACCTCCCTAAGGATGACCCTGCTCTTACATTTGTGTAAGTGGACTTTTGACTAAACCATATAAACTTTAAGCTCAATGCTATGAAACTAAACAACATTTTTACATCTGGATGTGAAAAAACACAATTCATTAGATCTCTGGAGAGAAGAACATTCGGGTAACAAGCATGAAAATGAGTGTGAAAATAAGATGTAAGTGTGAAGTCTCTCTTGGATTCTAACAGGCAGTGGAAGATGCAATGTATCTTTTCACTTCTTTAATTATTATTATAACTCCAAAGACTTGGCTGATTAGTTTACCATTAACTTAATCTAAAATAAAAATATCTTCCTACTGCCTCCTTAAAGAGGAAGTCTTGTGGGCGAATAAACTGCTTATTAAGACTCTTTTATCTATAATGTCAAACCACAAGATGTAGGTCATAGATGTGATCAAATAGATAGAGTGACCAACAAAAAATCCTTTCTATAAGTTCAAGTGTAGTGTTGGGTCACGTATAGAGGAGAAACATTGCACCTTTTTGTGCATATAGTTTTACTGTTTTTTCAACTATGAATTCAATGTTCACACTGCAATTCTTTGTTTCACACTTTATAATTGGATGCATTAGATACATTTTATGAGTAATCATTGATAAAACTGTCCAATACAGAAGTCAGTTGAGCTGAACAGCAGCTTAATAAATAATAACTTTCTCAGCACTAAAGTGCCGTTCAAGGAAATCACTTCATTAAGCATTGTGCTCGTTCTTTGTGAACATCATGTGATGGAGTTTGGAGACAGATGTGGAAATAAGTCAATCAGAGGGCAGCCATTGACTTGCCATTGCCTGAGCTGATGGTAAGAAGAGTGTATCAAACAGAAATATACGAAAAAGAGCTGCGGCGAGGTATTTTAAAGTACCTCAAGCATACCTTTACTTGAGGATAATGTTAAAAAAACAAACAGATAGTGTGAGAATTTGCTCATTAATGTTGCATGGCTGGGATTTGACATGACAGTGACCTCTTCTGGTTGTCCTAAGGCTATAGTGTGATACATTATAAATCAAAATGTTATGTTTGAGAAAGCATTTCAAACGCAGTGCAAACCAGGCACTAGGCAGACAGATAAAAACACAATTTAATTAGTATATTTCGAGATCTGTCAAACTACGCAGGATTGCATGCGGCTTGAATAAATGCATTTCCCTAAAATATGAGTAGCAAGTTTTATTTTTGCAGTAAGCTGGATGTGGAAAGATGAACAAAAGACATTACTCTCTCGCAAATCCAGACCATCTGCACTGGAACATTTCACAAAGGAAAATACTGGATATTCAATCATCATTTATGGCTTTTGATACTGGACTATGCTTTTACGTTCCCCAAAAAAATGCACTTTGCGTCAGATGCGTATATTAAAATAAAACCCAGGCGGGATTTCTCCTTCTATGGAGATTCAATGGTTTATCATTTCCCCAAAAAAGTCTGAAAGGGAAAAATGAGTCTAGATTAATGCCTGAAAGTTCCTACAGATAGTGGACTGATCCAGGACATGTTATTATGAAGGGATTCAGTTCAGACAGGAATCTGTAATCTGATATTAGACTGGTAGTCTCACATATTTCATGGATTGAGGGGGGAAAAATTCATATTTTGTTATTGTTATGTTTTAAAGCTTTTGCTGAGAAAAAAAAAATCTATTACAATCCGCCTAGCAACAAGACGAACACTGCTCACTTTTAAAAAACAAAGGTTCCTCATTGGCATCAATGGTTCCATGAAGAAACTTTAACATTCAATCCACAAAAACTTCTTTAAAGCGGATTAAAATGATCTTCACACTAAGAAAAAAAGGTTATTTTAAGAACTGTTCACTGAAAAATGGTTAGTATATGGCATCGCTGTGAAAACCTTCTTTTGGAACCTTTATTTTTTAAGAGTATACCATATTACAGAAATATTAATATTGAAAGGAATATGTCTGACTGCTGGTAACTTATGCATTATGCTTAAGCATCAACAATAAATACGAGTCTTTACATAAGAAAATATGATTTATGTAGTGATGTATACACATGGAACAAAATTATTTAGTGTCTTCTGAGTGTTCTCATTCCTGGTAAATTCTGTCTTTTAAAAAGGACATATAAGCAGCGTAATAGAAATAATGACAAACATTTTGTCAACCGTTGAGATGTGTTTAGACTTTTTAATTTTTTGTTGTGATATTAAAGTGAGGGAAAATGTAACCACACACAGATCCAAATAAATTTGGTCAAGCAAATGGTAAAACAACGGAATACTTTCCATTTCTAGGAAATTACCTGACTATGAGCACATAGTGACACAGCTTTTAGAGGGACATGGCTAATAAAAGTTCAGACTATACAAACACTGCGCATGTAACATACTATTTTAAGTAGCTACCAAAACTCAAGTTGTTCTATTCATGTTAAGCAATGTATAGTGCTTGACAGATGCACATTGACAATAAAAACCTAAAGGGAAAAGAAATTGGAAAAAGACTTTCACTAACAACTTTAAACCGACATGGGACAGGAGACATGAAGCAGTAGTAGGCTATATTCATCTTTTTTATGGGTTGCAGACATTTTAGTGTCAGTCTATGTGTGTTAATTTAGCACCATCTGCTGGAGCTTCTTCTTAAAGGGATAGTTCACCACAAAATAAAAAAATTTCAAAACTCCCTCTAGTTGTCCTAAACCGGTATGACTTTATTGAACTATCCCTTTAAGGGCAATGAGAATTATTTTGGGGAAATCTGTTCATCCTATTTACTCCAGTACAAAGAAATAGCTCTTATAATATATTTAGAGCTGCAATTGATGTCTTATTAGTTTTATTAGCATTACTTTTTAATTAACGTTATTAACATTACATTAGAAAGTGAGGATAATACATATTTATGCATACAGTACCCTTCAATGTGAAGGTTTTGAAGTAAAACTTATTTTAATTATGAACTTATTTCTAATATTAAAAAAGTAATATTGACAAATTTAGCAAAATTATTAGTATTCATTATATTCTATTATTCTAGTCTATAGTCGTTAGACTTGGAAAAAAATGATCACACAAACTATATTTTTCTTTAATATATAATATACTACGACAAACCAATATTTGTTCCCATAGCCAGCCCTGATATTCTGCAGGCTAAATTTGCAACCATGTTACTTGCAACCTTTTATTTTGTTTTTATTTAATGTATCTTTTAATTTTTTTTTTTTAATTCAACCTAATTTAGTTTGTTGCCATGCAGAAAACATACAAAGGGTTTGTATTCAGACATATTCCATACTAACAGTAACAAACAATATAAACTGAATTGAATAATGAAACAGCTAATTTAATATTTGATGTTCCAGCAAAGTCTCAAAACATATAATATTGCAGAATCATAATAATAAATGCATGCATTTTTTTTGATGATGTGCTCATCGTATCTAAAAGAGGTCAGATGAATCATTACCAACTATAAAAGTTAAGAAAAGTTAAGTTTTACTTGGAATTTACATTTATGACTACATAAACTAGTAAAATAAGGCCTGGTTTCACACACAGGGCTTAGACTAAACCAGGATTAGGTCTTAGTTTTAATTAGGACATTTAAGTAGCTTTTAAAAACGTGCCTTAGGAAAAAAAAACATTACTGGTGGTGTGCATCTTGAGACAAAACAATGCGCTGACATATTTTAAGATATATCAGTGCAAGTTGCTTTCAGTTAAAACAGCTCAAACATGCATTTAGACTGGGACTAGGCTTAAGCCTTGTCTGTGAAACCGGGGGAAAATGTAGTAGTAAAGTGAAAAAAGCTTGAAGGTGAGACGTGCAAAGTAAAGCGCGCAACTCCTGCGTCCTGCCACTAGAGTCCTCCCACAGCCTGTACTGTGAGTCTATTTACCCCCTCCGAGCTCTCAACTGTGGCCGGGCTCCTCCAACCAACCACAATTCTGACATTTAACTCCGGAAACACAAATGTAACCAGCGCTGCGTTACATCCTAAAGTGCGACTGAACGGCGAGGCGTTTGATCAGCTGTCGGACAGCGGTAAGTAAGCGCATAAACCGGATCGATTTCATGACATTCACGGCAAAGAAGAACAAAAAAATCCACTCCCAACTGGTTGGTTTTGTCTAGAAACGAGGGAGGGATATCAACATGGCGTCCATGTAGCTCACCAACCAACCAACAAGAATGTCTAGGCACCGATGAAGGTTTTCCCTCCATTTGCAATTTGATTCGGTTATTAATCGTGATCCCTTGCGGTTTGATTATATGAAGCGCGTGACAAAAACAGCTCGCGCGTTTACGATGTCCTAACGTTTGTAGTTTTGCGACTCTTAGACATATGAGTATGTTGTTTCTTTTAGGCACTGTGACCGAAAAGCGGGATTTGCGCTGGATTTGATTGATCATAAATGAGACAGGCAGCTGTTAAAGTCATCATGGTTTTTGAAATTACATTATTTTGGTCGCTTCGTTAATATAAACGTGTTCTTAATGCTTTTGCGCCATACATTCCAGCACTCGGGCTGTGGATCACATGAGCTGCTGTTGATACTGTAGCCATCTGTGGGCGGGTTAAAAAAACACTGGCAATATTTGTAGACTGTAATAGTGTGATAAAAGTTAAGATTGCTACAAAACATAAGGTTGTTGTGGTAATTATTCGATCAGGAAGCGATCGGTTCTCATCCTTTCTGCAAATGTATTGCGCAATAAAGCGACAGGTCTCGCTGGTGACATCAAAGCAGCACTCTGCACTCCGTGAATTTTGCCAACTAATTTTTTTTACACATAAACAAATTAATACAATTAAAATACGCATGATTAAGAATGTAGATGTATATCAGTCTTCCACAAATGTTATCAAGGGATTTTAACATCTAGTCCTAGTAAGCATACTTATTCTAAATGGAGCGGGTCGCCACTTGTGCTGCTATGTTGACGTCACGTGACCAGCCATGCAAATGGCCATGTTGCTAGTAGTGATGATGATAATTTCTGAATTCGGAACCGCATACTACTTAGTATTTCTGCCATAGAAAGATACTGTATGGTAAGAGTAATGCACTAGTATGCGGTTCCGAATTTAGCAAATGGGTAAATTCCAATCAGAATGAGCATCCTTATGCCCTACTCACTCAGAAGGGCAGAGCCCTTGAATTGGGGACTTTGGAGGGAGCAGAGCACTTGTGTGTAATAATGATGCCGTTTGGAACGCACTTGGCAAAAGGGAGCAAAGTAAGACCACGTAATTTCCTCATTAGCTTCACATGGAATCTTACCGCACAACAACAACAGGAATATCCTATGTACATTTATAATGAAGTTTTTAAAATATGCTTATATGTGTGTGTTCCCGATCTGCTCTTAACTTTATAAGTTATTAGCATTAAAAACATTTCTTACCTATGAAACGTTTTTTTTAACTAAATATGAAATGCAGTACATGACAAAAATGTGTCTATATAACAAAAATAACAAAACAACTTGAATTATTGTTTATACGTTAACTCTAACGCTTCCGCCATACCTAAATCTAAATGAATTGTGAGGATTTGCCACCCTGGGTCACATGACAATAAACAATTAAATCACTTAATTGAAGTGACCATTGCATGCTCCCTTCGCTAACAGACTTGTGGAAGGGCCCTTCGCGAAGGGATTCAGTTGTTCACTTTCGTTTGGAACGCCCCTACAAATGGCGTCTCCTTCCCAAAGTGCCCTTCAAGGATGCAAAAATGCCAGTTGGAATTCACCCAATGTTTTACCTACATATAACAGTTTCAGGCATGACCAAGGTGCTTTACAAAGTATAATGTTAGACAGGTGTGTTGTGACCAGCAGTATTAGTATTAAAAACTTTAGGCTTCCAGGCCAATAGGAGTCAGTATAACCGCAACAAAAATCACCAGACATGAGCAAACTGAGTGCACTTTTAAATGTTGTAAAATGCAAATGACTAAAAGTTTTTCTTTTACCCCCACATGAATAATGTCATGTTGTTGCATATCATTCTACGTCTGTTCTTTCCAGACATTATTGTTTATTGAAATGGAAGCTACATTTGTCAGCTAAGGCTTTACAACGTTGTTAGATTAATGCCTTGTACCTCGAAAACTGTTATTTCCGTAATTTAATTAATGAGTGTGTCTTGTTGTTCTTATTGCTGGAAACTCATTAGAACGCACTTTCATTAATAAATTGCAGCGTACAGAAGCAGTTTCAGAACCATCTGGCAGTTGATTGGAGAAGTTGTAACTTACAGTATGCACAACAGCATTAAATGTGACAGTTTTTATCTGTTCTTCATGCCACATGGAGACCTAAAATACTGCGGGCACTTTGCAGAGTGAATACTGTTGAGGGTTTTTATAAAACTGGTTTTGCACTCTACATGTCATTTTGACTGTAAATCTCTTCTGCGATGGTGATGGGAAGGACTATATTTAGTTTTTCTTGTTGTTGTCGTCTTTGATATCCTTTGACATTAACAGCACTGTTCTGAGGAGTTTTATAAGAAAGCTTAATGTTTAACCTCGTGTGGTTAGTTGCAAGAGCTCTTAATAAAGAGAACATAGCGTTTAGAGTCCATTTAGATGGAGACTTAATGAAGAAGTTATGTTTATTTTGGTGCCATTTTTCTGAGAAGATCTATAGTTTGTCCACAACGATAAAAAGAGTAATCATTCATGAGATGCACCGTTTAGAGAAATGGTAATGCTCTCTCTGACAAGACTAACAAATATTTACATTTTGCTTGTATGCAAGCACCTAAGCTCTTAAGCCTGTACTTTGTTTATTGTGGGAAGCGTGAGTTTTTGTTCAAGGGTTTTGGTATTCGTCCTAGGTTGGAACTGGCCACAATGTCAAGGGTGGTGAAGAAGAGGCAAGCGGACCCTAAGGTGGTTCAGTATGTCTGGTCGGCCATTGAAGTCATCCGCAATCAGAAACAAATCGCAAACATGGACAGAATCTCAAAGTAATTGCTTTAACTCGAATCCCTTTAATAACACTATCGCATTTTAAAGGGATAGTTCACCCAAACATGAAAATTCTGTCCTCATTTACTCAGCCTCAAGTTGTTCCAAACCTGTATGAGTTTCTTTCTTCTGCTGAACACAAAAGAAGATATTTTGAAGAATGTTTGTAACCAAACAGTTGTAGGACACCATTGACATCCATAGTATGGGGAAAAAATACTATAAAAGTCAATGGTGCCCCACAACTGTTCTTCAAAATGCAAAGAACAAAGAAATTTATACAGGTTTGGAACAACTTTAGGGTGAGTAAATTAGGGGTGTAACGGTTCTCGGTAAAAAATTAAACCATACCGTTCTCCACCCACGATTCAGCAAGCACTTGCACCGCGGTTCATCTCAAATCTGACGACGCATATATAATATGGTTTGTTGAAAATAATGTGTCAGACAGACAGAGTTCGGCTAATGTATGTTTCTGTCGATGGATACACATTATGGCTTCCCAATACTTTACAACAGCGATGATTTAAAAAAAAAAAGAGCAGCGTGGACAAAACAGTCACTCTTTGTAAACTTTGTTCAATGCGAGTGCTGTATGCCCTAATATGACCAGTAAATTTAAACATTCAAGCGCAAGAAGACGCGAAAGTACGCACTCATCTGAACCTTGCATGTAGCCTGGGAAAACCCAGACAACTTCCGGCAAATTTAGATTTGCTCTGAAAGTTAGTCTGGCAAAGAGCTCATTCAAGCCCATTTCCAATCCGCCCAAATCGAGGCACCAATCAGAAACGTTGGGGCGGGCTTTACACGATGACGACGGCGCTGGGATTTTGAAGCAGATTTTGTAGCCTACATTACAAAGATGGATGCCGCCGTCGAACATCACTCGTTCGAATCAGCTATCGCGTCTGTTTTAAGCGATTTGAACGTTTCCTTTTTGTTAAAAACCGAGCAAAGAACAACACTCGGAGATGTTTCTGTAATATGTTTCTCCACCGTTCTGCATACATTATCTCCTTCATCGCTCTGATTGGTTTTTAGGTCTATCCGCGACCACCGTTGGTGACGCCCCTCTGGAAATGATTTGTCTATGACGCTTTGCCAGACCATAACTCAGTTACAACTGAGAATGGTCTGGGTTTAACCAGGCTACCTTGCATGTGGAAAGCTGCGCACAAATATTGAGTTTTCTTTCAAGTCTTGTGTTTGAACGGACAAATTCACACAAAAATGATGTCAACGTGCCCGTCTTGTCGAGTATCCTATTCCTAGCAAATAAAGTCGGTTATGTCTTAAGTGAACGTAAACAGTCGAGAAAGACAACGCATGTGTTCAGTATTAGTGTATTGGATCAGTGCTTTGTCTTAAAGTGACAGCAGCTTAACATTCCTGCTGTCTGTTTTCAAAGTTAATCAAACAACAAAAGACAAGGAAATTACTCACTGCTCTTGACTGAATAACTTTTGTAACTTTAATAAGGATTAATCTTTAATTTATACAGTGAAATATGCTATTTTATTTGACATTTGATTACTTTATTCAATTTCGGTACCTGAAAACTTCTGTTAGACCTACCTGAAAAGCCTCAAAAAAAGCACTGTTTATTTTAGTTGTATCTTTGGTCTATTGTATTTATTTGTGCTGTTGCTTGTAGTTTGATTATTTGTTCTTATTTTCTTTATTGTTATTTGACAGTAGTCCTTTTTCCCCTGAACATAGCACATACCGAACCGTACTGAAACCGTGACCCTAAAACCGTGATACATAAACCGAACCGTGAGTAATTTGAACCGTTACACTCCTAGAGTAAATGATGACAGAATTATCATTTTTGGGTGACCTATACCTTTAATGTATTCATTTAAAATATCTTAAGAGATGGCCTTGTTTTCATGCAGATATTTAAGTCGTGTGTATGGGATGCACCCTAAAGAAACGGCTAGGCAGCTGGTTCTGGCCGTGAAAGACGGTCTGGTGGTGGAGACGCTCACCGTGGGCTGTAAAGGCTCCAAAGCCGGGATCGAACAAGAGGGATACTGGCTCCCAGGAGACGAGATGGTGAGACATATACCAGAGCATGTCTATTTTAAAACAACATACTTTTATCTACATGCCTCTTACATAAAAATGCGAAAGGTAAACATGGCTTGGTTTTACTACACATTAATCAAATGAAATGAAGAGCTCAAAATGTAGATATGCTGCTGGCTCCAACACAGTCATGAACCTCTGATGTCCATCAGCAAATATTTGATTAGTTGCTTCGCTTATATGGACCAAAAAATCAGTTGATAAAGTTTATGACTTTAATGTTCAACAGTGAGTTTTCAGCTGTAAACTCCCTCCATATGCACTAGTAATGGTAGATGCAGATGTTTCAGTGCCTTCACCAGCACATAGAGACATTCCTCTGCTGTGTGAGAGAGCATGTTTGAAGGAAGCACTGTTTGTTTTTTGGGGAATGGCTTACAGCTTGGAATATATGCATTCGTCCCAGTCTATCAGCCATATGTTTCTTCGTTTAAAAAAATCGCCAAGTCTTTGCTTTTTTTGCATGAAAGACCTTCCTACATGTACACTACTGTTCAAAAGTTTGGGTCAGTAATTTTTTTAAATAAAGAAATAATTTTTTAATTGAGCAAGGATGAATTCCATTTGATCCAATGTGACAGTTAAGACATTTACATTGTTGCAACATTTTTTCCCCAATAAATGCAGTTCTTTTGAACTTTTTATACATCAAAGAACCCAGAAGACATGTTATATTAACATGTGAAATATTAAGCAGCACAACTGTTTTAAGATTGATCATAATAAGAAATGTTTCTTTGAGCACCAGATCAGCATATTAGAATGATTTCTGAAGGATCATGTGACGATGAAGCCTGGAGTAATGATGCTGAAAAAAATTATTAGCATCTTGTTATTTGAAATTGTAGTAATATTTCACATTATTACTATTTTTACTGTATTTTTGACCAAATAAATTAAATAGCGGCTTTAAAAAACATAATTTTGCTGACCCCAAAGTTTTGAATTTTAGTGAATGTAAAAACAGCATATTAATGAATATGATAGCAGTGTAGATTAATGTTCATGTTGTAACTGCTGAATTCCGGTACTTCTCACACCAAACACCCACCTGCGAGTCCCTAACACGGAGCGCCTGTGGTTAGTTGCAGCCAATCCCAGCTCTCAGATTAGGATTTTAAACAATGTTTTTTGGATCACTTGCAATCGCAGGAGCAGATGTCAGAAGGAAGCAAGGTATGTTCACGTCCAGTTGCTGTGATTTCTTTAATTAACAACATAATCTGCCCTTTAGTTAATAGTATGTGTAACCTGCGCATGGGACAGCAGCTGAACTGAAAGAAGCAGACTTTTACCTCCAAATCTGAAATTTTCCATAATCTAAATCGTTCTATTTAAGTATCAATCTAAATATTATGATAATACACTTTTTATTTTATACTGGTATCTGTGGCTATACTGACATCAGCAAGCTTTGTCACTTCAGTGCTGTTCTGTGTGAGGTTTTGTGCGCTTTGTTTTGCCACTGAATGCTCATTTTTAGTGATTTCTCTCTTCTCTAGCCCTCTTTGCCTACTGATGCTCTTTTTCAAGATGTGCGTATGCTTCACATATTAATCTTACATGTTTTACAAATCAAGATTTTGTTTTTGCAAGATTTGTATGTCAATGTTAAGACCAGTTCAATGTCAGAACCAGTTAGACCTGTGTTTGCTGAGCTGTTTACTAGGGCTAAGACCAGTGTCAGAAGTTAGCTTTTCCATTTAAGGATGGAAATCTATTACCTGTAAAATTAAATCAACTCATATTTTTGAAATATTATGCTATTATTTATTAAGGTGATTTTTTTATTTTTTGTCACTGTCTTTGGCATTTTTGCTTTAAACCCCTGTTAACATCTTACACTGGTTTAGCCCCATTTTAAAGGTAAGAATAAAAGCGATTTGTAGACAGTACCAGCATTTTCCGAAGTAAAACCTTTGCCAAATCCTAGAGATTTTGTACTGTAACCAGATCAGTGAAAATGGTGGATTGTCTCTGGTGTGTGTTGGTGTGTTTTGAGAAATGTACTATAGATGGCTGATATTTTTAGAGGATAGTGTTAACACATGGTGGATGTGATCGTGGCATGTGAAAATGTGATTGCACACCGTTTCATTCAAAGAATATTTTGTCATATTTGAGGTTTGATTTAAATGGCCATTTGACTGAAAGTATATAGTGGTATTTTTCTTTGTTTTAAATCTGTAGCTTTCTTAGTCTTTGAAAGTGTTTAATCATTGTAGAACAGGCTTTCTTTACTACTACACGTATTGTTCAGAAGCATTGTAAAAACATGAAAAAATGGCCATTTAAATGGATCCAAAAAGCAAAAATGTAACATGCTTGTGTTTCTCTCATAATATAAACATATACACCTACAATCTTTTGATTGATTGTTTCTTTATTATAACTAATGAGTGGGTTTTTATACTTTTGCTCTCTGTCCTTTACTAATAATCTTATAAGAACAGCTCTCATACTCTTGCGTTTTCTCAGCTTCAAACTTGATTAGTATATACACACAGTATACATACTTGTATATAATGAATGTGAAAGTAATGTTTCTAGTGATTTTACCTAAACTACATATTTATTACTACTACTATTTGCCTCTCAAGGCTCTGGTCACTAATTTGACAGAAACCCCAGAGTCTATCTCTTAAAAGCATTTCAAAGTAAGAGGGCTGATCTTAAATCTATTTCCCAAGATTGTATTTGCAGGTTATTTGCAGGAGAAGCTTTCCTGGATCAGTGGTGTTGTTCCCGGGAGCTTGGTGGTGGCCCAGGTGGGCGGGGATGTGCATTACTATACTTGTGTGTGTTTCAGGACTGGGAAGCAGAAAGTCACGACTGGTACTGCTTTGAGTGTCACCTTCCCGGAGACGTGATGGAGTGTGACGGCTGTTTCCGTGTCTACCACCTCCGTTGTTTGTCTGAAGACCACCGGCCACGGGACTCAACCTCCCACTGGCAGTGCGGCATCTGCAGGGTGGGTACAGAACAGATGTGCCCAAACCTTTTACAACAAAAGAACAAAAATCGAACTTGATTGAGGTCCGCGAAAATTAAGCTACTCTTAAGTTTAGAGAAATTAAAACAATTATGCTAATATGTTATCTAGACTTGTTCACAGTATTTTGAAGTGCCCACAGTAACAATATTGTGCATATTTAATGCCGTAATAAACAGTATTACCAAATACCGGCACACATCTACTTCAATGGCTTGTTTTTTTTTCTAGGATATATTTTTCCCCTCATGGCATGGCGGCCCAAATCAAAGGCCATCATGGACCAACTTTGGCCTGCTGGCCCTGGTTTGGGCATTTCTAGTATAGAGAGACCATTAGAAAACGGCTTGTTGAGATTGTAAATTGGTGTATTGATGCTGAGAAATCTGACCTGGAGTATTAATGCTGAAAAATCAGCTTTGCAATCACAGGAATAAATTACATTTTAAAATGCACTTAAAATTGTAATAGTATTCCAGAATATTACTGTATTATTGATCAAACGAATGCAGCCTCGGAGAGAGAAATCTTACTGCCTCTTAACTTTTTTTAGAGTAAATTCAAGAATTTGAAATGCATGTTTTTGATTTGGTTTTGTGACTGTTAAACCCCAAATGCAAAAAGTAAGTTAACATAAATAATGATGTGGTTATTGAGTCATTAGTTTCTTATGGTGATGTTTACTAACAGGGCAGTAAAAGGAAGAATTTGAACAAACAGGAAATGATGACATACCTGAAGTTCATTCTTGGACGCATGAAGGAAAGGGTGCGTTTCACATTTTAGCTTCATACTTTTTCCACACTAAATCATGTAGAAATGAAGCTTTTTTTCTCCACATGCATTTTTCTATTGAGATGTGAAGCAGATTTCTTCTTTCAGGCTGTGGACCTGCACAAGAAAGGAAAGGAGACAAAGCAACCTGTGTACAGAAGACTGATCCACACACCTCTGGATGTGGAGAACATACAAGAGGTACACCAGTAGAAACATTAAAAAGACCATGTTCCATCAGCCTCGGCACGTTCTCATGTGTCCTCTGTTCCCCTACAGAACATCTCAGAGGGGAAGTACAAGAGCTTTGAGGAGTTCAGGGCCGACGCTCAGCTTATAGTTCACAACACAGCCATTCTGCACGGAGGTGAGTTCTTCTGTACCGCAATCATCGGTGTGATTTATGGCACGACTCTAGTGTCAACTTAACCGATTCCACATTCTCTGTCAATAGTCAACAGCGATCAGACGGAAATTGCAAGACTTCTTTACAACGACACATGCCATGAGGTCAGACTGAGCAAACAGTTGGAATTTTAAGCTCATTTAATGCACTTGACAAACACGGTTAAGCTTTTCTGTTTAGGTTTTTCACAACATTCTAATGCTAATGTGTAAATGATTTCGTGCCCTTTATGAACAATGAATTATGCAATTATTTGTTCCAGCTGAACGAGTTAATGTTGTGCAGACACTGCTTCTATCTCTCGAATGCACGACCCGACAACTGGTTCTGTTTCCCTTGTGTAAGCACAGACACACACTCATTCCTGGAGATTTCTGTGTGATTTCTGAGTGTATAAAACCATGTTTGTCTGTGATCAGAGTCCGAATCATGAGCTGGTGTGGGCCAGGATGAAGGGCTTTGGTTACTGGCCTGCTAAGGTGATGAAGAGGGAGGGCAACCAGGTGGACGTTCGGTTCTTCGGTCACCAGCATCAAAGGTGAGCCTCAGGTTATAATATGTTCATGAACAATATTTGATTTAAATGGAGAGTCATGAGACTTCAGAAGTTTATTCTATACTAAATGAGATAATTGACTCTTTATTGATTGATTACAGCTGGGTGATATACCAAATATTCACAACATATTTACAGTGATTTTGCTGGCAGTGATCTTGCTATAAAATAAATCAACATTGGGAAAATTATGATTTTAGCCTCGGGTTTCAAAGACAAGGCTTATGCCTAGTCCCAGACTAAAATGCATGTTTAACTGAAAGCAACTGATCCTAAAATATGTCAGTGCCATTGGTTTATCTCGAAATGCACATCAGTAGTTTTTTAAGGCACGTTTATAAAAGCTACTTGAATGTCCTAATTGAACTAAGGCCTAATCCTGGCCTAGTCTAAGCCCTGAGTGTGAAACCAGGCCTTAAAGGTCCCATATTGTACACCTTTCTGAAGTTTTATTTTAGGTTTTGATGTCCTTAAGAATATATATTTGCGGTATGAGTACCAAAAACCATCCCAATATATTTTTGCAGCTCCTTTCTCAGGAGCTCTGCTAAGAACAGGTGGATTTTGGCCTTTCTAATTAATATTCATGAGCCTCTCTTCTGATTGGCCTGTTGTTTCTGTAGCCTGCTGTGGCTTGGTGATGCTCACAAGTAAGGTAAATAAAACACCTGTAATGGTGGACATTGCTGAGTGAAATGTTATCCGGCCTTATATGTACGTTAATAGCTATTTATACACTGATTTTGAAACACTTGCTTTATAATAATAATTCATCACATTTATATAGCGCTTTTCTGGACACTCAAAGCGCTTCACATATACATATGTTATAATGTAACATTAGCAGACAGACAGCAGTAAGCTATGTAACTATTGCTTTCCTACTGATTGCTTACAGTAAGTTGATGTGCTACAATTTCTTTTACAATGTTACTTTTACTGTAAAAGGTGTACTTGTGGTAAATGTGCAAAGATGCCCACAGAACGCGAGGACATATGCTGCAATTGACGCCCAAGGAAAACTTGTAAAACTATGAACTGTAGGAACTGCAGCATCTTTGAGGAGTATTGCTTTGAGAAATTGCTGTGGTGTTTCTGAATAAATAAACATTAGCCACTGTTCTCTTATATTAATGTTGTTCGGAAGCCTGTGCAATGATGTAGTTTCCTGACGGTGGGCAGTGCTCGGGGTGGTGACTGAAGGCGGTGACGGAGTAGTTCTGACATCACATTTATACGGAAGTCACAACGGCTCGTGAAAAGGCACAGCTACTTTATGCAGGCTGTGTGCATTTGTCTGTGGATTGACTGTTTTTAAACTTATATTGTAGTTTCATAGCCCCTAAATCTCTGTTATCATAAAAAAACAGGAAATTTCAGGTTTGACAATATGGGACCTTTAATGTGTTAAATGTATTTTTTTTATTCATTTATTTTTACCATTTAAGTTTACTAAAATAGACTAGTTTTGCTATCCTCCCTTGTCTTGTGGGATGTTTTAATAGCACTGGTAAGTGAAAGAGTTCAAATTGTCCATTTCATTAAATCGATTCAAAATATGTAGGTAAATATTGATATTACTTTGGTTCATATAAACAAAATTCTGTTCATACAATGTGGGAAACAATTTGATTTCTTTTTTATGTTTAATGCAAGTTGTAATTTATAAATGATAAATATTTTAACCTTTTATACATGTATGATAATTTTATAATATTTATTTAGTAATTCTACTTTGATTCTACATACATTTGGAGATTTAATGCTTAACTAAATGTATGATTTTAAGTTATAACATTAGGTGCAATTATTTGCAAATTAATCTGTGATTGTGTTTGTTTGTTTTTCACAGCCCAAAAATATAAATGGGTTTTGTGTGTGTGTGTGTGTGTAAATATACATATATATATATATATATATATATATATATATATATATATATATATATACATACACACACACAAAAAAAAAAAAACAACATTTATGTAAAATTTAAAAAACTACCCAATCGCAAAGATTAATTAGCAAATAATACATATACAGTATATATATATATATAAGTGTATACCTGGTGTAAATCTGTATGTGGAGAAACTAGCTTGTGAAACTAGCAGGCTCGTGTCTGTCTTGCTGCAGGGCATGGATTCCTTCTGACAACATCCAGGAGATCACAGTCAGTGTGCAGCAGCTGCAGGTGAAGCGCAGCTCGGGCTGGAAAAAGGCATGTGATGAGCTGGAGCTCCACCAGCGCTTCGTGAGGGAGGGCCGTACCTGGAAGGGGAAGCCAGAAGAGAAGCATGACAGGTCGGAGAGGCACGAAAGACAAGAAGACAGACAGGAAGAGGCGGAGTCAAGCATCTCTTCCACATCCAACGAGCAGGTTAGCACTTTGGTGGCACAGAAATGTCAAATTTCCCCTTTAAATAATCAAGATTAGCTTTGCTTTATTTGGCATCTTGTTCCGATCTTTACGACAGTCAAAAGGCAACCAAGAGCCCAAAGCTAAAAAGAGCCGCCGTTCCCAAGTCGCAGAGCCCAAAGAAGAGGTTTGTAGTGCATCATGTTTATTGAGTAGATGTGGCATTGAGTTCATGTTATCCTTTACCATCTCCTTGCTGTTATATCAGGAGCCAGAGCCGGAGATGGAAGCCGTCAGCTCCAGCCAAGAGATCCCAACAGCTGTTCCACATCAGCCGGAGCGTATGTCCGTCTACACCCAGACCAAGAAGTCTGCCTCGCCTTCTTCCTCTTCCTCACCGGCCCCCCGCATGGTACACCGAGGCACACAGACGCTCAACGAGGGCAACTGCCAAAACATGTGCCATGACAAATACACCAAGATCTTCAGCGATGTTAAAGAAATGATGAAAGCGGAGAACAAGCGGGAGACCGAACGCGTCCTGAAAGAGGCCCTGGACAAGGTGAGGAACGTTCTTTCATTTCGGACTTACATTTGGCTCCCTCTTGTGGCCAGATTTAAAGATACCCCTTTTCCTCCAAGAAAGCCACACTGTTGGCGGAAAGGGGGGAAAAATCGCAGCAAACTCAGCAATGTGGTCGTCCTTACAGTTGCGAGGGGAGATGGAAGAAGAGAAACGGCAGGCGGTGAACAAAGCAGTGTCCAGCACGCAGGCTGAGGTGGAGAGAAAGTGCAAACAGGTGAAGGAGAAGTGCAAAGAGGAGCTCATGGAGGAGATGAAGAAGATGGTAGCTCAGCATAAACAACTTCTTTCCCAGACCAAGAAGAAGCAGTGGGTGAGTGAACCTTCAGAACATCTTTAGGTTGGATACAAACTGATAAAACCACCAGAAAGTCAACAATGCAATAATGCTTTCGAGTCTGCTTTCACCCGAAAGAGATACATTAAAAATGAAATGATGAGTTTGATATTCTTGACACATTTTCAAAGTTTGGGTCCCTTATTAAAAACCATGCATTTTTTTTATCTAAGTATTTTAAAAGATATAACCATAAAAAAAAAAAAAAAGTACACCTTTTGCAACTGGGCCAATTTTGACTCTGGTATCAACTAACGCCCGTTTCACACATACTCCGTGTGCAGTGCGTATGCGGTACAGGAGCAGCACGCGCTATAGTGCTTTCACATATGCTGCGTGCGTTTGCAGTGCGCAACTGATCCGCGGCTGTACCACAAACACATTTACTCACTATTTGTATTTCAAAAAATCATCAATCAAATCAAGTTATCAGCAGCAAAAGTTTTTGCCTCCAGTGCAATTCTCTTTGTAGGCCTATTCACGTTTAAAACACAATTTAAACAACGTATTATTCAATGCATTACTTTTATATAGGCCTAGATTATATATTAAGTTGCTCAAGCAAGTGGTAACATATTTAACCATGTACTTATATTAAAATCGCAAACATTTTAAATTAAAACTTAAAATTGACAAAAACAGCAGACTCATACCTTTTCTTTTGCATAATTCAAATCTGTATACAATAAATCTTGCATGTCACAAATAACTTGTTTTTCCACCTCAACGAATGAGACGAGTGTCGTTCATTATGTGGCCTTGTTGAAGTAAATTGTAGCTTTCTTTGCTTTACCCCGGTCTTAAAGTAAAAAGATGACTGTGAAAAAAGTAGTATTTAATTAAATGCATTTATGGTTACATTTTATTTAATTAAATACATTTATGGTGAGATTACTACATTTTATTGAATTAAATGCATTTATGGTGAAATTACTACATATTCAGGTCAGTCTGTGTTCATTTTGACCACGAACCGTGCGCTGTCACTTTAATTCAGCGTTTGCAGCACAGCAGAAATAGACTCGGTGCGGAAACGATCTCTGCACTGCTGTATACGCACCGCAACTGGAACGGATCGACGGACCGCATCCGCGTGCAGTGTGAAAGCTCTAACCTGTTAACATGGGTACGGAAAAAAATACGCACCGCATACGCACTGCAAACGGAGTATGTGTGAAACGGGCGTAAGGCTTTACATGATGTTGTTCAGACTAGTTAGTTAGTTATATTTTACAAAAGTATATTTGAGACAAATCTATTTTGCCTGTTTTATATTTTATTGATAAACATGGATATGGTCATCTTTTTCATCTGAAAGTGAAAGTTATGAAAAAAAAAAAAAACATTCCAAAGATATTCCTGACTTTTTAAATACAATGGGGTAATAAATATAGTAATAACTGCAATATGCAAAAGCTGAGAAGTTACTGATCAGTTTCAATGTGGTTTTAGTAAAAAAAAAAAAAGTTATGATTTATAAGCTTGTTCCACCAGATTTTGAATGCATTATGCCAGCTAATTAATTTAAAAATAGTCCTGTGTGTTTGAATCAGGCAAAGTTAATTCAAATGTGACTCGTGTCATCTGTTGAAGAGCATTTCCTCCTGTATGTGAACGTAATTATTTTTCGTCTTAGAACTTGTTTCCCCAGAAGTCCTCATTTGCCTGCCTTGTATTTACAGTCTATTTATAGCTTCTACCTGTGGCTAGGAGATGAGAAATGGTTCTTCAGCATATTATTCACCTGAGCTTCAACATTCTCTTCTGGGAAATGTTGTTGCAGCTCTGAGGGCAGAATTAGTAAATGAAGATCAATTACTGCCTGACTAAATCAATGCTGTGTTGTGGGCTTGTGTTATTATTCTGTAGATGAAGAGTGGGATTTAGTTGGTTACCCTGAATAATGACGCTATTGAGAAACTACCACCACCCGCGCATTTTGTTACCTTGTGTTTGGGTACAAACGATTTTGTCCAGTGTCCCTTCCCTGGATCCATATCTTTTGTTGTTGCTGCAATGTTACTGTTAACACTGCGATGTGACATTGCGTGCTGATAATATAAAGTCTCATTGCACGTACGTTTGCATAAATATCCGTCCATCTTTAATTGGAAGTAACTGGGCGTTCGAGCGATAAAGAAATGCCAATGAATAAGAAAATAAATAGCGGTATGTGCTTGATATTAAAAATTGTTATTTAAAAAAGCGCAATATGTTCCGAAAAACAACTGTATTCGGCACTCGCACGTTGACAGGAAACTTCCCGTGCGCGCGCGCTTTACCGCCTGTCAGAGCGCGCGTGACTACCGCCTTTTCACCATAGACTGTAAAAAATAGCTTTTCACGCTAGAACTGTCACACACATAATGATGTCGTAATATCCGTCTTGGTGAGTATTTACGTAAAGCCTAATATATACCTGATGCTTTATCAAACAACAAAATATAAAGAGAGAATCACTCATTGGTCTTGATTTTAATACCTTGAATAGCTTTAATAAAAATCACTGTATATTTAATTCACAAGACCTACTTGAAAAACAAACAAAAAAAATTGTTTCATTTATTTGTCCTATTGCATGTGATTTTGTATATTTGTTTTTATTTTATTAGGCTACTGTTTGTCTTCAACTTTTTCCTTACATTAATTCAACAAATTGTTACATTTCACTGGTATGTTATTGGTACTGTAACCTTATTTCTAGCAAAAAGAACTATAATAACATATATATTATTGTGAAATTACTCATCTTGTGATACAAGATTAAGGTCACACCTCTCACCCCAGTTCTAACCATAATCAAAATGAGAGTTTTGTGCCTTTTAGTCCACATACACTTTGTATGCTAGTGTGCTCCTAAACATTGTGAAACTCAAATTAACACACAATTTAGTCCTTCTGGGAAAACAAACCAAAGATATTGATGACTCATTCTGCACTACACAGATTTTTATCCAATCAAATGCTCTCTAGAATGAAAATATCCCTCCCCCTTCAACAGACTTAAATTTAGCCAATCGTGATGACTGCTATGATGTAAATTTAAACCGATTGACTTTTTTAAAAGGGAAAAGCACTTTATGTCCAACCCAAACGTCCTGTTTCTTTAGGAAATGCACCAATATGAATGTCGATCCAGGAATTAATTTCTTGGCATCTCAGTATCCTCTTTATTTGTATTTTTCAGTGTTATAACTGTGAAGAAGAGGCGATGTACCACTGCTGCTGGAACACGTCGTACTGCTCCATCAAATGTCAGCAGGAGCACTGGCACGCGGATCACAAACGTACCTGTCGCCGGAAGAGATGAGCTGGCCACGCCCCTCCTCTCGACTCCACCCATCCACAAGCCACGCTATTGGATAGATCATGGATTCTTGATTTTTAGCCAGCATTTTAAACCCCCAGCTCCGGACACTTACCTGGACATTTTACTGAGTTGCGGTGAACGCTAACAGGACAAGTGAGCACGGGCTTTCACGTATTCCTCGTAGAGATGGGTTTTATGTTTGGATTTTAACGGTATCTCTTTACTTATCCTTTTTTTTTTTTTACCCTTTTATTTGCTGTACGACGGAAATCAGCCTTGCTTGCATACAGACTAGCTGAAATGTGAAGTACTAGTAATCTTTTTAAACACAACTTAATCTGAAGCTATGTAGATATTTGAATTTTTATATGAGCGAATCATGTCTGCCTCCTGCATTGAGTGAAGTTGGTGCTTTTAAACTCGACGGTTGGTTTTTATCATTGGTTGTGATGTCTTTTTTCTTTGGGAACAGGGTTTAAAGATGGCAGGTCATGTCTGTCTGAATGATACAATCTTCCATTAATGATTATGCACATTTCATGGTTACACTTTAAAATAGGCCTTTTAATTTTTAACAAAAAATAAATAAATTATGTGCTAATTTTGGGGTCCATTGCAGTAGCTTAAGTGTACTAAATGTTTGCCAAGTGGGATCTTTAGTGAGGTTCATAAGTGTGAACAAAACCTGATTTCATGTCAAGATCCCTTTAAGTAGCAAAGTTTAACCAGACTTAAGATTGTACAGAGATCAGAGTAAATGGAACAATCAGAAATGATCGCTTTAGGGTTTTATCATCAAGGATGACTTTTCATGGCACTTTCTGACCTGAGGGAGAAGTTAAAAGGATAGTTTACATAATTTAAATTCAACCATAATTTACTCGCCTTTAAAGTTGTTCCAAACCTCTTATGTGCTGCTCAATGAAAGTAAAATGGCTTGACTTGGTCTCCATCCACTTTCACTTTATAGAAAAGAGCAGCTTGGACACTTAAACATCTCATTTTATATTTTTCAGTTAAATGCGTATGGAACGACGTGAGGCTGAATAAATGACAAAATTTAGGTGAATTATTGTCCTTTTAAATATTGCAATAACAAAAATTAAGTAAAAATGAGGTAAGATCTATCTTTAGAGAGTTTTTGAGATGTAATTTAATAATGTCGACCAGGGCTGCGTTTCCCAAAAGCAATGTTTCTACGATCTGCTTTTGGGAAGGAGAATCAATCAGCTGAAGGATGTAGGGGTACGTGAGGTCCTTCTTTCGTGTTTTTGCACAGATCCATATGTGCGTGCACCTGTATTCGGTCTCTCTCTGAAGTTCTGGATGCGTCTTAAATCACGTCTAATACATCCAGGTTTCTGTCCTGCCTCGTTTCTCTTTCTCTCGCTCCCTTCCCAACCTCACTGTTGCACTACATGTAAATAACTGTTTGCCGCTAACCGTGACTGATGACGTTTGCACGTTAGCATATGTACATTTCATGAGCGCATTAACTATGTATTTGATAAAGTCGAACTGTAAAGGAAAAAAAAATATTTGTGATAACGGTAATTTGTTCCATTCCAGTGTGCATGAAACCAGGTTGTGTGAACCTTATTTTGGACTCTACGTTAATCATTGCGTGTCATCAGTGATGCAGTATGTCTCCTTTTTTGTTTTCTAGGGTAATTTGACGCCACTTTGTAATTGCAAGTAACCCTTTTTGAAATGTATTTTTAATTTATATTTATGCGGACAGAGTAATGACTACTGAGAATTTCCGACACCCAGCGAGAAGTCTGGTAAACAAACACCTGTCTTTCATGTGCATACGAATTAATGTGGTGTAAACGTTTTCCCCTTTCTTGCATTACATTATGTAACAGTACTATGTATAAATAAAACATATCAACCGGTTTTATTATTACCGTACTTTTTTTTTTTTTTTTTCAAATTTAAAAATGACAAATTTACCAATCAAAGCACTTTATTGCACCATATTTTGTGAACGTAGGCCAAAGCAGGCTTCTATAAAAGTGTCATTTAATACTTTTAATCATGTGTACAAAACAGAATTTCAAACACACCTGCACCATACAAAATAAATTTTGTTTTTTGTCTTTTTTTCTCTAACCAACAATATTTACATACACCATGCAGACTCTCTCACGTAAGTCCAGATTTCAAAAAAAAAAAAAAAGAAAGGGAGATAACTACACAGGTTGAAAGTTATGTGCACATTACTTTCTTTTTTTTAAATGGGGAAACGTTTCGGCTTGTATGGGAATGGCAACACTAAAGCTTCTGAACAGGTTAAGACTTCTTTCCTTCATTTTTTTTAAAAACAAAAAAAACATTGCATCGTCACTCTCTGAACAAGTGTAAACTCAGTTCCCATACACAGTATTGACGTCTATGACACCGATTCCAAAAACATAAAATAAACGTTTGCATTAAAACTGAGACCTCAATGAGGCCAGAGTGCTGATATCTGATTGCAGTAGATTATCATCTGTGGCAAAGAAAAGAAGAAAATCCTGAATACTCAGTTTTGTCATGGCGATTTAACGGATTGCCAGCACCATGAAAAGGAGTTCAGAAAACACGTCTCTTCTAATGCAGCTGGGTACAATGGTAAAATAACGTCATGGTTCACTTTTGTTTGCATTATTATAGCCAGTCGGTCATGTTTCATGCTTTGCCCATATTGCAAGTGCCAACAATATGCCGGCATTTATTTAGCATGTATTTCCCACGCAAGCGATTAAAAACAAGAGCTTAATCCATTTCACATGAGCTGATTTGGGTTGAAAGTAAACTGCGAGTCATTAACGTAAATGTTTCATGGAAATACCAAAGTCCTTGTGACAGTCTGACTGATGCATTATAAATGAAAACACTGTTGATGTTTGAGCGGTAAATAAAAACGCATGTGTAAAAAGCCTGTGTCAATAAATAATAATGAAATCACACAGAAAAACGATACAAAAGTTTAAAAAAAATCAATCGAAGCAAATAAAAAAACCACAGCGGAACAAATTGCGGTGAAGATTTGAGTCGTAAAGCAAATGTAAACAAAATTCCAGGCACATTTTTAGGGTTCGTTTTCTCAGTAAGGGTGTAGCGATTTAATTTCAATTAGAAGAACCGAAGCGTTCGTTCACGCACATTTGACATCATCTTGAAAGTCCTATGAGTTTGTATTATTATTATTATTATTAAACGTGTGGGTAACGTTCGATCGGTCAGTTGATTCTTTCTACAACAGACACCATGCAAGTGGGAAGTACTGCATTAGAAATGTTTCATTGGTGATTCGTAGATCTTATTTTATATATATATTTCTTTTTTTTATATATATTTGTATGTATATTTATATTTTTACATAGACTTGACGTGATACTACTCACTCAAGATGATACAATGTTTTATATCAGCAATATTATTTAATGAGGAAAACATTTCCAAATGTCTTCGCTCACCAATTCTAAAAAGAGCAAAATAAATAAGAACTATTATCTGTACATAATTACACAATATCAACCGACTTTGTGTTCACCTTCAGTTTTGTACAATGATATTAAACATGGAGGAATCGAAAAAGCAGGGGATGTTTTTTCTTCTTTTTTGCTTCCTGCTGCTCGAGAACATTTACAAAGGTTGAAAAACGAAACCGGCAAATTGCTGAAGGACGTGCGTACAAATGTAACCTTAAGTTGTCGTTTTACCTTTTTTTTTTTTAAACAAACGAACAGAAATGGCGTCCAGAGTGTCTGATATCACGTGTACTTTCAACAAGTTACTCCAAATCATCGGGAAACTTAAAATGCACATTTCGCCACAGTATGCAGATATTTAAAAATACCCTTCGCTCATAGTAGGGCGGAATAAAAATGAATGATGTCGCAACACATCACGTGAAAAAGCGACACGCACACAAGCAGAAGCAGAGGCGATTCTTCTTCCCATCAGGAGACAGAATCCTTCCGCCAATCAGAGTTTAGGTTTGGCTTTGTCAACGCTTCTCAAAGTTTCTCCCAGTAAGTGTTAATTCGCTGAAGATCGCCCAACCGGTCATCGGCAGTCGGCAAAACACACGCACGCAAACATACAGGCGACAGCATCCACGCGTACACTCATGCTACATGTTATATGCCACGTAGATGGGGTCCAACTGGTCGGCCAGAAAGCCGTCTCGCAGGTGCATCCTCTGCTTCTCTCCGCGAGAGTTGATGGGAATGACGCCGATGTCCACCACGACCACCACGCCCACGATCAGGTAGTGCTCTTCCAGGACCGCGTTGGTCACTAAAGGAACCAGGTCCAAAGCTTCCTGTTCCGAACCTTCCAGTTCCACGACCACAACCAACAGGTTGGTCCAGGGAAACACAGCACTGAAACAAACACAGATCAGTTCATTTAAAACCCGTTCACACTGACAGTGGGTAGCAAACAAAATGACAGGAAGTCATTCTTTTTTTTTTTGGACAATTTGGTAATTTGAGGAGACAATATATATCTTAACCAATCAGAACATAAGCGATGTTTAAAATACAACTGATGATTTGGATTTCAGATCAAGAAATCTATAATGAAATTAAAATAATCGACTGACAAAATGTCTTATGATGACTCATGATGGCGACTGATTAGAACAAAAATGTATGCAAATTTTTTTAATTAAAAAAAATATTACCTTTAAATGTAATCTTTACAAATTTTCCACTTTTCATACTATAAATTATAATATTGTGAATATTCACTTGCAGAATGTAAAATGACTGATTTTAAGTTTGAACTTATTTAGACAAAATAGTATAAATAGTATACATTTTCAGTGTATGGAGAATGTGTACTGGAGAATACTATTTCAGTTTTATTTGAGTGTTTTATTTTTCGTTTATTTAGATAAAATAGTATACATTAAATGTCAAAATAAAAAAATTTATTTGACTGATCTAGTTGTTTTATTTTTCATTTATTTAGACATAATAGTATAAATAGTACACGTTTTAATGTCTAAATAAATAAATGGCCAAAAATGTATATATCAGTGCATAATAATAAACAATAAGGTATTTGGACTGGAAGTGTGAAAGGTCATACCATTCCATGATGCTCTTGTGTGTGCGTATCACAGAGGTCTCTATGTCGATGGGATGATACCTCATTCCTCTCAACTCCATGGCTTCATCCAGAGCACCCACTACATACAGAGCGTCATGCCGCTCTGGAAACACAAGAGGATGTTAGCGTCATTCTTAGACCTCAAATTAAACTAAAACCAGCCAAAAATGAAATAAACAAAGGTGCATAATTACCTCCGCTTGCATCTGTAAGTTCGGTCCTGCGGAGGAAGCCCAGGTAGCCGGTACGCGCCCACACCGTCTGCGTATCTCCGAAGCTCAAGTGAGAGTTGAAGTGATCGGACTGCAGGGCCTCGTCTCCATACACCGTGAAGTAACCGCTGCCATTATGGGAACAGTGAACCCAGATCTAGCGACACAAAACAGACCAGGAACACGTGAAGTCGTAAAGAGCCACAGATGATTTCCACTTGACCTTTATCCTGCAGAATGAACTCACCTCCCCTAGATGGGAGTCTCCCAGTGGGCCCTTGGTTTCAGGATTGGCGATGATGATTCGAACTCCGGGTAAAATCTGGTAGAGGATGAAATTGAGATTCAGTAATGTAATAATTGAGAAATACACAGCCAGATGGACTCAAAGGGAAGTTGTTTGCAGGTACCTTTCCAGACTCCATGAGGGGAAGACTGTGTGGGGAGCCTCGCTCGACCAGCCGCACTCTGAGCAGAAACAAGCACACTGTTGCTTTCCTGGCAAACTATCAACTACCAGCTCATAAACAAGCGTACACATGAGTAAAGTCATTTTCAACAACAGATCCCGACACTCATGAGTAAATAAACACAAAATTATATTTCAGAGAGAGCAAGAGTAATATACATATGCATAAAGTACAAACAAATGTGCACACATACAGCAATCTCACAACAAACTTTTCTTTTGCCAGAGTTAGAAAATTGTCATAATTTTCTAACATAACATAACATAAAACCATACCAGTTTCTAACATAAAACCATACCAGTCATGTAGATTACTTGCTCGATACGTCACCAAAAACCAGACTCGCTGATTATTTTTATTGGTATTAGATCCCTCCCTGTGTTACGAGTGGGCGGCATGACCAAAATCTTCTATCATGCTAACTATATATAATTTTCAGTAGGGAAACTTACAGAGCCGCGCACATGACGTGCAGGGGAAAAATTGTTATATTGTGGCCACAAATTAAGAATTCATCCCCACGACTTACTAATACATCAGCACGTTTTACTCATTTGTTCCCACGTTGAACTAATTTGTTCCCTTGTTTTGATTTACTAATCATTACATCATTCATAGTTATTTTATTCTATTGACAGACCTTTTTAACAGTAAGAAATAAAAAAATATACCACTAACATTAATTAAGGTTTGGGTTAAAAAAGATACACTGTCAAAGTAATAAAGTAAATATTCTCCAGATAATATTTTAAATACTTTAGTACAATGACAAAATAAAAGCCAATTATTTATTTTAATCCCTGGTATAAATCACAATATATATATATATATATATATATATATATATAAATAAAACAAAAAAATTAAATATAACAAATAAATTCAACAAAAAGTTGAAATAAAGTCAACAAAATACATTGGTAGTGCTGTACTTCCTCTTAATTTTGCTTGATGCACACAAACCATACCAAATATTCATAACAAATGTATGCAAAGTCTGGCATGTAAATGTAAAACCTCTGTATAAAGTAAAAAGTACAGCTAGTTTATTATTATATGATAAATTATATCATTATCACCAGCAGCATTGGCCAATATTAAACCTGTATTGTTTGACCATAAATCACAGCTCACTGAAATAATTTCCATTATCAGTATTTTGCAGATTTCTCCACAAAGCTTTTTGTTATTAATTTCTCACCTGTCGTGTCGTAGAGCTCTCATGTCCACGTACACAGTAGTCGGGTCCGGTCCCGATGTCCCCTGAAACGCACACCATGAAGAAGTTAACCAGGAGATACACTAATACACTTCATACTATACAGAAAACTATGAGTGATTTTTCTAGGGGAAGGGTTCAACTGGTCAATTAATTTCCTCAGAGTTAACCCACTTCAGCTGTTAACTAGTTAGTAGCAGAGCCTAGAGATCACAGACTAAAAAAGGTGGAAAAGATGAGGGGTTTGGGGAAAAAAAAGGGCAAGACAAGCAGCAAACTGAGGAAGAAACAACCCAAAATTTAAACAATCACCCTGAAAGGCACATGGTTATAAATGATGCCTTGAACGGAGGCGTTTTAGAGAGCAGAGCGAAAAATAGGAATCGTTTATGAAGCCGGGATGACAAATGTGTGGGTGTTTGTGAAGCAGAGAAAAAGACGGCCACGGATGAAAGCTGACGAACCTTCAAAGATCTGAATGTCTGCTTGAGGTGAAAGCGCCCCAGTATTGCAGATCTTTTGCCACTGGGTGAACGGGAGAGCATTTACCAGCTGCTTTATAAACTTAGATCTGCCTTAAGGCTCTTTTAGACTCCCATCAGAGCTTCAATGCACCTTTCAAAACAAGCGTGCTTTGACCTACACAAGAGAAGTGCTGCAGATAGTGTCACGGACGGCCACTTTTGGGGCTTTTTACCTTTATGTTATAGGGTACAACAAGGGTAAAAGGCCCATTTGATTCGATGTTCTACTAAACCACTAGATGGCACAAAAACTCATCGCAGCACTTTTCTAAACATCTGCGTTCATCATTATGCACTGAGAAATGTATTTTAAAAAATTTAAAATGTATGTAGCACATCAGAATTGATAAAATGACCAAATATATTTGAAGACAAAGGTCTTGTTAATGATTTCCAGTTTTTTCATAGCAATTCATTTTAAAAAAAAATTAACAACTGACAAATATGTAAAAGCATGGCATTTTGGATAAAAACGCGGCACAATAATTGACACCATAAACAGCTCCAGACTTTTTCAATTGTGTGACATGACATGTTCATTTCACCTTTAGATTACGTAATCAAATATTAAATTGTAATTTAAAAACACTTAAATGAATATCCGTTTTTTATTCTTTTACACAAAATAGTATTGAGTATTTATCACTACAGCAAAGCAAAACTGTTACACGCCTGATTTGTGTTGTCATAAACCGCTTTCTGAATGTCATAAAATGCCTTTAACGATATATCGTACAGCATAATGTACAGGATCACTCTCTCTTTATTCTTGTTCAGATGTATGTTATGTCAGACGAACTGTCCTGTATTCACTGGAGACGTTTTGCAAGGTCAGACTCAGCAGCAAACTGACTGTCTGAGTGAGAGCGTAACTTTATAGCAGTTGAACTGCGCATAATGCGTTGCTCCTTTTTGATGCATTCGGGGACTGTCGACATGAGTCATGTGAAACGGCCTTTATGAAACAATACAAATGAGAAATGAACAGACAAAATACAAACAACTGCTGCCTTTGAGTGCAAGCTTCAAATGAACACTCATCATCTTGATCAAATGAACGCAATTATTTTTCATGACTGATCATTACTGAACTTGCAATGACTGTTCATTATGAGGCACTCGGATGCCCCAACTCAATCTAAATGAGAAAATATCTGCAATTGCAGTTCACAAACCTAACCGGGCCAGCAGAGGTCTCTCTGAGTCTGAAGCACAACAACTGGCTCTGTCGACAACACACGGTCCTTAGAGACGCATTTCAGATCACTGACTCACACAGAGCTGGAGTCTGTGATATTTCATGTGTAGGCACTCATGTTCCGAACAAAGCCCCTTGTGTTTGTGATGTCACGGTAAAACAATGTGGCGGACAAGGGAGGGGGAAGCACGATTCCACCTAATGGCTGTGATTATAGAGCTCTACGCTACGGGAACACTACTAATGACTGCAGCTGCACAGAAACACACAACTCTTGACCCCGGTGTAAGTCCAGGTGAGCGGCAATCTCACTGGAGGAGGGTTGGATCTCGCCGCTCACCGGTAAGATCAAACTGAGGGTGTCTTTCCTGTTCAAAAGTCCAGGAAAGCAGCCCTTTAGGTCAGCCATTAGTCTGATAAATTAGTCACACTGATTCAGATGGATCCAGCCGTTCGCTTCCACTACATTAGCAAAAGCCACACACCGCAAGGATCAAGAGCCCAGCAGCCGAAGGGTAAAAAAAAAAGCTTAGTCGGACCCCATTCCACACCCAGTGCCAGATCGAGCGGGGAGCGTTTGGACTTCCCTACCTGATCCGCAAGCTTCCCGAGCCTGTGAGGCTACAACAGCCAGTGAGCAGATGAGAGACAGGGAGAGAGTGAGGAAAGAGGAAAACGGGGTAAAGATTTGTGGATGTGACAAAGAAAAGGAATCAATGAAATAATATAAAAGGAGGATATAAGAACAATGTGGGGCAAAAGAACAAAAAACAACATGCAGAGTGTCAAAATAATAATAAGAGAAGATTTTATTGGTTGTTTATTATTTTCTCCCACTTACTGACATTAGCTGACAGAAAAAAAATATGGAAATGTATTATTTATATATTAGTACTTATGTTTAAATATAACAATCACTATCTGATATTATTAAGTAGTAATATATATAAATGTTTATCAGCTGACGTCACCAAGGCTGTGTTATTATATATTACATAATATTAAATAATACAACTATAATTACATTTTATATTATATAATAATATGGGAAGATTTTGTGGTTCATTTTGACTTCATTTGTCCTCCCAAAGTCTAATTTCTGTCCATCCCACAATCCAGATGATTAAGAAACTTATAACTTAAGAGTATCTTATGATTTAATAGACATTAGGCACCTAAATGTTCAAAAATTAATCTTCAAAGTATGTAACCATAGAGACATCTGTAGTATGAAAAAGTTTTGTGGTGTTTTTTGCTTGGTAACAAAAAAATTTCCAAAGATTTTCATGAAAGCAGATGAGTGGAAGTTAAAACTGCTCTTATTGCTAAATAAGTTCACAGCGGAGTCTTACAATAAGAAGGTAAATAAATAAATACATAAATGGGCATGAAATGCTGATTATCATTTATTTTATTATATTTTATACACTACTGTTTACAAGTTTGCGGTCAGGAAGGTTTTAAAATAAGTCTTTTATGTTCACCAAGGCTGCATTTATTTGATCAGAAAAAACAGTAATATTGTGAAATATAATTACAATTTAAAATAACTGTTTTCTTATATTCTAAAATGTAATTTATTCCTGTGATGGAAAAGCTGAATTTTCAATATCATTACTCCAGTCTTCAGTGTCACATGATCAGAAATAATGTTGATTTGCTGCTCTTTTCAGGATTATTTTATGAATCGAAAGTCCAAAAGAATAGCATTTATTTAAATAGAATTATTTTGTAACATTTGATCAACATAATGTGTCGTTGCTGTATAAAGGTTTTTTTTTACCAAACCCAAACTTTTGAATGGTGGTGTATGTGTCTGGGAAAATGGATGATAATTTAGTTTAGCAGTCACTATACAAAAGTATTTGACCACAGAATGCTGTGACTATCTAATCAGAATAAAGTTTTCTAAAGAGCCGTATAATATCCCATCATCATACTGTCAATTGGCCACTCTACTCAGCAGCAGCTTCGGAAAAACCCATATCAGATGACTAGTACTATTTTTGACATTGCGTGCTATGTTTACTTAAGTGGTGACCTGGTTTTACCTCTACAACATCATGCCATCCTATAATGCTGTTACTCTCACTCAGAACGCAAACTAAAGGCACAGTAAAATCCTCTCGGTAAACTCTGAACACTAATCCCGGCTGCAGTCGGCTTGCTAAAACAACGCTGGGATTGGGATTACGGCAGAATCTCTGCCTCGTGTATTCTGGTCAGCAGCAGATTAATGGCTGGCGTGTTTTCAGCGGCCACGCGCGCAGTCAAGCACAACTAACCTGCAGGCAGATGGCCAGGTTCACTCTACATCCAAAGGAAGTGCTGACGGCTCGCGGGTGCAGGCCCAGGTCTTTAAAGAGTTTGGAGAAGGACTGGGTGAGGGCTATCCTGGGCCTCTCCTCAGCGACCACCACACACGTCCTCACGCGAGACAGGTCAAGTCCACGGGACTGAGGAAAGAGAGGGAGATCAACCTTTAAATTTTATCAAGTGTAGCTAAAACAACAAGAACATTTATCATTAAAAAAATCAACACTTCAAATCAACATGAAACAGTATTTTGCACAACATTTAACTACTGTAATGTGACATTTCCTAGTACTTTTTTTTCAGAGGTAAATAAAGTAGTACAGGATTGGATTGTGGATGTTCTGCTAATTAATTTGGTTGATCTTACCCTTAATGACATCAACTTATTATATATTAACATATTTAACATATATAAAATATATAATACATAATATATAAATACATATAGATTTTAAAGTTAATTATTTATATTTAAATTTAATAATGATTATTTTCTAATAGATGATGTCACCAAGGCTGTCTTATTATTATTATTATAATAATAATAGATGATATAATATGACTTTAATCCTACTAAAAAAATATATATTTTGACCAAACACAATATTCAGGGGGAAATGACGCACAGGATTGATTGTACTTATTAGGATTGGATTGTGGATGTTATGCTAATATGATATTATTGGTTGATATTATTTTTTCCAGCCCACACTGCATTGTAGACATCAGCTGATAAAATTATTATTTATAAATTATCTTATATTTTAAATAATAATGTATTATTATACTTATTATCAATGCATCATTAATACATTTTAAATATAATCATTTTCAATTATTCTTTCTAATCAGTTGATGTCAAGGATGTGCCATTATCATATTAATTCAATACATAATATTAATATAATCATATTCATAATCATAACTATAATCAACCAATATAATATAATGATTAACATGCTTTAAATGGAAAAAACTTATTTTTATGAAAGTAAATAAAAAAAGTAAATATGGTCAGTGTATATCTAATGTTTTTCTTTAATCTTTATTTAAAGAATAACTGAAGATGGCAGGAAGACAAGTCTGGGTATGAGAAAACATTTTCCCAGTTCTACCTCATTATACCAAAAAATGTCTTTCGGCCGGGACTCATTTTTCCTTCTCATTGATTGTCGTGATGTTAATAAACTGTACTCTGGTCCAGACTGCGGTTAGTAACTATGGCAATCTCAATGACTAAATCAGAGTAAATAAAACAAGATTTTACAAGACAGGCTCGCCAGGAGGCACGGGCGGCCTTTCCTTCACTAACTCAGAACAGACGTTAATTACACAGTCACACCTCCTGAACACAGAACACTCACACACGCAAGACCACCAACAATCGCCTTCTGTCACTGCAGCAAATATAACATGAAATCTAACGGAAAATGCTTTAGAGCTTCCTCAAGAAGGAAAGGAAGCGAAAGATTGACACTTTAGAGAGAATCGGGTACCTTGAGGGATTCTGTCTGCAGGCCCAGGCCCTTGGTGCAAAGCTCCATGACGGAGTACGAACAGAACGTGTCTCTGACCCGGAACTGACTGACAGCCAGCAGCCACAGAGCGGGGTTCACCTCCAGCTCGGACGGGGGAATCAAGATGGACTGATGCCCTGAATACACACTTCACCCAGTAGGAAGAGAACGCAACGTTACCACCACACAACACAACACAAGAGCAGAGGAGCCTGCTCACCCTGACAAATAAGACACATCGGGAAAACAACACATCAGTCAAGCGAGACAGGAGCTGAGTACACACTTTACGCTAGAAAAGACACAGCACAGCATAAAAACACACACTTGTGTGAACGCAGCACAAAACAAAGATTTTTCAAGGCAGCAGTCAACTGAGAAACTGGTTCAGTACTTGTGTGGCTCGTCAATTTGCAGAGTGTTAAAAAAATACTCTGATGGTGAATTGTACATGGATGATTGAATTATTAGATATCCCAAAAAATGTAAAGAATTATTCTGAATTGTGAAACTTTAAAAGCAAGAATGTGGAGCTTAAAGTTTTTTTAAGGCACTATTTATTCTTCTATATAAAAATCTACTATTTGAGTTACACAAGTTGGAAATTGGATATAACTTTACACAGACAAGATTATTAAGTTATTAAAACCATTTTTGCACAAGTCTAGTAAATAAGTTCAAAAGAATTAAAAAAAAATCATTGGCAATTAAAATTCTATAAAACGAATAATATAATAATAAATATATAATGAAAAAAAAAAAAAAAATCACCTATGACTGAATATTGAAACCTGACCACTCCTTTAAAATCAACAATATTGCATGAGTTCATAAAGATGCATTGTTTCAAGTATGAATCTTGTTTTTCAAATAGTAAATTCAGGCATGAACGTGGTAGTCTCTCACCTGCAGAGGCACCAGAGGACAAATCCAAGGCCACAGTATGGATCCAGGCAGATGGCCACCTCACGAGAGGGATACAACTCACACTGGAGCTTTATAGAGCGGCAAAAGGCACTGGTGGCTGTGTGGGACATCTGAGATGATGTATAAAAAGATTTCATTATATTTTTGTTATTACATAAAAGAAATATTATATACATACAGTATAGTCGGCTTAAATGCATTTATCATGATTGTGCTTTATTTTATTCATAAGCCAAATTCACACCGCACAGACAAACGCCAACAAACAAGTTGGCAGTTGGATTTAGAATTTTATGAAAAATAACTTAAGTTCACACTGCCCCAACAGACACCATCAAACACTGATTGAACATGTTCAGTTGGGTGAAAACAAACCCTGACCAATGCCAACAGACGTCGACAGAGATAACACACTGATCAGACAAAACCCAACTAACGTGTTTGTCTGTGCGGTATGAATTGGCCTATAATGAGACCACGAGGAATGATGAGCTATTTTTTGAGAAATGCAACTGGGCTGCCATGTTTGAAGTGGAAATGCTATCAAACATAAAAGTGTAGGGTTGTATAGGATTTCCAGGGGCCTGAAAAGATCAGTTCTTGGTCAAAGGACTGAAGAACTACACAATACTGGGTGGTCGCCGCAAACACTCATGGCTCCTATGACAAAAGAGCAGCGGTCTGTTCAAAACCTGGTTTTCATCTCTTAACAATAAAACAGAAAAGTTCCTCTGAGCACATGACACCTGATCTCACCTATTGTAAACTGAGAGGGTTTTCAAACGGTTTCTTTCCGGGGTTTTTTGTATTGGAGAAGTAAAGAGCAGGGGTTTCTCATTTCACACAAAACAAGAGGATAAATATTCACCTTTACTCCTGCAAGCATCCCTGTAGTGGAGACGCTGAAGTCCAAGTAAGCCAGCGTGTCTGGATTGGAGGGTTTGTAGAGCTGAGGGGGCTTCTTCTTTGGCAGATCATCTTGAAAACATGTTAGATATTAGATGAATGTTCATTTAGACTTTACATTTTTTGAAGAAGCCATCTGACCTTTGACCCACTCTCACCTGTGTCCAGAACAGGAGGCCACGACCTGACGTCCACTGCGGCAGACGCCTCCTTCGACTTCAGGAGCTTGGATATGATCTGTGAGGTCATCACACATGCTGATCGGCTCACCTGAACACAAATTCATATATTAGCGTTATTTGTTTTTTCTTTCACAATTCATGTACTACATAAGGAAGGATCTCAGGTCAACACTCACCTCCACAATCATTTTCACAGTGGGCAGGGTGGTGGCGATGTTCTGGGGGTGTGGTGGTCTCACTGTGATTGGTACACAGCCGGCATACAGGCATCCGTAAAAGGCAGCAATCAGATCTATACCTGTAAATTATAAACACATATTCATATATGTGTGGTATTTGTGTAGATTTTGTATCCTAGATAAGAGGTCTCACACTATCGGACAAGATAGTTTCATATGGCCACTCAAATATCAAGCGTAATAGAGGACCTATTATGCCCTTTTACAAAGTCTTGATTTTGTTCTTGGGTCTACTAGAATAGGTAATCATGCTTGAATGTTCAAATAACATTATTTTTCACATATTTTACAGTGTTGCAGCATCTCTCTTCCCAGTCTGTCAGAAACACTCTGTTTCGTTCCTGTATCTATGAAGGCCTTCCCTTCAAAAAGCATAATGTGCTCTGATTGGTCAGTTGAATCAGTGTGTTTTGATTGGTCAACCACTTTGTGCATGTTTGAAAATATCATGGCCCTTACCATAACCGTGAGTTTTAACACAGTACGAACGCAACTCAACCAGGCCTCTCCCTATTTACTGTATTTTGCGTATACCAAATATTGTGACATGTACTTTCCAATAAGGAAACTCAAGACTACAATCGTGCGCATTGATATAGAGATTAACTTTGTGCTTTGTAACTTTGCAATACACATTAAAGAAAGTTGAAAATGTAAAAAAGCACAATATACCCTATTTAAATAAATTTTGACCATTATATCAAAGCCAGACTGTAATGTTTCTGGTGTCCTACCTCGGACATTGTCAGGGAATATAATCTTAGTCATATTTACTGCGATAATTTGAGAGCCCTGGTTTAGAGTATGATAATAATGTGAATATAGTGGAACTGATCACAGATTTAGAGCTGTAGATTTGTAACTGATGGTGTCGTACCAGGTGGGTACACCAGAGCAACGTGATCACCGTCCTGCAGGTGGCCTCGCTCCATCAACATGGTTGCTATCTTCTCCGCCCGCTTATGCAACTGAAGACACGTCAGTGAGCTCAGGACTGTTCCCTGCATTCACACACATACACAAACATGTCAACGATACAGTTTCCTCACAGTTCTCAACTTAGGATGAGTTATCACAACTTTTCTATGGAGGGCATGTGGTGTTCAAAATAGCCTGCGATGACAAATGGTTGCAGTTTTAGTTTATTAAAAAAACGTATCCCTTGCAAACCAGGCCAAAATCATTTATGATGCCAATTCCTACTCCCTAGAGGGGGGAAATGGTGCAGAAACTGAGATATTTCTTTGTACACCTCATGCACAGAATAATTTAGCACCAGAATGGTAGTGGTGTTATTTAATAAAAAGTGGTTTTCTTTAATAAAAAATAAACCAAATAAAAAAACAATCAAATAAATACTTTTTTTTTTAAAGTAAAAAAATGCAATAAATAAATAAATAAATATATATATATGCAACGTTCGGTCAGCATAAGAGACTTCTTTAAAAAACATTTTTAAAAAATTGTATTGACCCCAAACTTTTGAACGGTAGACTATGTACAGTATCTATCTTACTTATAACATGTCATACCCTTGAGCTGAGGAGGGTGAAGAGCACATGATCCGGGGTGGTCTGGGCTCTCCACTGCAACACCTCAGACAGGAAGAGGAACTATGGGTGGAAAAAGGAAGCCTGTGATGATTATTACAAAATCCAAGATATTTGAGTATTTAAGGGAGATTACATGATTTTCCCAAAATCTGATTATCATTAAATCAGAAAATATTAATACACAAAGTTTTCATTAAAATGTTCACATACGAGTAGGACAAACAGGTGGGTGTTAACAAGTCTAATTAATTAACCTGATTCAATCTATTGTTTTGCCAAATGCAATATTATAAAAGAGACATGACATTTGACTGTAACTGTTAAAACATAGGATGCTTTTTTTGCAATTAGCAAGACCTGTTAAAGTCATTAGTAAGCGGTGCTGGTGTTATTTTAAGGTTGCAAGTGAATGCAGTCATGGGTTACCTCATCTCCCAGTGTTATTCTCACATCGGATCACATTCCTCCTCTTAAAAGCATGAAATAAAACTATTTCCATTCACTCAGCGGGCCTGATTTTCATAGATATGAATGGATGGAAGAATGAAAAAACAACAAACACAAGCTTTGCGGTGTAAAAATGGAAAATAGTCATGTATGGCTGTGACTCCTTGAGCAGCGCAGATGGCGGAGGTAACATTTGTTGGTGTCAGACAGAGCATACCCATGCAGGGCTGGAAGGGTGTGAAGGAATGAGCGAAAGAGAGAGGATGAGGAAGGCATGCAAGAGACAGCACCCAACAACTGTTGCAGCACTGTGTATGTGTGTGCATATTTAAGCCTGTGCACATGTTTGTTTGAATGTGTGTGAGCATATGTGGTTCGTGTGTGAGGCCGACAGCTGTGCTGCGGTGTATGTGTGTGTTAAGGTTACGGTGTTGTGCACAGCAGACAGGCTGACGGAATAATGGTTGCCATCTTTCAGCCTGAGAGGGCAGTGTAATGGATTGTATTCGCGTTGAGGTGGTTGACTGACAGCACAGCAAAACCAAAGACATCAACTCAACACTAACAGCACAAAAAAACAACCAAACCAGCCCTCCCAAACAGAGCCCAGCGTGCAATACTTATTCTAATGGAGAACTCTGGTTTCCACAAAACGGCTTTTTTAAAATCCTTACTTTCAAAGAAAGAGAACGGTTTAGAAGCATAAAACTGTCAAGTTCTGGTTTGGTGACATAATGTTTTAACAGTTTCCCAGAATGCTGTCTGTAGGGGTTGGGTTTGAAAGGACTCTGGCTGAGAGGAAGAGGTCTGAAGAGCCGTCAGGGGTAATTACTGCGTGCCACACAGTGTCCAAAATGAATGCTCGGCGAGAGCCAAATATGTGTAATAAGTTGGCCGGTAAATTTATAAGAGGCTGCAACTTGTTTAAGTCGAATTGTAAGATTGATCATCTGACTCCTGCTGATGTAAGTGACACAAGCGATTCAAATCCACACCAGCTATTAAATACAAAACATCTGTTGCGAATAACCCATCGTCAAAAAACGTGGAAAATTTACCATCAGAGGTTTAATTAAGAGGCCTAAAGTTATCCATGTGGTGATATGTGTGGAATATTCCAAACATTAACCCACCAAAATGAAAACACAGGGAAGAAAATCACAATCTGTCTTCAAGTTTGTGACAGATGCAGAAGAATGAATCATCTCATATATTTCATGCTGAGAAAATGACCAGAGGAAAAAATACAGTTTGTAAAAAAACAAAAATTAAGCAAGAAAAAAGAGATTTGTACTATCTATATTTTTTCTTTCACTTTTCATTTTTATTTAAAAGACAAAAAATATGCATGTGCTGTTTGCATTTTATTCTTTATTTTTATTACTATTTTTTATTACTTTTATTATAATACAATAATTTATTTGTATTACTTTTTATTATATATATATATATATATATATATATATATATATAATATTTGGAAAAAATAAAACGTAACAAAAGAAAAATTTTAATATATAAAAAATATGTTTTTGTTTATTCATTATTTATTCATACACATTTTAAATCAGTAAAACTGCAAATATATATATGTACACACACACACATTTTTTAACTGGTAAATATTCTAATACGCATTTTTTTGACTAAGATGCTACATCTCCTCTAAAAGCAATTATAAAGCACCCTGAGGCAGTTTAATGTATTGCAACGCTGGCATTAAAGACCAATATATGCCAATTTCTGTACATATTCTTGGCTGGATGGTTTGCTGGTGGTGAGGAATGAATGAGAGGGGAGGGAGAATGAATGGAGTGGCAGATGAAAATCAAGGCCCCATGGTACCACACACACACCTTTCTTGCCTGATCATTGTCTTCGATCTGGCCCAGATCTCTGCCACTGGCCTGAGCGATCCTCTTCCCTGAGACCAGGTTTCCCACCATCACAGAGGCGGGTCCAATCTCTGCAGGACCGAGCAGAGGAAGCACATCACAAACAAGCAGACGACAACACCCACACAATTTCTGGCACTTCTAATTTCGTACGACATCTGAGGTGACCTTGCCGCAGACAGACCTGGCTGTTTCTGTCTGGGTTTTGGCAGGTTAGTGACGCAGGTGTGAGGGCACATTAGGACGTTACAGGGATGCAGGGAGCCTTCCAAAAACAGCTGCTTGGTCTCCGACAGGTGGATTCCTCCCAGCGGAGTCTTGGGAAGGGTGTTAGCGGGCACCAAAGCCAAACAAAACACCCCCACGTTGTGGATGCTGTCTATCGCCTGCAGAAAGAAACACATTCGATTGTCAGGTGAGGTTTAAAAATAGACTTCGTAAGAAGCCGAGAAGAGGCTGCCAGCTGAGATCTGATGCAGCCGCTGACCTTTACCGATGCCTTGGGGAGAACCAAATTACCAAACGGGAATTCAGGAAGTGGAAGGAAAAAATACCATATTTGCAAGATTAATGACCTACAACAAAAGAGTGGAATGGAACCGTCTGGGTGGGTGAAGTGAAGGCCAACCTCCGTGCCTGAATGCATCTTGTTATTTTTACATGCCGGTAAGGACTCGTAAAGTGCTGACAGAAAGTACACAGGTCAGCAATAGCATGATCTCTAATTCAGTTTGGATGGTGACTGGGGTTACGCAGCGATTAAGGTGACTCCCGCCAGACTGGACGGGAATAGCAAGTCGCCGCTGCCCGAATCGATCGGCAAGGGTGTGTACAGAAAGGACAAATACCTGCAGTACACGGCTCATCCACTGGAAGCTGTCCTCTTCTGTTGAGTCCGGCCGCTGCTCGGCTACGACCACAATTCTCTCGTCATGCAGGACCGTCACAGAAAACACCGCTATCCTGAAGATGGAGATACAGACAGGAGATATAAGACCGACCCCTAAAACATCTCGAACCAGGAACTAGTGGCCAGAATCGAATTTAATTGAACATTATTAAAATTAATATTTAAAAAAAAAAATAATAATAATTGTAATGTCAATAATTACATTTACATTTATTAATTCTTATTATAACAATTAATACAAAAAAATAGTAATGGTTAATAATTATAATGATTAATAATGAATAATAATCATTATAATTCACAATAATAAATTAGAATTAATTCAAATCACAAAACAAAGCTGAAGTGATAAACAGCAGAATTTAATTAAAACATTTATTTTGCATTCATTTATTTATTTATTTACAAAAATGTAAAGTGTTGCAAAAGGATTTAGGGCACCTGTGAGTAATTCTTTTCATTACATTTGAATTACATTTTATTTTATGTTTTTACTTTAATTTTAGTTTAGGTCATTTTGGTGTTTGGCCATTTTTTTTTATGTCAATATAGTTTTTATTAAGAATTAGTTTATTTCGTTTTAGTTACACTACGTATATTCATAATGTTTGAATCTGATTGGTTGAGGAACGTTCTAAGTTGTGCAATTATTTTCAGGGAAACGCACGGCTAAAGTAGTTCCAGGCAGGTCTTGACCACATTACAGTTCCACTTTGCAAAATGATTTCAGTTATTTCAAAGGTTCTTACAGCCTACAACAGCAAAAGAACACTGACCAAAGAAATAAATATAGTCAATAATAGGATAAAAACAACAAAATATTGCCATGTTTTTGCCACAAAATTACATTTTATTATGTACGGAAAGCACTTATTCAAACACACACACATACAGTACAGACACACACTCGCACAGAGTCAGCGCTGCCCTGATGATTTTATCAGTAAAATAGTTTAGCAACTTAAAAGCTACATGACATTTCTCACTGGAGAGGTAATAACGCCGCTGTTCTTGGAGTAGACAAACTTACAGTTACGCTATTAGTAGAGACGTACAGACTCGGGTAATTCACACACGCTTAATCTCTCTCTCTCTGTAATCACTGCATTAGTCTGCTATCTATGGCTCAAGCCTCTGTTACTAGCTCTAAAATGACCTTTGTAACTCCGCTTTGCGTCGTGGCCGCATTACCACCTCAGGTATGCATTATTTTCGAATACATCAACGACCGTTGTCAATTATTCCTTACTTATTTTAGTACTTTAACTTAAACTAAATGAAAATGAGAATTGTTGCCTTGGTAACTAGCTAAATAACAAACAAAGTAACACAATTTTATTTCAAGTAATGAAAATGTATTTTTATGGCTTGACGCGCTATATTATATTAATACTGTAACACATCTGATTTACCACACTGCATAAAGCTTTAAGAAAACCGATGAACAAAACCTGAGGTAATTTCACAGAGGCAACTGAAACAGAACAACTCCACCACAACACGTAGAGCACACGCTCTTGCCGCCCCAGCAGGTGTTAAATCCATTTAATTTGCACTCAGCATGTCCAAAGCAAACAAGCTCATGCGCTATATATACCACACGGTCTTTGATGATGAAGAAGAATATGCTATGTTTTGTTTGTAATGTGTTCTCACCTGCCCCTGTACACAAACTTCATGGGCTCCACCGCTAGCGCTGTGGCGACAATATCGTCAGCGTTGTGTCTCCGTCCACTCACCACCATCAGACCATCCATCTTTCCAGACACGAACACCAGCCCACCCGGGCCTATGAAACCCAGCAGCCCTGTACGAGTGAAGGGGTACTCGCTGATAGGAGCCCCAGAGCTGCTCATGGGAAAAACCTGACAGCCAACAAAACAAAAGACAAACATTTAGATCAAACTATACATTTGCAAATTTAATACAGCATACAAATGTGGAAGTTCACTCTATGGCTATGGAGTAGAGGTGTGCACGACCATGGGATCCGACACAACAGTGTGGCGCAGGACAAGTCTGGAGTGTGCTGAGTGTGGATACGTGAGGGAAGATACTGATATGTGCGCGGAAATCGGGAGAAAGAAATTACTTCTAGGTTCCCACAAAATATAATTATCTAATAACAACAGCATGTAGAAGTCTGTCACTGGAGATCTGAAGTGTCATGTGTGTGGAAATTGGAAAAAAAAAATAGCCTAGAGACAATGGAACTAGACAGAATCCAACAAGGACCGGGAGTGAAAAATCCACATAGACCTTTTCCTACGGGCTTTTGTGGGCGGGAGTGGGACAAAATGTGAAAGTTTAGTTTAGGGCGGGAACGGGATAAAATATAACATATTGTTTTAGTTAGCTACTTGTGGTAGCGGGATTGAAAAATCCATCCTGCACAGACTTCTATTATAGAGTCACTTCTTCCCCATTTAACATTACAGTGAAATGATAACTGATTGGTTGAAAATGTAAACTTTACATTTAGATTTAAACTTGTGGACTTAATGTAGGCTCAACAGATTAAGAGTACTAAATGACAGAAATCTAGAAAGATCAGCTACAAATACCCAGATATTTGCCGTATATCACTGGCCGAGTCCAAAATGCATTTCAATGATCTGGCATTATTTTATTTGGAGGCTAGGGTGAAGTTTAATGGCTAAAAAACAATTCAATTAAGTCTATGAAGTTTTTTTTGAGAAAATAGGCACCAAAATAGTTTTGGATAGTGAATATTTTATACTTTTGTGTCATTTGGTCACACAATTTTGTCACCCCAGGGTGACACTTGTCAAAATTGAGACTTTTTTTTGTAATTGCAACTTTATAGTGTATCTCACTATATTATACTGTATTTATATGCATCTCAAAATTGTGAATTCATAAATTATAATTGCGACTTTATATCTCAGTTACGACTTCATTTCTGATTGCAACTTTATATCTTACAATTGCGATTTTATATTTCACAATTTAAATTTTATTTCTCATAATTGTGACATTTTATCTCACAAATCCAAAATCATATCTCACAATTGGGGCTTTATATCTTACAAGTGGGACTTTTTATCTCAAATTTGTGACTGCTATTTGTAATTGCAACTTTATATCTCATAGCGTGACATTATATCTCACATTTGTGATTTTCATTTTAATATCTCACAATCACCTGTTTTATTTTTATACTCTGAGGTGAAATCAGGCTTCAGATATCAGACTTTATGTGAAAATGCCCTAATCATTATTTCCGAGCAATTTAACAAACAAGCCAAAGAAAAGACTGTGATCGGAGCACTTTAACATCAGTTCAAGCAGAGGTCTAGGGATTGTGGGTAGGAGAATCTACAGCCAAATCGATCTCGCTCTGATAGGACACAAACCTCAAAGGTGTTTTTTGTCATGCCCGAGAGCCCATAATATGACATTCCCGTGGCGATGGAACACACACACAGCTCTCCGATCTCATCTGTTCGGCACAGCTGAGGAACTCCCTCTGGCTTGACCACACACATCAGAGCTGCACATACACAACATGAATAAACACATTACACACTTTATGAAGCAGTAAATACAGCACACAGAGAGAGGCGTACACATTACACAACGCCCATCTTTGATGGCTCTTCTTTAATGATAAACATACAACAATATTTACATAAGCACATTCAAGACTTTCTCAGAACCATTTGTGTATGTACATATGTGTACCTCCTGGCATCACAGTGCCCACGTCCTGTACGGTGAGTACGGACAGGCGCTCCTCTGAGTCCACTCTGATGACACCGTAGCTCAGACCCTGCATAGACAGAACTCCTCGACCCGGCGGCTGGTTACTGTCATCTGTAGGCCTAAAACGAGAAATAAAATGCAAGATCAGAGCAATATATGGAATCACGGTTGTGGATCAAGCTTAACAGTGACTCTAATGCAATGTAAACCTGAAAAGGAAGCTGATTGGTCTAACTTGTTTTGATTGACAACCCTAAGCCCCACCCACACATAATGTCCTCTGAAAGACACTCGTCTGAGCTAACAGATATGTTTGGCAAAGTACAGCAGGCTTTATTTGAGCAAAATACATAAAACAGGGTGTGCCAATGCAGCATGCTGGAAATAATAGCTCTGTTCCAAAACTAGTGTGGTGCTTTGCTATCTCCACACTACATAGGGTGCCTACTAAGGGATCTTACAAGAAACTGATGGGAAACTTGGAATTGGTTCCAACAGCATTTGATTCGCCATAGTAGTTTTGAATATAATGTAAGTATATTTATAATCAACGTTTCTTGCATCTTGAGTGATTTTTTCCCCCACAGAGCCTCAGGGATTGTCTCTGTAAAGGACATTCAGTCAAAATGTGACTTTTTTTCCCCCGAACAACCGTCGTGTCGGGTGTGTGCATAATGTCTAACTCTTTAAAAAGCTGTCTAAGTTTTGAAACAGAGCAAAAGTGCAGAAATGTTGGACCAATCATCTAGAGCTCTGAAATGAAAATGAGAACAAGGAAGGAAATTATTACCAGAGAGAGAAATATTCTGTGAACCACATGGGCCAAACCAAATGAGTGCAAAGGGTGAAAAATGAGGTTACAACTAGTTTGCTCTGTAAATCCACATATGACAATGACGTAACTTCTTTGATGACAAAAACAGCGGAATTACGTTTTGTTGGTTGCCATTGAAATAACTTTTTCCTCTGACTTCACTAGATGGTGAAGTTTTCTTCTATGACACCAGGCTCTTTTATTAGCTTTCAATTCATTTCACTTTTTGTTCAAATTCATACAAGCTGTTCTCATCCTCAAATTTGTCATGAGAGAGAGAGAAGGTCTGTTAAAACGTCCAGCGATGGAGTTAATCCTGTGGAATGAAAACCATATGCTCTGCGTCCTGTCACGAGTTTGATTCGGTCACAAAGCAAAGATGTCAGGACTATTCAGGGCTGTAATTATGGAGGCAGCCTAAAAAAAACATTATTTTCTTGTAAATGGTTTTGGAAAATTGCATTGAAGACATGCACAGACTTCGGTAAAGCTCTCTCGATGAACCATTAACTTCAATCTGTCTGTCTAACCAACAGGCAAATGTTTGTGTCCATATTTCCATCATTTTTCTGAATCTTTTGGAATACGAAACTCATAAAAGGGACAGAAAGATCTAAATGTTCTGGAAGGAAGTTTACAGGGTGAGTGAGTGGTCAATGTGTCTGCACTCCTCTCACCTCCTGATGGCCACGGTTAGGGCTTCAGCTGAGCTGGCACATGGACAGATGACCTCTGGACGTAGACCTTTACTCTGGAAGACATTGAGGAACGCGTCACATGATGAGATGGACCCTGCAGAGAAAGGAAGAGAACATTACGTACTATGATGTGAACCCTGTCTCATATAACATTTTAAACAGTTCATACTTTTAGAAGTATCCTAACATTGTAGGGTACAATGGGAACAGAGATCTTAAAGGGAGAATTCACTAAAAAACATCCAGTTTAAAGGGGCCATATAGTATTGTAGCATTTCAGTTTTCCTCCAGAAGACCACTTATGCTAGTTACATTTTTTTGCACCAAAAAAGTTTTCCATGACCAGCCTTAGAATTAAACAGATCGAAGCTTTGAAAATTGAATAACAGATTGTACCTTTACGATTTCTATATGTAAATAAATCTATATATAAATATTATAATATAATATAAATCTGGGTGTTCATGATTTAATGTAATACTTCATGTAAAAAAAAAAAGAAATAAATGGAAATTAAATTATATATATATATATATATATATATATACAGTATATATATATATATATATACACACACACACAAGTTTTCTCTAAAACTATCATTATTGCAATGCATTAAAATAAATTTAAGAAATAAAAAAATCTAATATCTCATTACAGTAATGTAACATTTTTTGTTAAATTAAGTACAACAAATAAGACTATGATTTATATATGATATTTTTCATTAAAACACTTAGTGATAATTAAAACATTATTAGTGTAAAAATAGGCTTTATTTTCTTTGTTACATATATTTTCTAATTTTTTCTTGTGAATTTTTTTTTTTGTCCATCTATAGACAAAAAAAATATATAAACAAATATATTTGTCCATATCACCAGGTTTCTCACCATTTACCAGTATATGATCATTAAAAACTGGAGATCAGTTCCCTGCAGAAAATTCCTTTGTTTTGCAGCCTACAGAAGTTAATAAAAAGTCAATTCACGATAATATTGCAAGATGTTTCGACCAATTTGCAGTGCTGTGCACAACACCAATCAATGTTATGTTTGATGGCTACGCTCACTGTTTGGAAACGACAACTTTATTTACTCATGGTATGGACCTAAATAAAGTTATTGTTATTGAAAAGTTATTGAAAAATAAATGTTTTTAGTAAAACAGTAAGGTTAAAAGAAAAGAAAAAGGTTACAGTCTTTTTTTTCCGTTTGAATTGAAATATGAGTTTTTGTGAGATTCACCCAAATGTTCTTTAACTGGAAAGGACTCCTTGTGTTATACATTTTCAGCTATGTCTACACAGTACATCAATCCATTCATCTCAAAACACCAAGAAAAAAACCTTGCACGACCCCTTAAAACCATTTTACTTCTTGAATATTCCATCAGAAACACACTGACTGTAGGGGCATTTACATTGGCATTTGAATGAAACAGGCAGCAGAAGGAATGTTTTGTCCTTCAGTGTGTCCATTTGTGTATTATGTATCTGTATACGTCAGGAAAATGGCTTCTGGGCATCATCTATCCTGACTCATCTCTTCTGTGAGTTATAATCCCAGAGGGCATATATGAGTGCATACATTTATATTACACACTTATGAATGATGCTTTTAGCTTTTTTTCAGGTTGCTGTATGTAAACAGCTGCTAAAACCTCAGTTTGTTTCCAGTAAGAAGATTATTTCAAGAAACAAACAGGTGTGAGAGGAAGGTTGAAGGTGGAAGGGAAAGGAAGAGTTAGTAAAAGGAGAGAAAGAGAGAAAGCTCACATGGGTTGGATCCGTCGGCCACCACCAGCATGCGCAGGGAGCTCAGGTTGATGTCTCTCTGATCTCGGTGAGCGACTAGAGCCCAGTGCATATCCCTGGACTTGACACAAGCCACTTTACCTACACACAAACACACAAATTTACTACAAAAATCACAGGAATGGCCACACATACAAAACTGTATCAAAGAGCATTGTCACGTCAATATGACTCATTCACAAAACAATTTTCTGAGTAAACCTTTAATGGTCCCAATGAGGGTTTTTACAACTGATTTATTCAGAGATTTTTTCCATTCATGTTTCATGAAAACCTACCAGTAAGATTAAAGATTAAGACTGAAGTCTATTCATTTCAAGTCTAAGCACAAAAATATATATTTTTTAAAACAAAACAATGCATACTCCTCAATATAAAGTAGGGAAAAAAAAGTGGTCAAAAGTGATTCCCAGAGGGGTTATTTCTTTTTAATAACCCTACAAGTTTGATTAAATCATAAAAATATGAGGAAAATATTTATTATTTTTTAAACGTATGAGAGAAGAACAAAACACTTGGTTAAGGTATTTATAAAAAAAAAATTAAAAAGGCAAACTTGGCTATAGGTTTTATTTTACTATGCAAAAAAAAAAAAGTATAGAAAAACAAAAGGTTAACAGCCAAACAAAAACAGTACATTGACTACAACATAATCAGTTACTAATATTTTGTTGATTCTGCGTTTATAATTTCTTTGTATGACTGCCTGGCCAAAAATTATGTCCGCACAATTTGTGTAATAATATGTTGTTATAAGGACTTGGAGTAAACATTTTTGGTGATAAAAAGACCGGGTGTAAATAGTTTTGGTGTAAAATTTAGTGCTGCCACTAACGACTAATTTTCTAACGACTAATCTTTCGACTAATTTTACGATTAGTCGACTAATCTAAACGACTAATTAAAAAAAAACATTGTTTGTCATTTCGTTGTGTCCATTTTATTTTGAACTGAAGGGCCAAAATATAAAATGTCACCTGTTGAAAAACATTATGTATTAACAATCTAAGCATAAGTATCTGCATTTCCATTACCATTAGTCAGAGTCCTAATCTAATCCTCTATTAACAAACATGCATGTATTCATTACTTAAATTAGCTCTTTGTCCTGCCTTAAATTAATACATTAGCTTACTGTACATTTTTATATGTACATTTCTGAAATGCATAACTGATAACATCACTGTGAATTGTAGGCTAAAGTAGATGCACTCATGCATTTTAGGTAAAGCTGCTTTGAAACAATATGTATTGTGAAAAGCGCTATACAAATAAATTGGAATTGAATTGAAAGAGTCTGGACTAGCCTACTACGCTTAGCTCTGCCTTATAATAAATCGCGCTGAAGCAGGCAGGGACGCAGATATGCAGCTCTCGTTTACACTTGCGTGCATGCCGGGCCCGTGCCGCGGTTCGCGTGAATGTGAAAGCAACACAGACCCGGGTGCGCGTTTTAGCTGATTATGTATTTAGTTAAATAAAACACTTGTAAGGGATGATAGTGTTGATGATTTACCTTGGATACGAGCGAGAGCGAGTCTGCAGTGTATTCGCGCTTAGCCCGTGGAATCAGGGCAACACATTTGGAAAAGTGTCTCCTCAAAAGAGTCAATTTGCAAGCAGCAGAAGGCCACCTTATGCGACACACGCACCTGTGTTGTTCACTCAGCTGCGCATAATAGCACAGAATTAATTAAAATATATATATATATTGACCCGCGTTCTGTTTTCTATCATGCGCCGTGTACGTTTGCGATTGCGTAAGATGCACGCAAACACACCAGGGTTCGGTAGAATTAAGTTGAGTGTGAAACCAGACCAATGCTGCGGGGGCGCCGGGAACAATCGCGCGCGGGCTCGGACCGCAGCAAACGAGCCCAGTGTGAAAGCACCGTCACCTGCCTCCGCAATTTTTCATATTAAAGCAGTGAAGGCGGGGGAGGGGGAAGGAAGAGGATGGCAGATTAACCAGCAGGGCGCGTACATCGCACAGACTGGTGTGTGGAGGTGAATTACAGTGAGCCGTTTGAGACGGGAGACCAAAAATAAATATGCGGTCAATAGTAAAACGACACGTCGACTAAAAAAATTGGCGTCGACTAATTTGCATGGTCGATTACGCCGACTAAGTCGACTAATCGCGGCAGCACTAGTAAAATTTTGATTTTGTGTAAAAAAAAAAAATGTCTGACAGACCTTTATATTGACACACTTTCTGGATCCAGGACAGAGGGTTGACTTTCATCAGTGAGTATGGGATGCTGATTACATGCATCATGTTCATGACACTCTGGGGAAACAGGAAGTGACATATTACCACCCTGAATGTGTAACATATGATCTATTTGTTTACATTATTTTTTTCCAGAAGTATGACTTACAGTTAGGATTCCATGCCACAAACCCACATCCTTTTTAAAATCCAATACATTCACTATGATTTCAGCTGAAAAACAAAAAGAGAAGATAGATTTACAATTTTATTGTCCGAGAAGGACTGGGGACCTAGAGGTATAATGTGGTGTGTGTGTGTGTTCTTGTGGGACTCACCCTCTGTGTATCCACAAGACTGCGTTAGGGCCTGGCAGTGTGTAAGAAGTGCAATCCGTGTCACTGTCACGCCCAAAACACTCCCATCTTTACAGGTCTTATACTGTAAAACAATAAACAGTGTCATACAGGGCAATCATTAATAAAAATGAATGCATCAAATCCGTTTACAAACACAGTCTGCATGGCCGTTAACGCACTACTGTAAGAGTGAATGTAAAGAAACCTGTGAAGAACTTGTCCAAGTCCCTTTTTAAAAAAAAATTATTATTCTTTTTAGACATTTAAAGGGTTAGTTCACCCAAAAATGAAAATGATGTCATTAATGACTCACCCTCATGTCGTTCCAAGCCCATAAGACCTCCGTTCATCTTCGGAACACAGTTTAAGATATTTTAGATTTAGTCTGAGAGTTTTCTAGCCTGGCTGCGCCCTCCTACGCACTTACGCTCAATTTCATTTTCCTTCAGTACTACGTCTGGGACTGCTGTATATTCTTAGGTTTCCAGAAATAAATTTTTTGTAGGACCAATCAGCGAACAGAGGGAGTGGCTGAGAACGATGACGTTGATGTAGCGCGTCAGTTTGAGTTGGAGTTCAGTAACGGCAGCGGAGAAAGACGTGAGAAAATCTATTCGGTCCGTTGTTGCAAAACTGCTGAATATCCAGAAGTTAAAGCCGGAGCAAGATCAATGTTTGCTAAGTGTTGTTGGTGGCCATGATGTTGTGGCCCTCCTCCCCACGGGGTTCGGGAAAAGTTTGATTTTCCAGCTCACTCCGCTAGTGGTGAATGAGTAGTGGTCCGTAGATGAACGGAGGTCTTACGGGCTTGGGACGACATGAGGGTTAATGACATAATTTTCATTTTTGGGTGAACTAACCCTTTAACTTTTGAGGTTTTTATTATTTTCCTTAGATTCTCATTACTGTAATACATTCAATTACAGTAGTACAACGTCAAATTTTTTAATTGATTTTTTTTTTTACTTTTAATAATGTTTTTTTCATACTAATTGCTTGATAATTGGAATTGATAATGGTAATTGGAGAACATTTTATAAAATTTTAATATAATAATACCTTTTCAATATTATCTATATAAAATTTAGCTTTTTTTCTTCCCAGTAATTATAAATGAGTAAAAATGTGCTTTATTGAATAATATATTTTTTTAAATTTTAATAATACTTTTTTCATCTTATGTATATAAAAAATTGCTATTTTTGTGATAATTGGGGGATTTTTCTTCTTTTTTAAAGTTTTTCTTAACTTTTAATAATCTTACTTTCATATTACATAATTAATGAGCTTTTTTGCTTTACAGTAATAAGAATTGAGGGGAAAATGTGCTGTATTGTCATAAAGATACCGTTCACTATGCCAAAATCTCAATGGTCCTAAAAAAGGAAAAATTTCCTTTAAGTAAAATATAATTTCATATTTTTCTTTTGATTTTAGTAGTGAAGTGTCTTCTTCTGTACATGTTTGTCATACTGTACTGAAAAGGCGTGCAGTAAAACAGAAATCAAACATCGGCCCAGCACCGTGGACATCTGACACCCAGCCACTTTGCACAGACTCTCAGATTTCTGGGATCTGGTGAGGAACATTGAGACAGCTCACTCAAAACTGGTTCAATAACATGAGACCAGCCCCACTCCATCAACCAGCATCTCCTACAAGAGTCCTGATTCACAATTAAACAAACATTAATCATTTATCATCCATTATCCAGCGACTCTCTAATGGAGGCAGCTGTGCCCGGCATGCTGATAGGAAATATTGATTTCTGTGGCTCGAGACATAGAATATCTACCAATCAGATATCATAAAACAATTAAAGTGGCTGGTGGGTGCAGCATATGGAAAAACAATCCCAGACTGTTGGTTTCCACTTCGGGAGAACGTTTGTGTGTGTGTACGGCCGGTAAAATAATTTGAATAAACTGATATTTCCATAACAGTCATAATTCCATGGGTTAGCTCACTTCTATGTAGGCGGTGTCGTCATTTGCATCTTTGATGTGAGGGAACCAATCACGTGGTGGCTTGGACAGGTGTTTGGATTCCGTGACGAACCATAGCAGCTTTGGCCATCCTGATGAGTGGGTGGGACCAAACAGAGAGAACACATAAATATTCATACCAATCTATTAATATTCATGCAGCTTGATGAGTCAACCATGACTATCATTACCATTATTAGTAGTGATTATCATTCAAAAGAATGATAGTGAGTGATTAGGGTGACTGGCTAAATGACTATGTGCGTCAGGATGAGAGTAAGTCCGTCTTTTCTCTGTCTTCGGGTAAATGACTATCCTCTCGGGACTTCTTAATCATTACAACAATATCACAGAGTCTTTACTTCTACATTTTCTATTTATACCTTCTCTCGTCTTACTGCGGCCCAGACAGGGCAAAAAATGCTGACTGCTAGCACTCTGGCTCATATAACATCACACGCATGATACGGCACATCATGCTCTGGATGTTTGCTCGCCGGTCCAACCAGATTCTCACTATTTTAATATATTTAACTATTTAATTTATTCCTGTGATGGCAAAGATGAATTTTCAGCATCATTACTCCAGTCTTCAGTGTCACATGATCCTTCAGAAATCATTCTACTATGCTGATTTGGTTCTCAAGAAACATTTTTATTATTATCAATGTTGAAAACACTTGTGCTACTCATCATTTTTTCAGCATTCTTTGATGAATAGAAAGTTGAAAAACTTTTTTTAGAAACAATGTTTGCAAACTGTGGCTGGTGGTTTACATGTCAATCAGATGGTCTCTTCCTGTCTAAGTCGACTCAGTGGTTCTTGCCCATATTTAGCTGAAAAGAGGACTGGTCTTTATGCTTATATTCTGGCTACATGCCACTATACATCACTTTTGGAGTTGTGAATTAATGCACTGACCTTTGAACTGTGGTATTTCCCCAGTGGGTCCTTTCGGAAGGCCTTTGTGGCAAGCGTCACTGGTCAGAGCCACTGTAACCCCACAACTGCCCAGGAGAAAACCGATCTGTTGACTTCCTGCATCCTAATACACACACACACACACACACACACACAGAGAGAGAGAAAGAGAAATAGGCTAAGACCAGCTAACATCCATCATCAGTACAGCAGCAAAATACACTGCAGGGGAGGTGACGGCCTACTTATTACAGACAGCACACTGAGAAATTATGTTTACCCATAATACCTGAATATCTCTTTTATCTTTGATGGATAACAATGGTATTTGAATATGGTAATCATTAGTGTCATGGCATTTGCAATTCCAAGGTCATTGCTTCGATTTCCTTATAAAATGCCTAGCTTGAATGAAATGTAAGTGGCTTTGGATAAAAGCATCTGCCAACTGCATAAATGTAAATGAAAACGGTATTATCATCGGACACAATCACAATCACACAATCATGGTTCTCCCACAGTAGTTTTTCTGTAAGGCTTTTGCTGTGCTATAAGTCAAACATGCAGAAAAACACACAGCTGCTATTGGACTGGACAGAAGTTTATTGGTTTCCTAAGTGCACTGCATGCAGAGGAAGCCAGAGAGTGTTCTGCCAGTTTCCAGGTCCTTTCCTGGAATTTTTGGACTGATGATCATGCTGACTCTTGCCAAAGCTGCTCTCCTCCTCTACTTCGACCACTAAAATTCGACAGACGTATCTGAGGCAATACCTCAACCTCGAGGGGTCTGCGCTGATATATTCAGCCTGACATACTGAAAAGATAACGGATCTCAAAATAGACAGAGACCTGGAGAGCGAGACACTGCAATATTTACAAGGTCAAGTTTCCAAAAGGCCTTTGTAATACGTTACCATTAAACATGAATAATAAACAAATATTAATATTTTGCACTGTAAAGACTGTTAGTTTGGCACTCGATAGTGTGAATCCATGCTGAGAAGAAAGATCTGCAGGGGAGGATTGTGTGTAGGTAGGAACTATAACTTGTTACGGTGTCAAAAATGCAGACCTGAAGGTTTAAAGAATGTGACAGTCATTCATGGACTCTCATGGTGGTATATTTAGTCTCACCTTTCGGGTAAGTGGCACTTCGATAGGTACGGGCACCACCTCTGCCAGAAGGCAGCCGTAAAAGGCGACCATAAAGGCAGCGGGATCGTTGTTGGGGAACACAAGAGCCACCTGCTCGTGGAGTGATAAGAGAGGAAAGGTGTCAGACTTCAGACACGAGCGTATGCTAATCTGACAGGGACATGCTTTAAAACCGAGGCATGCGGCAGGAAACGACACTGTCATTAAAGGAATGTTCTGGATTCAAAACAAGTTATGTTCTATGTTCAGCATCTGCGGCATGTTGACGATTACCACAATCATTTTGATTCGTCCCTCGTTATGTTAAAAAAGACAAAATTGCACATACGTCGATATAATGGAAGTCTCTGTAGCAAGGCGTTCCAGAGGGTTTCAAAGCAGCTCGAATTTTGTGTCATTTTGTTAAAGCGCTTTAATTCGTGTTTTTTTTTTTTATCATCCTTTTACCAGTGTAGGCTACTATTTACACCGTAAAAAGTGAATACAGGCAGATTTAAAAGTTACTTTTCATATTAAAAAATGTATTTGTTTTAACATTTAACTAGTTAATTTAAAAAAAAGGTGTATTTTAGCAATCAAACCTTGCCTCATAGATGTGCATTAGTGAACACACAATATTTGCATATTTGAAAATAATGTTCTGTGGTAATCGACAGCATGTAGACGTTAACTTGTATTGAACTTGCAATTTTCCTCTAATGAGGGGATCTGGTTCTAATAGGTTCAGTCACACTCACCCGGTCTCCTGGTCGGACCATTGGTTCCTGTTTTGTGCCCAGTTTGTGGAGGATGTTGTACGCTACTTTGATGCTCCGAGACCAAAGTTTACCTGTGTAGAAGGAAGTACAGAAGAAACTGTCTTTTATGGGGTCAGTTCACCAAAAATGCCTAGTAGTTTAAGGTTTTTGAAAGAATTATCTTATGCTCACCAAGGCCGAAGTTATTTTAATATACAGTACAAATAGTAATATTGTGAAATATTATTACAATTTAAAAACAATGTTTTCTATTTTAAAATACTTACATTTATTTATTCCTGTGATGGATGTTGAAAACAGTTGTGCTGCTTAATATTTTTGTGGATTTTTTTGATAAATAAAAGTTGAAATAAAAATCCTTTGTAACACCATAAATGCCATTAATCTAATTTGTGATCAATTTAATGCATCCTTGCTGAATACAAGTATTCATTTCTTTCAAAAAATCCTAAACTTTTGAACGGTAGAGTAGGTAGGCACCAAGTTTGACGTGAATGCGAAACGCCATTGGTTGTTGCATCTCTTAACCAAGAACCGACAGTTTGAATAAATGTATATGGAAGTGCAAATGAGATTAAAGGTAAAGAGGGATTTTCAGGGAATAATGAAGTAAGTTCCCTTTTGGTCCTGCCACAAAGCTATCGTATGACTTCAGAGTCATATGGAGTACTTTTATGGTGCATAAGAAAACTAAGCTCTACACTCAGAAAACTGTGAAATAGAGAAAGAGAAAAAAGAGAAAAGATTACACACACTAAAGGGCAAGTGAAGGACAAACATGGACTGAGACCAAATGGCCAGATTTCTCAAGGTTTAAGCATCTGGATGAGTCAGACACAGGGCGTTTCAGAATTGTATCTTCTCTGTCCTGCTGAATTTTTGACCTTCTGTTATCAGGATTTAACTCATGGCTATGAAGCCCCAGTGAAAGCAAAACGGTGCGCATGAGATAGTGATCTCGCTTTATGTCTGTGTTCTGTGGAAAGTTAATTACTCTTTTGATTTGAGCGAGGATTTTAACGAGCTAAGGAGGAGGGTGATATTCCTCGGTGAGCTCTGGGGGGAGGGGGTGTTAATGCGCCACACAAACAGCCTTTGCCATTCATTTTCTGGCTCACATTGCAACCTGTGTGAGTGGCAGTGGAGGTTGTCTTTTGGTCAGGGTTTTGAGCGTCCTGATGATGTGTGTGTGTGTGTGCGTAAAGAAGAAGAAATGATGATGCTCAGGTGGCTTAATGAACATTTTCAATAAGATGATCAAAAGAAGAAAAGAAAAGAGGAAATACCAATCCATTACAGCAGACACACACACTGCAAACCCTTCCTCACACTCTCACCAGTGATGTGCAGGATCCTCATCGAGTAAAATCCCTACTGTGTGTGTGGTGTGAGGTGACGGAGACCGTCACCTCACACCACACACACACACTACACAAAAAAAAGCCCTATATGATCTCCCTCTCGTGTCGGAGCATAAATAAACAAGGAGACAAGAGTATTTCTGTTACTATAAAATGAACAGGTATATCAGTATATTCCGAGCACCAAAAACACACTATTTTCACACTTAAAAATGCCAATGCATTAATGCAAAATATCAAAAACAAGTGGCATCTGCAAACAAATTATGCTTTTCTCAGAACTAACTAGATTTTTTTAATAAAAAGACTTGTTTGTGCAAGTCTTGTTTGTAAAGTGTTTGTGCTATTTCTTTAAAATAAATAGTGCTACTTTGTTTGACATATAATAAATATTTTGTTTATGATATAATATAAAATATGAGTTATGATAAAATAAAATAAATAAGACAATTATACATTAAGAATAACTTAAGTGTTGAAATACTTTTCGGGGTCACTGTATCAGACTGTGTGGTCCCAAATAATACTCCGAAATATGAAAGAGTTTATGAGTATGAAAAGTATCACATATTATATGATTCTGCTCTAATATTAGGGGTGCAACGGATCAAAAAACTCACGGTTCGGATTGTTTCTCGGATCAGAGTCACGGATCGGATAGTTTTTCGGATAAGCAAAAAAGACAAAAAGACAAAACTTATGTTTATTTGTCTTATTAACACTTTTAAATTATTAAATTAAAATATATAAAATCAACTTAAAGTGCACAAGGCATAATATCGTATTTTTTAGAGATATTAGGGGGGTTGACTGGTTGAGTTACCGAAACAGGCCAATCAGGATGCTCTCTGTCTTACATGCGCACACACGCAAGGTCTCTCGCTCTCTCCCTCTCTGCCGTTCGCGTCGTATGTTATGCGCGCAGTATGTTCCGTCTCGCACGCGCGCTCTAGATTCCGGGAGATTTTAACTAATTTGCGGGCATCAGGGAGCCGCTATCGATATGCGGGATTTTTATAAGTTAAGTTTTTTAGGTCAATTCAGCGCAACTCCGGACTGTCCGGCCAAAATCCGGACGTATGGCCACCCTACTACACACACCGTCACGGTTTTATCCACTAACCTCTTTCCTTCATCATTATATTTGACAGGGAAGCCAAAATGCTCCCATATATGGGGATTTAAATGACGCGGGGCGTTCAAGCTCACGTCCTCCGATCGCCATGACCACGCTGTGGAGATGTGTGTGGACTAAACATGCGTAGGACACACGCACGCACGCGCACACACACCTACATTTTGTTTTTTTCATAAATCAATCCGCGGATCACGTGTGTGCCGAACCGAAGATATTGATCCGAACGGATCACGGATCAATGATGATCCGTTGCACCACTATCTAATATATTATTATTTTGTTCCAGTATGTTTGTATGCAGATGTTGGTCATTTTATGTATGGCTGTAGTTAAATATGGTTATATTACCATAAGTAAGGACGTAGAGGGGTTTGCCGTTGGTGTCCATGGTGGTCAGGCAGGGCGCTTTAGGCGAGATGGTCCCCCAGCGCTGCAGTGCAGCTTCCAAAGATGGTGGCCAATTAGTGACCACTCCCAGCGGTTCCCCTCGAATAGCAATCATCTGAGCGCCCTCCGGCCGTGGCTGGTTGGGGTCAGGCTGCTGGACTGAATGAAACAAGATGGAAGGGGCAAAACATGGCCATTTAGGAGGCAAAAAATCATCCATGTTTTAGCAAATTGGTTCAATGAACAGTGAATCCTTAAATCAACGGTTCATTTGAATCATCACTGGTGTTTATGTCAAGACATTTAATTAAATGCTGATGTTCATTACAATGTTTTCAGTTAGCTGACTTACTGTAGCTGATTTGGATGATTGATTCAACCAAATCATTCAAAACAACCGATTCAAAAGATTGTTTTGTTTGCGAATCAGGCATCATTATGTGTGTTTGTTTATAAGAATAGCTCCCAAAAAAAAACTGTGAAACTGTGATGATGAGTCAAACACTCACCTTCTAGGAGCTCTTCGAAATCATCAACAAAAAACTCTCGAAGCGGAGGCCGTCTGGGCTGCTTTAGTGTGTTCACAAGTTGCTGGATTTTAGCTGAAACACGACTGCTAACAGGGACTCCTATGAAGCACACATACATGTTAATGCACAAACGCACACAAACCTTGACAAAACAACAAGCAAAAACAAAAGGAATATAATCACTCATACATAAATCAAATTTTCCTGAATCTGCCTGAATGAGCCTATTAACACACACACACAAGGCTGTCTGGGTCTAAATGACTAGCCGTAAACGGATTAGATGGACGGCTGAATGTGCACAATGAAGATGTTTCAACTCCCCACTGTTGTGTATACTTCCGTATCAAACACCTCAATTTTCATCTTACCCCTAACAAATCAATTTTACAAACATTATTGATTAATGCCTCTGACAGATGCAGTCAAATCCAGCCTTCAGGGGCGTCCCCAAGAGATCACATTAAAGCGTAATAATATAAGAGTGGGATCAATGCCCTCAATCACAGCTTATATATATATATATATATTTCAATTACTGAAAATCATTTAATAAAACCATTTTGGTGTACATAATGCTTTAAGTATCATGAACTAACAGTAAACAATACTTTTATAGTATTTATCCCAGCTACCACCACTGTGTCCTTAACCCCAGGTTGGTGCAGGGGGACTATATGCTAGTTGCTCTGTATAAAACCATCTGCCAAAATAAATATGGTTAGGGTGGAAGAGAAATGCTAGATGGGTTGTCAAAATGATTGAGGAAAATGACTCATGTAAATCTTTCAAAGCTCATTGTAATGTTTGAAATGAAAACGTCATTACTGTCTCTAAAACCTCACTCCTTTTCTTTCACACACATTATTGTGCCCTCACCATCTCCGGTCTCCATGAGTTCGGCGTTGCCATATTTGGGAGTGGTCCGGGGTACGGTGGACACCTGTGGCCTCTCAACCTGAACGGGATGTTCGGAGGTGTAGGTGGTGACGTCTGGAGGGGCTGAGTGATTCTCTGGATTTGGGAATATGAGGAGGAACCAAAATGCAGGATGAGAAACTCTAGCTTTAGCTGTTTAAGAGCATGGAAATGGTTATAATATATATTGACCAGAAAATTACCCACTTGAACCAGCCGTAAACCAACTATCATGTTCCATAAATTGATATCTGGTTCAAATTGGTCATTTGCTAAACAATCTATATTATACATTGAATAACCAATCCAATGGCCAGCCCTAACCACCTATAAACCAGCTGGCAACTGTTTTTGCAGCTAATAACTGACTATCACATTCCAAAAAAACGTTTGAACTGGATTGACTAGAAGGATTTCAGTCCTAGCTGCATTTGATAAAGAGCCCTGACACACTTGGCACATTGTTTACGGTTAAAAGGAAGAGGGTGGGAGGCATAGAGGAAGTGATTTTGAGGGAAAACATGCACATGTCTCCGAAAGAGAGAGACGGATGGAACGAAGAGACACAGAGGAGAGCTTTTTCATCCTTTCCTTAATTACAGTCCCTTTTACTTCCACTCGGTGAGTCCGCTGGGCTTCTCTCTCACCGTTCACCCTCCTTCTCAGATCATAAATTCTCAGCTGTCTGCGGCTTCTTTCTCATTCCCCTCAGCTCGCTCCTGAAACGTCTCTTTCACATTCGGTGCCCTTGGCTGGCACGTATTACCATTATGATATTCCTACAGAGTTTGTGTGGTCTAACGTCAAGTAAATAAATGTCACTTTCCTTTTTTTGTACGATTTCAAATGGCAGATGTCAGTGGGTGAGCCTTTCACTAAAAGCTCATAAAGTGTCACAAGTTTCCTACAATTTCATCCCACGCTCCAATCGAGCCGTTCAGAGAGAAATAACCGGCCGTGTGTAATTTCGACACCGGGAACGAGGAGAATGCCAATGAGGCAGCACTATTTCTCCTCCACCATAAAACACGCAAAATGGCCCTAACAGAAACGTCCACTGTGATCAAGGACGACACAGTCCAAGGCTTTTAGCTGCTTAGCTTTAGTTCAGCAAAGATGGTTTTCAATGTAATGGAACTTTATGCAGACCCTGAGTTCGTATCTGACTGATATGATACATTAATATCAAAATTAGATAGAGTGGTATATTTCAGTGCATTACTTTATACAGTAGAGAAACTGTTCCTTTACTGCTCCATTTCATAAATCATTTTGTTTCTGACCCGTATTATCATGTATAAATATAAAATGAAGTAGTCATAAATCTGGTAGAGATAAGTCAACAGAATGAACGTGATTAAGCGAGATGCCTCCTGTCTGAGGAATCGTGCCAAGCACAAAAGGGGATCGTGATGAAGGATGTGACTAAGGAAGGGCACGACCCCTGGACCGGGCTTCCACCCACCATCAGTACTAAGTGTCTCTACTGCTACTCCCCCTCATCTCCAGGAGGGCTGGGTAAAAATATTGATGTGACTACCAGTGCGGCTCAATTCACGATTGAATGATCCTTATGAGCCTGTTCTTTTAAAACATCCAACATTACCATTATAGTCTGATTCTTGAACAAAAGACCCGAAGTCGGTTCCTTTTAGTGAATCAGTAACATACAACATTAACAGTGTAAATGACTCTTGTGAGCTGGTCCATTTTTCTTAATCAAAACAGGGTAGTCCGAATCATGAAAGAATGACTCTTTTGAGCCGGTTCTTTTTAGTGAATCAAAAACATACAGCACAACATGTAGCTCAATTACTGAATGACTCTTGTCAGCGAGCTGGTTCTTTTTAAGCAAATCAAAAACATACAGCGGAACGTCTAGTTTATTCAAAAACAAATTTATTTTATGAGCGTGTTCTTTATTTGCGAATCAAAAACATACAGTAGGCTATGATGTGTAGCTTGATTCTCAAATGAATGACTTAGGGTGCTTTCACATCTGTAGTTCGGTTCATTTAGTCCAGACCAAGGGCGAAAAATGACACTTTGTAGCACTTTTCAGGCATTTTGGTTCCTTTTCACACCACACTGACTGCTCTGGTCCGAATCAGTTGATGAAAACGAACCAAAATGCAGTCACGTGACAACATTCACATCACTCGTTGGCCAGATGCTGCACTTCGATTGGTCAAAATTAACGTGCGGGAAAATTCCACAGATCTATAAAGCCCCCTTTCCCTGAGCTGAAGATTTCGCTGTTCATCGAGTTTTTGAAAGTTGGGACCTAATTTGGTCATCAGACCAAATTTCTATGAGGCTCTGCACCTCCTCACAACTCCAAGTTTGTCCGTGCAAACTGTCAACAAACATTAGTTCTCATCCCATAATGCACAGTGCAGCTGACTACGGAAGCTGGTTTAGTCCAAAAATGCGCAGTTCTTTGGTAGTTGGGTCTGTTCGAGGTCAGATCACGTTCTCACCACAAACAAAGCGCTCCAGAGTTCGTTTGAAAGCGTCGGTACACTTGTTTGGTCCGCTTTTGGTGCGCACCCGAGTGCGATTGCTGCATTCACACCAGCCCAAACTAACCGGACCAAGGGGGACAACGAACTCTATTGCGATTCAACTTAACTAAATGAGGCAGGTGTGAAAGCACTTTAATATGAGTAAGTCCTTTAGCAAATTAAAAACATAGAGTGTCATCAGTGTAACCTGATTCAAGAACAGATGAGAAAATATTTTTTTGTGAATCAAAACCATAAAGCGTTACCAGAGTAGTCTGATTCTTGAACAAATGGCTGTTATGAGCTGCTTGTTTTCTAATCAATAACATACAATGCAACCTGCGTAGCCTAACTCAGCAACAAATTATTTTATGAGCCTTTTTAGTGAATCAAACATATACATTAGAGAATAGAGAACAGCAACCAGAATAGTTCGGTTCATGAAGAAATTACTCTTATGAGCTGCTTCTTTGTAGTGAATCAATAACATACAGCATGACCAGTGGAGCCCGACTCCTGAAACAAATAACTCCTATGAGCCAGTTATTTTAAAGAATAGTTCAAAAAGATAAGTTAGTGGTCCGAAACATTCAAAGCATTGTTGGAGAGATTTTATTCCATCTGTAAGAATATGTAAGCAAAATTAATATCATAGTTAAAATACCCCCAAATGAATTGGAATCTAATCAAATCAGAAATGGAATCAAATTAGCATGAGAGCTTTGTGAATCAGAATCCAGTGAAATTGGGAAATCAATCTCCAGCCCTAATCTCCAGACTCCCTCCCAGCCTCATATTAGACCATCCTGCCTTATATACTACCTCATCTCCTGCTTCATCACTGGCCTCCCTGCCTCGTCTCCTGCCTTTATCATCCGTGATGAGTGTACGAGAAAACACCCAGCAGCTAGAGTCCTTACGTAACAGGCTGAAAATAACCCACATCTAAACTCTCTCCCTCTATCACTCTCTCTCTCTTTCTTCACCCCACCCCCCTGCTCTTCAGTGACACGGACACTAATGTGGTGGAAAAGGAGTTTCCTCAAAGCCCAGAGGTGCTTGCAGGAGAACAAATAAAAATGACATCTAGAGTCACGTGAGAAAACCTGCTGGCAAATCTGCGTCACTGAGACTAGAAAACCCCAGACAAACAGATTATTTTTAGTCTGGAGAGATGCATGAGAATGAATATTACAATCAGTTTTCATTCATTACTACATTCAAATGAGAACATCTTTGGTTTAAGTACTGTTCAAAAACATATAAACTGAAGTATGTGATATAAGCAATTTATCAAAACACTTAACCTAGAGTTGAACAATTTTGGGTTGGTGAGATTTTTTTTAATGTTTTTTTAAACAAGTCTCTTATGCTCACCAAGGCTGAATTTATTCTATCAACAATACAGTAAAAACAGTAATATTGCAAAATATTATCATTTAAAAGAACTGTTTTCTATTTGAATATATTTTAAAAATGTAATTTATTCCTGTTGTCAAAGCTAATTTTTGCAGCATCATTACTCCAGTCTTCAGTGTCACATGATCCTTCAGAAATCATTTTAATGTGCTTTGTGTAAATCGTGATACTTTCTTTTTTCAGGTTTCTTAAAAGAATATAAAGTTCAAAAGAACAGAATTAATTTGAAATAGAAACTTTTTTAACACCATACATGTATTTACTGTTACTTTTGATCAATTTAATGCATCATTGTTGATAAAAAAAGTATAAATTTCTTTAATAAAAATAAAAAAATCTTATTGACCCCAAACTTCTGAATAGTGTATGTATGACATAAGCATGTGCCTGTGTTTCAATGAGAAAATTATTTCAATGGTTAAATGCAAATAACATTTAGAGAAATAATCATGCATGTTTAACAGATAAACACACAGGTAGCACAAAACACTGACATTTAAAGCAATAGTGCACACAAAAAAGATATCTCTCTTATCATTTTACTCACCATCATGTTGTTCCAAATCTGTTTAACATTCTTTCTTCAGTGGAACATAAAAGAAGATATTATGCAGAATGTCTCAGCTGCTCTTTTCTATGCAGTGTAAGTGAATGGTGACAAGCATGATTTTAAAACTTCATTTGGGTTATCATTTGGGTTCAGAAGACTTGGAAAATAGTGTCAAACTTTTATGGACAACTTGTATAATGATTGTATGGTGCCTTTTTGTGGTAGCCACCGGTCACCATTCACTTTCAGTGTATGAAAAAAGGCAGTGTGAACATTTATGTTCCTTTTGTTTTCCACAGAAGAAAGAAAGACATACATATTTGGAAAGTTTAAAGGGGTGAGCAAATATGACAATTTCAAATTTTGAGTGAACTATTCCTTGAAAAACACAAAGTAGGGAATGAACAACAACGATTAGCACATAGAGACAAAGAATGGACATCTAAAAGCAGACTGGACGCCTGAAAGAACAGCATTTCACACTTCATAATTTAATTAAAAAAACATAAATATTTAGAAAACACACAAGGTACACAGTCACTACTACTCACAGAGAGACCATATCTCAAATTCAACAGCACAAACAACGTCTCATAACTGTTCTAAGAGAACTGTGCTCACTTAATCGTACATACACAGAAGAATTGACGTTCAAACACATCAGGTCATAAGATTCACAGCACGCTACTCCAAACACAAACACACCGAGGGGCCCATCGTCCCCCAGACTCCAGAGAGAACCACATGGAGGACACAAAGACGGTCTGGATGATCGGATGATTGGGGGAAGTTCATGATGTAAGTGTGTGTGTGTAGCATCAGTTAGTATACTGACCATCCGACTCCAAGGGTGGCGGCCAGAGAAGATCTGATCCGAACTCACAGGAGCGCCGCAAATTTCCGTTCTCTGCTACGCCAAGCATAGTTTTCCTTTTCAACGAGAGGTGAGCGATCGGCCCTGGATGGGGAAGGGAGGAAGGGGGAGAACCAGAACCTTAAGAGCCGTCCACTTCCTCACTGACCGCAGGCATGGATGGGCAGGAGGGACGGGGGCTGATGAGCCGAGCATGGACGGTGCCATGTTCCCAACAGAGTAACGAAGACTCTGGATGTCTTGCATGGAAGGGGAAGGGGGAACGGAGAAGGTGGGAATGATTGAGCATTCCTACAGGGGGACCCACACTGCCATGTTTCTCCCAACGGTACAGGACAAATATGGGAAAACGGGACAAAAGCAACAACCTAGGAAGCACTTGTAGCACTTTGTGCCTGGTCCAGTGTTTAAAAATTTCCGAGAGAGACATTAACCATCCTTGCTGTGTTCCTAAATACGCACTAACAATGTTCTGAGAGCTTCGAACACGACCGAGTCTCTTGAGGTTGGTTGTCTGCTTTTAGATGGTACCACAACATTATCATGTAGGAGGACAAAAAGGAAGTAAGAGAGAGAGAATCGAAAGGCTATTTTACACGGTGACTGCGAGTTCCCAGTTTATTTTCAAGGTGCCAGAGAGGAGGCGGCAAGGAAAGCTTGCCAAGATTGTGTGTGTCGTTGACCAATCACAAGATTTTATGTGTCAGTATTCTCCAACCAATCAAACTGCATTTAGTTTTAATGTTTTTAGTCACTTTCAGAATTGATGCGTCTAAAATTGCTCCCTGCTGCCCTCACAATGTGAAAGAGTAAAAGAATGAGTGATTTCAGACACAGCAAATGTCAGCCCACCAATCACATTTATTTCTATTCATGGTTAGCCTATTTTATAGGCCATTTTTATTTTATTTCCTGCTCAACAAAAACAGCCTACATTGGTGAGTTGGTCTTCGGGATTGGTCAAGCTGTTTGTTTAGCTGGTTTTAAAGAAGTTTTAGGCATTTTTTAGCATGTGAGACTAGCTAAACCAGCTAAGACCAGCTTAGCCAGGCTCACAGAACAAGAACGATAACTGTAACTATGTTTTAATAATAGTTTTAATTATTTGAGAATAGTGTCCACACCACAACTATAAACAGAACGACACAGAGAAATTATATCGATGGACTCACTTTTGGAACAATTTTTTTCCAGATGGTAAACGATTAAAACATTGACAGCCAATCAGAATCCACCCGACTTTAAAAAGCTCATGTGTTTAAAGCGAGATAACTTCAGTGTGTGCTTATTATTGTCTTTTCATGTGGACGACAATGAAGTTACAGTTATCTTTATAGTTATCCTTCTTGGTGTGAACGGGCCTTAAACCTGCTATTAAAATGGCTGGATTTTTTTTTTAACAGGGTAGGTTAATTATCTATGTCTTATATGAAACATGGAATATAATACTTACAGTAATCACTTCATTCAGAAATGTTTTCGCTGAGCTAAAGCAGTAGCGGGCAACACTTGTGTGTATGGAAAAGAGCAGGTAAAACTTATTGCTTATCGTGCACCGTGTAAAATGCCCTTAGGAAGAAAGAAAATGGGGAAGGTGGAAAGAAATGAGGATAGAGTGATTTAAAACACACAACAGAAAGGAAAGTTGAAACAGGAAAGGGAAACTGAGGTAGAAAGTGAGGGGAAATAAAAAGATATGAAGGGAGAGAGGTAACAGGACAGTGTGAAAGAGATGAGTTCCTTTCTTTAGACATTAAACTGCTCCACAGGGCATTCCTACATGCCATCATAGCTCTATTAAGACACCAGAGTTCATCACTTAGCCACAGTCTACAACTCTAAGCCCTCTGGATACAGAGGGTTCGTGAGGTTTTTGAAAATGAGTATTCTGTCTTTCACTGGCCTCTGAGTGGAGGAGGGGAAATTTGGAGTAAAACTCTTTCCTCTTCCTGCTGCTTTCTTTGTTTACATTAAAAATCAGCTGGCTGGATAGATTTAGCATCTGTTCAGCACAGGTTAGTCAGGAGGACTACTTTAAACAGATAGAACGGGGAGGTGTAACTGACTCTATGTTGACTGAATTGTCACCTCAGGGCTCAACAATAAGGATCTTTTCTGCTGGTCCGGTTAGGCCAGTAGATTTGTACACAACAACAAAACCAAAAAAAAATCTTAAAGAAAACAATACTAAATTAAATTATGATTTTTTTTTTATTAAATAAACAAATAATACATAACAATTAGACATGTGCCGGTATTCGGTAATGCGATAAATCGCGGTAATGAATATGCACGATATTGTTATCGCGGGGACTTCGAAATACCGTGAAAAATAATAGATCCGAATTTAGATTTTTAGAACGCGCATCAGCTTATTTTCCATCAACCGCTTAAAAAACAATGCGTATGCTGCGCAAAACACGTGCGCACTTTGATGTAAACAATCCCCACATCACATGTATAAGCACTGTGTGCATGCAGTGCGCACTCTAGTCTAATGTAAACAATCCTCACATGGAGAAGAAGCACGGCGGAGGAACGCTGCCGACTATTTATCCCCCGCATGGCTGCCAACTCTCACGCATTCAGCTTGAGACTCACGCAATTGACACTTTCACACGGTCTCGCGCCACACATCCATTTTCTCACGCAGAGAAAAATCGCGGAGCAAAGAGGACACTGACACCGACAGACTAGACAGAGCAGGTTACTTTTGATATGAAAAAAATATCAGCTCTCAGGTTTTATAACGAAATTCAGACAATAAATACTGTTTTGGTGCTTGTAAATGACGTGACAGATCGCGCGCCTCAGTTCAAGTAAACAGATCATCTGTTACTTTTTATTAAAGATACAGTACAACCCACCGAAAGGTACGTACTTTCGATCAATCAGTGTTTTTCAACCACGGAAAGAGGTCAATAACACTGCAGGAGAACAATTATGTCACAGAACGTTACATTTACCTCAGGAAAGCCATTTAATGTTAGTTGACTATAAGAAAATAGCTATAGAGAGGAGTATTTTGCTAAATATGTGCACTATATTACATATTTTAATATATGTTTACTTGTCATTATATAATTGTTATTATAATGAAAATTACGGCATATTACATTTTTATATTTATATTATTATTATATTTATATTGTATGCATTATATTTAATTTCTCTCTGTATGTTTACAGCATTATGTGAGATATATTTTTTCTTGAGAAAAAAATAAATGCAGGCTATCTACTGTAGCCTACCTAATATTTATCCAAATGAGTCAATATTGAATCAAGATTGAAATTAAATCCAAGAATTTAATTGAAATCATGAAAATTGTGTTAAGCAATAATACAAACAGTAGCCTCAGTAACTGTACCATGTAAACATTATAACATGTTGTCACTAAAAAATAAAATTAATGTTTTGACAATCACAATTACACATTGTGATGCAAGTTTTTTTTAGATACCCCCAATCCGTCTGTTTCTCTTGTGCAATTAAAATATCGTGATAATACCGTATACCGTGATAAAAGCTCAATCAATTAATCGCAGCATGAAAATTTGATACCGGCACATGCCTAATAACAATAGTAAATATTAAATTAAATTATAATAATTTTACGGGCTTTTACATGTGTCAGAAAGAAATACATTTATATTTTTTTATTGAAGATTTGTTTTGTCTTTTTGTTTTAAAGAAGAAAATTCTAAAAAGAAAACAATTAGGGATATAAATCTATACATAAGGAACTGATTGGGTCATGAAAAGATAAAAAATAAAACAATATTTTAAACATATATTTTTAGCGACAGGCTTTTATATGGGCCAGAAAGTAATATATTTATTTATTTGTTATTTTCTTGAATATGAATTTCTTAATTTTTTTCTTTTTCCTTTTTTTCTTTTTCCTAAATATACATTTTATATAAATAACCTATTTTATGATTATTGATTATATATAATTATTATTTAAAATGTAATTACTTACAATAATATATCATTTATACTTATGTTTTTAAACAATAATAACATGGAGTTGCTGTGATTTATGATTTGACCCATTCAAACGGTTGCTGCGAGACCTATCATAAATCATTTGCACAATTAAGACAGACTTAGCGACATAAATTATCAGAATTCACAACAACATCTAAATTAGCACAGAAAATGTTATGTTGGCAAGCCATAAAAACACAAACACGTGATCAACAAATGTAAAACAGTGATCATTGTGACAGTCTTGTTCTCTGCCCCAAAATGCTCTCAAAACTGGCTGCGGACCCTCCTTATTGTTGAGCACCGTGGACAAACATTAATGATTATTTACTGATTTAACAGTTAAACCTGTCGACAGTCAATTTCAGATGCGATTACCACTGATTTATGTCAATGACGGCAAGCGTGGTCCAACGACAGCACAGATATACAATAAGGAGCAAAAGAAGGTGCGGAAAACACACATAGGCGAGGGAGGCAGGGTTTAGAAGCATGGCAGGAGTTGTGGGAGTGAGTGGCTGAGGAATAGATATGGAAGCGGTGTTTTCTGAGGCGGGGCGGGGCGTTACCTGATTTGCCGACATGTGTTTGAGCCAGGACGTCAGCCAGCCGCCCGGCCGCTCCGCTGCCCCCACTCTGCGTTGATGATGAGGAGGAGGAGGTGGTGGAACCCTGGTGGATGGCCCGACTGATCCAGTGCTCCATGCTGACGCTGCCCTGGCTGGAGGTGGGGGTACCCTCACCCTGGCCGCCCTCCTCCTCCGAGCCGGACGAGGTGTCTGTCAGGGGGGGCAGAGAGGAGAGGGGGGAGAGGCCTAGTGAGAGTCACTCAGACCCACTCAACACTCAGCCCAGAAGGTGGACAAGTGCACTTAAAGTCAACATGAAAAGGGATTTGCAACCCATTGGATGGATTTTTAAATGAAAAATAGAAACATTTCCAAAAGAAATTGCATCCTTAAGGAATTGATTCGGCCATGAAAAGATTGATAAAAATAATATATATATATATATATATATATATATATATACCGTAAAACTTCAAATAATAGCCGAGTCCCAAATAGACGCCTGTCTCTTTTACACGCCTGGTGTGGCTGCAGGTTTGGGTAAATAAAAGCCGGTCTCAAATAGAGGCCGGGTCTGTTTTTTAGTTTCGGGTTGTATTTAATCTTCTAAAACCCGTCAGATCGTCCGCTTTTTGGCGGCTGCCAAAGCAAATTTTTGTCCCGCCAAAGCCTTTTTTGATCGGTGAGTGATGTAGAATAGAATGACTGCTGGCTGCGCTTGACAGGGCGCGCGTTACGAGCAGAGCCGGCCGCGCGCGCGCACTCTCACGTCTTCAAACAACACGACGCTGTCCTGCTCTCCCTCGCGCATATTAATCAAAATCAATTGACACGATAGTAAAAGGTCGGAAGACCGCAGTTTTACGTGGAGCATTTGGAGATTTTTAGAGATTAGAGACTCTACGCCTACACTCAATGAACTCTCAACACTAAATTATAAAGGCCTGTCTCATATAGACGCCTGTCTCAAATACAAGCCGGTGCAGTTCGACGATTTGGGAAAATAAAAGCCCGGGCTATTATTTGAAGTTTTACGGTATATATATATATCACTGATTCTTGAGAGTCGGGACAAAACATGTCCCACATTGAAAAGTCTAATTTATAGCAAAAATTAAGAAATTCATCATGTATGACATACTTACAAAGTTAAATCTAAAGGAATTGTATATATCTATCTGATTTTTAGAATAAACTTTTTTATCTTTTTGGGGAAAAGTTGTTTAAATGTATGGTCTGTGGTTAGATGGTCCATGTTATTGCCCTTGTCCTCAGCAAGAGGTTACAATATTAACCATCCCAAAAAACTTTAAAAAAGCTCTACAATTGTGAAAACATATCAAATAAAAAATAAGGGGTATAAATATAAAAAACAATGCATGAAGTGAACATCAAACAATATTTTCCATAAATATCTGCCTATTAAAGTTGTGTCCTCAGTTTCTGTCAACCCCGTCAGATTTTTTCATAAAGCTCTTTAAATCAGGAAATAGCATGGTCAGCTATATCCTTGAGGACCCCTTTTCATCTCCCTGTCTGTGGTGAATGCAGCACTACCACACATGCTCTGGAATGTTTTACATTTTTTAATATTTTAGACAAACAATGTCAATATTCCTATGGTCACAGCTGGACCATGTCAATACCATCTTTCTGTTAAGATACTTTTTTTAAACCATAGTGGATTGAATTTAAGCATTTTAGTGAGGTTATTGGGACAGCTAGCAACTGAGGAAAAACTACCTAGCTGCAGTGTACAATACATGTTTTGGTGGGAAAATACATGCCCTTACGTCAACTCCGTCAGACGTCAACTCCGTCAGGTTCTATGTCTGAAGGAGTTGACCTGTAAGCTGACGGAGTTGACAAATCCACCAATAACCTCTTAATGTGCGAATATAATATTATTTGTGAATATAGTGAAGGGTTAAACTGTTATTTCAGGGTTTTATTTACACATAAATGCACATACATAGCATGCATTACATTATTTAACCATACGCATGTCCGACGCCTGCTGCTCAAGGCATAAGCGCAGGTTAGACAAAAATGAAATCTTAAGTAAGCTAATTGAACCTGATTCTAAGCTATAGATTATGTGTTGCAGTATTGTTGTCAAGGAATGTCAATTTAAGATCACACCCATAAAGTAGGCGGTGCAGGGCAATCACACATCCAACACACTCACACCCCCCCACACACCCCCCCCACACACACACACACACACACACACACACACACACACACACACACACACACACACACACACACACACACACACACACACACACACACACACACACACACACACACACACACACGACACTTTAAAGTAAATGGCTACTTACAAAAGAGGGAAAGGAAGAGGAGAAGAGGTGGATGAGAAAAAGGAGAGCAGGAAGTGGTATAGGGGAGGTAGATGAAAACGGAGGGGGAGGAGGGCCCCTGGTTTCCCTTATTGTTTTTTTTTTTGATAGTTGGAAACGGTGTAATTTATAATAGTTGGAAACGGTGTATGTGCAATATGTTTATTATAGTTTGCTTTACAGTAAGTTCAATACTTTAATAACAAGGAGTAGTTTTAGTAGTAGTTTAAAGAGCACATCTGAGCACATCACAATGCACACATATTTTTTGTCAACACCGTCAGATCTTCATCAACACCGTCAGGTTTTCATCAACACCGTCAGTTTTTCATCAACACCGTCATATCTTCATCAACAGCGTTGGATGTATGTTTTTGTTTTTGTTAATTTTTTGGGGAAAAAAATGTTCTTCCTTCAGTTTATGTTGTTTTTGTAATAAAGGACCATCTGATCTACATCTTCTTATGTTTTATTTATTTAAGGAATTTGTTTTTACAATATTGAAATTAAAATCAAAGTTTGAAAATGCAAATATTTAGAAATCTGAGTTTTCAGAATAGTGTGAAATCACAACTTAAGTTTATATATTGTATTTTTTTTACATATCAGAGTAACTAAACACTATTACAATATACTTCAGAACTTTATATTCTTGTTGGATTGGAAGAATTAAAATTGTATACTTTAAAGTGTGTCTGACGGAGTTGACACAAATTCAGTTCTGAAGGGAAACATGTTTATTTGTTAAAAATGTGTTTTAATTTAGAACCTGTTCCTTTACATGGTTAAATAGTTAAGACCTTTCTCTGCAGAAACATACAACTCTAATTGATATAGTGTGTATTTTAAAAAAAAGTTTTTTAAAACGTGTTTTGTCCCGACTCTCAAGAATCAGTGATATATATATATATTTTTTTTTATATATATATATTTTTAGCAACAAGTTCTTATGTCAAAGTAATATTTTTATTTTTATTACAAGCATTCATTCAAATAAAAATACATAAATGTACGTTATTCAATTATATTAAATTATGAAAAGTGGGCGTTTTAGAAAATTGAGCATTTTAGGAAGGCTGCACTTCATACAGAAGTAGCCTAAAACAATATCGCTATTTGGCTATTGATTACCACTGTTTTCCCTGCCTCCACAGCCTAGATGACATTAGCTGAAAAAGTTGTTTCAGAAGGGGAGCAAAATAACACTGGACCCCATTGACTTTTACTGGTTTAAAAAACAAAACAAACAAAAAACACATTTTTTCCAAATATCTTCTTTTTGAGTTTTGCAGAAAAAATAATGTCATGTAGGTCTGGAACAACATGGAGGTAAATAAATGATGACTGAATCTTTAGTTGTGGGTGAACTATCTTTTTAAGAAAGTAAGAGTGCATTTATTTTTGATTTCATGTTGACTTTAAATAAATGATGATTTAGAATTAGGTGTGAAGCTCACCTGGGGGGGTGTAGGCATCCATAGAGGTCTGTACCACTAGAGATCGTCGTTTGGACGGCATAGGAACGGCCATTTTCCTCTCCTTGTGTTTGGCTAGCGCTGCCTGTACTGCTTCTGTGTGGACATCTGAGGATGTAAAAAACGAGAAATGAAATGAAGTGAATCTGTATTAACTGGCCGCTGACCTCCAAGCTGGTGTTTACAGTGACGTGGATGAGATGAGTCTCACTGGATGATGGTCGTGAGAGTGTGTGACGAGAGCCAAGCCACCACCTCCAGCCCTTCTGTGATCTTGCAATACTGACTCATCTCAGTGTGTGTGTGTGTGTGTGTGTGTGAGAGAGAGAGTTGACTGTACATTGTACCCACGGCTGCACTCCTCGCGCTGACAGAGTCATGGCTTTTAATAATCCAAGCTGTTATTTGGACTCTCTAATGAGATACAGAACAACATATTCCATCAACACACTGACTGTGTTTACACGTACAAGAATATTCCGAGATTCTTATTTAATTACGGTCCAAATGCAGCTAAAGGGAACTGGAAAAGAATGTGTGTGTTCATTAAATATGCGGATTACATGTAAACCACAATATCCCATTGGCTGAGGAAAACGTAAATGTATTTTTCAGAATAAAGACAACCAGAATATAGAGCTTAACAGGGGAAACGCTGTGCATGTAAACATGATCACTGACTAAAAGTCATTAGACTTGCATTGCTCTAACTGATCTTTACAGGAAGTGTTGCACTGATGCTGTTGTTCTCTTCTAATAGACAACTCGAAACAGAATTAGAAAAATAATTAACTTCCATAATATCTCCGCATGAAACACAGAATACAGCAATATTCTGAAATTACACTATCGTTTAAAAGTTAGGGGTCAGCGTGATTTTTTTTTAAAGAAAGATCAAAAGTGACAGTGAAGACTTGTGAAACCAGATTTCTATTTCAAATAAATATCGATCTTTTGCTGAATGCTGAACTTCCTATTCATCAAAGAATCATGAACAAAATGTATCAGTTTCCAAATAAATAACCAGCGCAAATTTTTTCAATAGTGATAATAATAATACGAAATGTTTCTTGAGCAGCAAATCAGCATATTAGAATGATTTATGAAGGATCATGTGACACTGAAGACTCGAGTAATGATGCTGAAAATTCAGCTTTGGCATCACAGAAATTACATTTTCAGTTATATTAAAATAGAAAACAGTAATTATAAATTGCAAAGAATCATTTACAATATTATCATTTTTTACTGTATATTTAAATCAAAGAAATGCTGCATTGGTGAGCATAACAGACCTTTTAGAAAAAAAAACTGACCCCTAACATTTGAACGGTCTAAGGAAATTAAATAGGGTCAAGTTTGATTCCATGTTGTCTTTAAAGTTAGACAGTGGTCAAGGCCTGTTAAGTGCATTACTCGATATATCCAAATAAACCAAAACTAAACCTGAATTTATTTTTGGAAAACTTGCCTCAAAAATATCATAAATCATAAAATCTTCTACTGTAAGGAAAAGCTCAATAAATGCTGTCTCATGACTACTGAACCCTATTTTTATTCTTTCAACTCTGTATTATGGATGTGTGGTTGCCTATTGAACACACAGAGACAAGACTGAGACAGATATTTTAATACGTACCGCTCATAGCAGATAAATCTGTCTCACACTCACACACACATACAGTATATATCAATATTTGTATATTTGCCAATAGGGAGGAGGCCAGTGAGATGGATAAACAATCCATAATCTGACACACAAACACACACTGTTTATGATTTAAATACATGAGATTTTAAGTGACTCATTATATATATAGGTGTTCTATCTGTGTGTATATGTGTGTGTGTGTGTGTATAAAGTATATATATATAAATATGTTTGTGTGTGTATATATGATATAAGTAGCTAAATTATCTGGATTTTGTTTTTAAAGTACATTAAGAAATTAATATTTTAACCCTGAAACCCCACAGTGGTGCTAAATAATTTTGATTCCTCATTAAAAAACATTCTATTTTGCAGCCTTTGAAAAACAGCTTATTTCTCTTGTTTACTTACTGTATAACTATTAACTCTGGGCAGCTACAATATTTCACATCACTCCAGTGTAAGAATCATGAGTAATCACTCTTCAAACTGCTGGAATAAACTCACCTGACCGGTAACGTTCATCACGGGTGCCAGAGGAGCGTCTACGGTGGTATCGTGAAGCGGAGGAGGGCGCCATGGGTGGCCGGCGCTCGTGTGCCATGGACGCCTCTAGCCCTAAATGACACAGAGAGATCAAGAGAGGGACAATTACACGTCTCAGCCAGAGACTCATTTATTACATATCCACCTTATTGATCTGTAACATTCTCTCTCACAGACGGCCTTAGAGAAACACGGATTTGTTCTGGTTTTAATTAGAACAAATCAGAGTTTCTTCTTTTAATCAGGGTTTCCTTCTTTCAATTACTCATTGACAACCTACTATCTTTTCTCATTCTAAGTTCAGTGTAGCTTTTCTTTCTAACATGTTGTCTCTTTGTTCTTTATCTCTCACCCCTTCATACCCAAATGTTTATAGGTCTCTGATACAGCAGTAATTGAAATGCACAACATATTGGCATTGGCCAATATTATTTTATTTATTTATTAGAAAGAGACAATAATGACAGTATTTTTTTTCTATGACAAGACACAAACATGCCAAACAAGTATGTAACCTTCCTAATATACAGTACATTATGTTTATGTAAAAAAAAAAAAAAAAAAAGCAATCCAAAAAAAAAAAAGAAAAAAAAAAGTGCTAAACAGTTAAGTTAACCTTTCTTCTATAGATTGTAATGTTTTGATGCTTGAAATTGATTTCACTTGTGTGGAAGCACAAAATTAAAAAAAATTAATAAAAAAAATAAAAAAATTGGATTTTATGAATGACGTTTTGTGGAAATCTGTAGAGCTTTCTGCGGAGTTCTGCAGGAAGGTGCAGATTCCATTTATACATTACATTTATAGACTATCCGTATTTGCCAAAATGTCTATACCAGTGCAGCCCTAATTGAGAATAAATAAAATATTTAATTCCAGGAACACACAGCAGCGATTGTTCCACAATGACTCATATTTCAGTGGCTCTTGTGATGAGCCAGCTCTATTCTGTTCAGTTGTTCTTTGTTGTCTTGGATTCTAAGCGGAGAGCTTAGCACCACTCTGCTCCTCCTGGCAGATTTTAGGACACGTGAGGCGGCCCAGGTTGCGCTCAGCGCTCCAGCCGAGAGCGTGCAAGCCGGAGAAATCAATTTCGGCCCCGCGCTGACATAGCCGAAGACATCAGCCAGTGGATTTATTCATTCAATAAGGCAGAAGGTGAGACAGCAGGTTAAGTCAGAATCATACACCAGCTCATGCAGCGGAGGATGTGATTTTCTGACTCAAGTACAATGAGCAGTGAGCACACACTCTTCCTCCAACTAAAAAGCCATGGGTAACAGTCACCGATCAATACTGATTGGGTTAACGTCTAAGTATGCATGTCATCCAGTGAAAGGCAGCGGCGGAAACAATCTCTCCTCTGTGCTGGTAACCTGATGCTCTTAAGAACTAGGAGACACACACACAATCAGGCTGGGCACTGAGGGAGGTGTCACAGTGCCACGTTCCCTTGTTCCACTACATAAACGACTGATCGTTAAACTAGTTCATGTCGTCATGGGACTGTTAAATAACACGAGATCCAGCGGGAATGGAGGCGTTGCCTTGAGTCTGGCGCATGCCGCTCTTCACGCCACGATACATGCTTTGTGCCCGAGCATGATGTCATGTATTTTTTTTCGCCGGGAGCCAGACTGGGAATATGCGGGCTGCCTGTTGCTATGGCAACAGAAGCCTTGCTAATCAACAATGCAGCCAGACATTCCGAGCACAAATCAGAGACCTTCAAAAGTTACATAAATTCTTACCAAACTCTAAAAGCAGCACTACCTTTGTAAGTAAGCCTGGTTGATATAGCTCAAATATAATATCTTAATATTTTTTTCAGCCATTTGAAGATATATATCTTGATATTTATGCATTTGCTGTAAACTGCCTTCAAAAAGGGGACTAAAATATCAAGTAAAAAAGTTATAATAAATTTTCCAACGACCAATAAATGCACAAAATGTAATAATTTTTTATAAGCACCCATTTAAAAATAATTATAGCAATATTTATCTTTATACATTTTTACAAAAACAGAGTTCCATGAACGTTTTTGAGAGAACTTTGAATAAATTTGAACTGATTCATAGAACACGCTCATATTTGTAAGTCATAAAGCAAGGAGAGATTGTGAAACTAGCCTAGTCTAAATATGTTATGAATACTGTCTGGGATAACTGTAATAGAGAATAAATCATCAAAAAGCAGTTCTTCTTAAAACGTTCTTTAACACCAAGCAATTACTTTACCTATCCCTTCCTTTTAATGATGGAGAGGCACTTTTAAAGACTAAAGCGATCTGAAGACTGGAGACACTCTGCGTTTTATCGATAGTCTAAATGCAAAATATTTAAGTGCACTTAAACGGGTGACTGGGTTGATCAACTGAGCAATCATGTATTGAAAAGCAACACTGAACATTTGATTTCTTTCCCAGTAATATTCTTAAGAAGAGGTTGTTTCAGTTCAATGAAACGAGAGAAAAAACTTCTAAGCACCTTTTATGAAGCTCTTGAGAAGAGCTTAGAGGAGCCTCTTAATTCTGGTGCCTACAGTCACTTATCACCTCATTTTAAAGCAGCACTGAAGAACAAGCGGGCAAATAGACTGATTAAGTCTGGGGCCGGATCGGGTTATGGATGGCCTCGCTTTCCAAATAAGATTTTCACAGGAGTAAAAAGACTAAATAGAGCCGTTGGAAACTTCAAACTTTAAAGCTATATTTACACTTTCAACCGATTCTGATTATTTTCACCTTTAGCTGGCCAAGATTGAATCTTCTTCCAATTTTTCCACATTTGATTTGGGCCACTTTCAAATGCATTTCTTAATCGGATATCGGATCATGTGACCTACATCTAAACATTCATATTATTACTTAAGAGTTAGAGATGTGACCAAACCTCTAACTTTAAGTGCTACAGACATGAATGATACTTCAAATCATAAATCATAAGTTCTCTAAGAAAACAATTTCTTGTCTGTCAGATGATAAAATGGGCAATTAAATCCCATATGCCTGTATTAAAGTTGGAACCCGATCCATTTGTATGTGTGCAACCATTCTGAATACCTTACCAACTGCATAGTGATGCAGCCTAGGATGCCCCATGAAAGTCATTGCTTGTTTATGAACAAGAGAACGACTGTGAATTCCATCTGCTGAGATCTTAAAGCTTAGAATATTAAAACATAGGAAACCAATTCCCAGTTTTTATGATCTGTTTAAATGAGAGAAAGAAAGGCAAGCCAATCTGCTGTAGAGCTGGTTCAGTCAGCTGTTAAACCTGTGCAAATGCAAGTCTGTGGGTGCAAATGCATTCTGTGACCCTCTAAATGTGAGGTGAGAGTTGGGGCTCTTACCTGGAGGATGTGGCAGATACGCTCCGAGCAGTTTTGACCTCTTCTTCTCATATCCTTTCTGAGTGATGTCACCTGCAAGAGAAAGGGAGCATCACAAAATGTACAAACAGCATTCATAAATGTAAAAAAAACTAATAAATCGCAATCGCCTCTTTGCTTGAGCAGATTATGACATTAAACCAACACAACACCGCCTCTCTCATTCAGGATATCCATTTTTGGTTTGGAAAATATTGCATCCGTTTTTTTTTTTTAATGGTTAGGTAAGGAGTTTATGTGCAGATCTTTGAGGAAATCATTCAGATGGTGTGGGTGACAGAGAGCACATCCCGCAATGATTAATGTAACAAGGTTTTGTGACTTGTCACAAAGCATTAGGCGACTGGGCCGTCACATTTGCGTGGAAATGAAGAAAAGATCTGGAGCATAACGAGAGAGCGACGGAGACTCGACAAGTGACAGAATACGTTAATGAGAGAGCAATGACGAATCAATAGTTCTGTTAGAAAACCTAGCGAGCTGTCTTGCTGTCTATATAGACAGCTGTTTTTTAAGTTAGGATAAAAAACAAAATAACTTATTTCAGACTTTTAACCCTGTATAGCACACAAATAGCACTCCTTATGCGCAGCACACACAAATTATTCCAATGGAGTTTGATGTTAGCATTGTGCTATGCGAGCAATTGAAATAGAAATATTTTGTACCAATGTAAAAGTTTTTAATGTCACTTTTAATCAAGTTAATGCATCCTTGCTGAATGAAAATATTCAATTCTCTCAAAAAAATCTTCCTGACTGATCTTATTGACTGAGCAATGCATTCTGGGATTGCATTCTCAAAGGATACTCGTTTTTTGAATTATAATAAGGCCAAAATGAGATCTTAAAAGGCAACATCATGCTGCCAAGCTTTTGGATCCAGTTTCAGAAGATGATGTCTTAAAATACAGTCTAGGTAGGCAGCTCAATATGTTTGGGAACAAAGCTAATCTCTTCCTCCTCAACCTTGGCCTTGATTCCACATTAATCAACACAATTATGTTCCTGCATACTCTATACTGATGTGATCTAGTGAACATACACTGTTTGGATCCTTAGAAGGACAGGAAACAGTGACAGTGAAGGCTGTTTTTCCCAAATGACCTCTTTAACAGCCCAATAAAAATGGCTGGGAGGCTAAAGGCTTGATGAGGAGGAGGATGAAGCAGGCTTTGGGATGAAAGAAAAGCAGAAGAAGAAAAGGAAAAGTTTTTTTAAAACAGAGACAGGATGATTCATTTCTTCACACCCACTTGCCGCCAATCAAACTGCCTTATGTGGTGATTTCTGCTCAGGAGATTCATAGCATTGCCTGTCCTTATCTCACTTACTTATTCTTTGCTTCGCACACACACTCTCTCTCTCTCTCTCTCTTTCTCTCATCCTCTAATTCTCTCCTTGTCCTTCCCTGAGGGACGAGTCCCTCATAAATTTTGACACCACTGCCTAAGTCTGTAACCATTAAAAGCAAGAAAAAACGAAGAGCAGCAGCCTCTGTCGTGAGGAGAGTGGAAACGAGGGGGGCTATCGGACAGTTATCCTCCAGGTGTGTGACGCCGCTGTTTAATCCGCTGGGGGTGTGAATTTGGCTACATATTTCGTACTTGGCAGCTCCCAACCGAAAACATGTCGTACGAAACAAAGACCAGCTGTCAGGCACGTTGTGTATGCTCCCATCTCATATTTTCTGAAAAATTATACAGATGTACAAACAAAATCAAGAGTTGTACGGAAGATAATATTTTACTAATTAGCGGCGCTTTCAATAGCAATTATTGCTTATTTGAACGAATTTGAAGAAACCCTCAATCCTAAGAATTTAACTTCACATAGCTCACCTCGCATCATTTGTGCTACGACATAGGCCTACTTCTGATATTTTAGAGGAACTTTTAGTTGTTCTCCACAAGGAATATGATCTGCAGAAAGAGTGGTATGTACTTCAATGTTTCTGCTGACAGATTTATATGACATCTGACTCCTGTGAGTAACATCAAACACCTTCAAAGACAACAATCATCTAACATAGTCCAAGACGACAGGAAGCGGCCAAGATCAACCACACTGTAAACCTACGGGAGAGACAGGCGAGCACTGCGAGTCGAAATTATGTTTATCTAATTGAGTTAAAAAGCACAGCAATCAAAACATCTCTGCACAGGCATCAATGCAAATTAGCTAGCCACACATGCCTTCTTTTCATTAGCAGAAATCTGAAGAATTCTAGGGTCATTTTTGAGCGAATGATGCAAACAAAACATTGAATCATAGTATTGAATCTATTTGCTAAAACTGATAGTTTGATTCCTGGTACTGAACTTTCAAATTTCAAGTTTTAACAGTAATATTTGTGAGTCACAAACTATGGATGTGCGAGACTACTTGACTAAATTCTGCTGCTGCAAATACTATCATTTTCTTCCCCATATTTATGCTTTATATTTTCACAAAGGCCACGTTCAACTTGCTGTCATGTTTGTTACATTTCTTCTGTCATGTCATTCATTTTAAAGGGGAAACATTATGAATGCAACTTACTTGACAACAACAGATCCTATATCAATATCCTAACGATTAGAATACTCTTAAATGTATAGTTGCCGCCGGTACATATCAAACTTTTCTTTTAATATTGGCACCTGTCATGTATTTTTCATACATGAGAAGCGTGCTCAAACCTGGATGTGCAATCTAACTTTTATTTTAGGAATACTGTTTTTAATAGGATATAAGTAAGTTTGTAAGTATTGGTCCTGAACTGCCAGTTGATTTCAATAAATGTCTATATTGGCTAACATTGATAAAGTGAACAGTAAGTTTAATGTACGATCGTAATGCAAGGCAAACACTTTGCATGTGCTGTATGACCTTTTTTCAGCATTTAGTATGGGATTTGAGCGATTCATAGATTAAGTAGGCTATTTCAAATGAATTGCAATACAGACTGTTGTTTTTGACTGTCTTCTGGGGGTTTGTTAAACTAGTCTGTAACAAAATTATAGTTTAATGCTATTTAAATTAGTCATGATGGGGCACATCCCTATAGTCAAAACACGGAATGGCTGTGAAATTATTTTAATGACACAGAATTAAGGAAACTTAACATTGCATTAAAATCTTATTATTTACAATGCTGCTTAATTTCAATGCATCAATATTCTATTATCCAACTCTTTTTCTTGATACTATCATCATTATAGACTGGAATGTGATCTGGATATCCACCCTTCTGAAATTCTTTCAGAACAGACTCTGAGCTGAATGTAAAACAGTCCCGTGCTGCAAGAGATCCGATTACCCCATGTGTTTCTGGATGAGCTTACATCTGGATGTGACTACATTGAAAAAAAAAAACTAAAAAACAACTACAGTATATGAATCTCTTCACAGCTGAAAACAACAGAGCGAGCCTATGCTAACATGATGGTATCTTAGGCAAACACATGTAACAAAATGGCTTCAATCTACTCAGTAAAAAGTCCTACATCACAATTCTTCGCTTTTCACGAGCGCACAGTGTAATTACACGTTACAGGTGGTGGAGCTTATGGCTCACAGAATACAGGAAACCATCCTTTTGCCTCTTCCACAACATAAACGTCTTAATAATGGGCTTCGGAGGAAAGAATCTGCCTCTATGGAAATCGCAACCTCACAAGCAAAAATTCTCTTCTATTTATCTAAGAGGATTACAAGCTCGGAGAACATTTACAAGTCCTTCATAGGCCTTTCTAGGGCCTAGAAGAGCACAAGCAATTCTAGGGTCTATAGCATTACACCAAAGCTGACAGAGATTTTGCATCGATTTGTATAATATAACCCATCTTTAGCTCTATCAAATTGAAGGTTTTTCAACAGTGCAGTGCGAGGAATATGATGTCACAGGGCTGTGTTCCAAAAAGACAGGATATTGTGATGTCATTGGTTTCCTGTTTGGTGTGAGGGAGTATTCCACAGGGATCTAATCAGGCAAAAGGCCGAGTCGTCAGATGTGCTGGATAATCTACCTGTGTTTGTGCGTGCCGTGAGGGAGTGTGAAGTGCAAAATACACAGCGTCCTTAAAACGTTGGAAACTTAAGACATACTTTAAAATGTATGAATGTCACTGCATTTGATAAAGAAATGTCAAAGCCAGTGGCATTTACTTTAAAGAAAGATAGACCATTTTTAAGTTCAAGTTCGCATTAAGTTGTGTTTAAGTGATACATTAATATAATGTTTAATTTTAAGAAGTAAAAAAGTATTTTGGAAGGACACCTGTGTGAACTCGAGGAACTGATCAAAAATCTCGCTGGGACCAGCTGGTTAAATGTAACTGCAAAAATAGCTCAGGAAAGTTGAATTAGTTATAAAAAAAATAAGATGCTTTTGGAATAATATTTTGTTATCTTATGCAATGAAATTTGTATGAGTTTAAATTTTGATTAAAGAAGGGATACAGATATTAAAACACTGGCTAATACTGATCAGTCAAAAATTCCAACTTACATAATTAATTGTTAAGGCCCATAACTGATAAATGGTCTATTAAAATGAAAATGTTAAAAATGTAATCTCGTCTAAATTAATTCAAAACAAAAAAGAATATCAATCGATCAAAATGAAAAATTTATTTCAAAATATTCAAAAGTACAGTATGAAAAACAGATATTTATTTTTAGATTTGCTAATAATTTCACTTAAAATGTTATTAATGTTTTTTAAGATTCATTTTAAGTGAACATTAGATGATGGCAAGGGAAATCGAAATGTAAAAAAATAGGTTAAATGAGCATATTAAAAAAAAAAGGATCAAATAAACTAATTAAAATATGAATATTAATAAAAATAGATACCAATTTGTGCATCCCTAGTTGAAATTCATAAAGTTGCAAAAGTGTCAAAAGATTTTTTCAGCACATCAGCCCCAAACTCCTTGACCCTCCTAAATGACATCACTCCTTATATTTACACATCAACTGCATCGTTCACCCACACACATCCCATGATGCATTTCAAAAAGAAACAATGAGCTATGTGTTTTAGCCCGA